GGAAGGGAGTGAGCAGAAAGGAGAAGAGAGAAGGAGAGATAAGAAGCGGAAGAGAAAAAGAGGGGGATGAAGAAAAGGAGAAGAAGAGGGAAGGGGGAGAGAGAGGGAAGGAGAGAAAAAAAGATGTTTCAGATGCTAGACCAGATAGTAGTCGGCACGGAGTACCTAGTTCCCGGCTGGCATGCGACGGTGTTATCACTCCCGGAAAGACCCTTGTATCAAGGAGTTGGCTGCGCCAGGAATAGAAACGGCGCTAGGTAGGGGGAGTTTTGGATGTTGGAATTTAACTACTACTAAACCGTGGCCAAGACGGTTGTGGTTCCTGTGGGAGAGGGCGCAGCAGGGTGTGGCTAAAACGCCGGGGTCCAGGGCAGTTGGTTATGATGAGACGAAGGAGTTGAGGATGAAAAGGAAAGACGAAGGCATTGAGAAAGGATAACTTTGGATGTTTCATATATTTTCATGTATTTATGAGTGTATGTAATGTAGACGAATTTTCTCTAGTAAGGTATAGTCTATTTTAAAAAAAAAACAAAGTGCAGTGCTCGCTCATGCATTGATGAATCTAATACAAAAAAGAAAAGAAAATGCCTTTGAGATCGCTCAAACCAAACCCTCCCCTCCATTATGACCCGTCAAAACGCCAAGTTTGGTAAATGTAATATCCGGATATGTAATAGAAATGCATGCCATCGAAATTCGATCCATCGCATCCTGCTCACTGCTTGATGCCCACGGCAATGCTGATCATGTAGTCACACCTCTCGCGCAGGCCCGGGTCGACCACGCGCATCTTGGTGCTGCCGGTCTTCAGCAGCAGCTCCCGGTAGCTCCCCGTTGCGGCGGCGGGATCAGCGGCGCCGGAGGCATTCCACGGGTTCCAGTCGGGGCTGCCGGGGGCACGCAGCGGGTTGGGATCGAGGGTGCGGATGAAACTAGACCAGAAGCCTTGCACGACGGGGACGATGGGCTTGTTGGTGGTGTAGTAGGAGACCGGGGAGCGGGCGGAGGCGTAGTCGGGCCCCCAGATGCCCTCGAGCTCGGCGGTGTGGGGGGTGCCGAGGCCGGACTGCATGAAGATGGGGTCCTCGACGGCGTAGCGGTAGCTCCAGACCTGGCGCGGGTCGTGGAACTCGGAGAAGCGCTGGGCGATGGCGATCTTGGGGCAGGTGTAGCGCATGTCGCCGTAGATGTTGGCCAGGCGGCGCCAGGCCTTGCCGCTGTTGGGGTAGTGGCTCTCGGTCTTGGGGTAGAAGGCGTTGATGCGCGCGAGGTGGTCGTCGGTGAGCGCGGGGAACTGGGCGCGCAGGAAGTCGTTGGTCTGCGAGACGGAGCTGGTGCCCTTGGGCGCGAAGAGCGTGCCTTCGTTCTCGTCGTCGCCGAAGACGATGGGGACTCTGAGGAACTTGCCTTCCTGGATGAGGCGGTAGGTGTAGTCGGGCACGAGGTCGCCGTCGATGGTCGGGGCGTACATGAAGAGCGGGAGCTTGGTGGCTCCCGGCAGCGGGAGCTTGATGTTCTGGGCCTGAATGGCCTCGGCGCTCAGCTTGCGCAGGCAGCCGAGGGAGTCGGCGTCGTCGTTGCAGCCGGTGCGATTGGTCAGGCTGTCGTACATGTACTGGCTTTCGGACACGTTGAGCATGTTGCCCATGGAGGGCGAGCCGGCGATGACGCCGTGGAACAGGGGCTTATCGGGCTTCACCTTGGTGGTGCCGCCGTACGCCGTGAGATGGAACACGACGGAGGCGCCGCCGGCGCTGTGGCCGCCGATGACGACGTGATTGGGGTCTCCGCCAAACTGAGAGAGAGAGAGAGAATTGGGTCAGCCAATTGTGGGCGGGAGAGGATCAGGTATATCTTACTCGGGCAATGTGCTTGCGGACCCATTCGAGGGCTTTGATCTGGTCCTTGAGGCCGTTGTTGAGACTGGCTTGGTCCTGGATCTCCTTGGAGGCGAGGAAGCCGTACAGGCCGACGCGGTAGTTGAAGCTGACGACGACGAGATTGCCGGCGGCGGCCTGGATGAGGCCGGAGGCGTTGACGCGGGTGTTGGCGTTCATGTTGAAGCCGCCGCCCTGGATGAAGAAGTAGACGGGCAGCTTGGCGTCGCGCGAGGCGTTGGCGGGAGCGAAGACGTGCAGGAAGAGACAGTCCTCGGCCTCGAGGCGGTTGGCGGTCCTGGAGGTGGACAGGCAGGCTTTCTGATAGTCGTTCGCGGGCTGCACGGCCGACTCCTTGACGGGGTCCTGCGGCGCGGCAAAGCGCAGGGCGCCCAGCGGCGGGGCGGCGAAGCGCATGCCCAACCAGCTGGCGACGCCGTGGCGGTCGGTGGTGCCTTTGTAGCGGGCGTAGCCGATGTCGCGGCAGCCGTCCTCGTCGCGACAGACGGCGGCGGCGGCGGCGGCCTGCTGTTTCTTGGTGACGGCCACGGCGGTGCCGGCCGCGACGCCGGCGGCGAGCAGGAACAGCAGCAGCAGCGCGAGGACGAGCGTCTTCTTCTTGGTCAGGGCGAAGCGCGCGCGCGACGGCTTGCTGGTGGCATCGGGGTCGGAGTCGTCGTGGTGGTCGGGGGCGGCGGCGGCGGGGGGTAGCAGCGGGTGCTGGGCGGGGGGTTTGGGGTGCATGGCGGGAGAGAGGGGGGTATCAGAGGGAGAGCGAGGATCGAGAGACAGAGAGAGAGAGAGAGACAACAGACTACCGCAGCGCCATCGCGGACGAGAGACGCGGCGACAGGCCAGGCAGGCCGCGAAACACAGTGCGCAGCCCCGGCGGGCGTGCTCGTTTTTATCTACTACTTGAGTTCTCCGTGTTCTGACTTTTTCTTCCTGCGCCTCGCCGGGCTGGCCGTGAAACCGCCGCGACGGGCTGGCCAGCCGGCGCGAAGGAAGGTGGTCCGGGCCTGGAAAAGTTAGTTGGGTGCTCGCTCTGCCGCCGGGCGGGCTCACGTTACTTAACTAGCCCCCGCGCAGGAAGGCCGCCCTCGCCGCGTCAGCTCCGGCGTGCGTGGCGCGGATCGCCGGCCTCGCAGTTTAATTATCAGTCAGTTGGTTACGGAGCAGTTAGTTAGTTACCTGGCTGCTATTTTACAACCAACACTACCTACCTACCCATGGCTGACGACGACGCCGACGACTACATGGCCATGGCCTTCAGCGAGCCCGCCGCGCGCGAGTCCCTGACCCAGCGCCGCCGCCGCCAGCTGCGCGAGGTACGAAGCCTTCAGTCTCCCACTGATCAACTACTGACTGACTTCCTGCGCAGGCCGAGGCCAGAGCCCGCGTGCCCTCCAAAGCCGAGCGCGCTGCCGCCGCCGCCGCCGCCCGCGACGCTGCGCTCGCCACCTCCGCGCTCGATCCCGCCAGCAAGGGCTTCCAGATCATGGCCCGCCTGGGCTACACCGCCGGCAGCGCCCTGGGCCGCGCGCCGCCCTCTACGGACGATGACCGCTCCGCCCGTCGCATCACCGAGCCCCTGGCCATCGCCGTCAAGGACGGCCGTGGCGGTGTCGGCCTCGACTCCCTGCGCAAACGCCGCCTGCGCGACCAGCTCGACGCGCACGCGAAACGGCTCCAGACCGACCAGCTCGACTTCCGTGCCCGCGCGCGCCTCGAGAGCGACGCCCGCCGCGCGGAGGCCCAGTTCCGCGCCGCCCAGGCCGTCGCCGAGGGGCTGGATCTCGATGCCGATGAGGCACCCGCGTCTGCAGAGCACAAGCACTGCCACGCCGGCACAGACACCGGCACAGACACTGGCACAGACACTGCGAAGCACCGCTGCTCGCACTGCCCGCCCGTGCGGCCCCTCGCGCGCGTCAACCTGCTCTACCGCGGCCTCGTGCGCGCCCGCGAGCTCCAGCACCGCGACGCCCACGCCGCCCACCGCCGCTACCACGCCCTGGCCGACTCCGCGCGCGACCTCGCCAGCCCGTCCGCCTCGCGCGCCATGGCCGGCCTGTCGCTGCCTGCCTGCGCCGAAGACGACGACCTCGACCCGGACGACAAGCTGGCGCTGGGCCGAACCGCGGACGGCCACATCGTCGCGCCTGACGAAGACGACGACGAGGACGACCCCGAGCTGGACGAGTTCAACGCCCTGCCGCCGCAGGACCGCCTGGCGCGCCTCGTGCGCTACCTGCGCGACACCCACTGCTACTGCTTCTGGTGCAAGTGCCGCTACGACTCGCCGCGCATGGACGGCTGCCCCGGCCTGACCGAGGACGACCACGATTGAGCGAGACGAAGACGAAGAAAAGAAGAAGAAGAAGAAGAAGAAGAAGAAGAAGAAGACGCATCCCATAATCCATTCATCATCCTTGTCCAGCTAGTATCGAGACAAACAAGCTTCCGCCTAAAACACCCTCGTTCGTCGATCGTCCCTCCGCTCCAGGGGTGCCTGGCGATGCGCCATGCAACACAACACCGCCTCGCCGCTACTACAACTCCCAACATCCATTGAGCTCCCTTCCTGTAACCCAATAATCCGTTCCATTATTATTCTCATAGTACCGTTTCTCACCCCTTCCCAATCTTCCCCGCCCCCATACCCTCCTCACGCCCGCCCCAGCGACTCCAGCAGCCTCTGCAGCGACCCGTGCTCGCGCCCGCCCAGCCCGCGCCGGCACTCCCCGCACACCCGCAGCAGGCAAAACGGGCACTTCCACAGCCGCGCGCACCCTTCGCGCTTGCACGCCATGCACGGCAGCGAGTGGTGCGTGTTGCGGCACCCGCTCCACTCCGAGTGCCCCGTGAAGCACTTCAGGTGCGTCCGCCGGATCGGCGCCGCGATCGGCGACTTGCTCACGATGCGCGCGTCTGCCGCGTGGCAGGGCTGGCTCTTGTTCTTAACGTCACGTCGTTGGCCGGCGTCGGGGGCGCTGTTGCTATTACTATCATTGCTGCTGTCCACTACCTCTGGTCAGTGGCCCCGCCCACCATCATTATTATCGTGAACGCGCTTTCAGCGCCTATCAAACCTACCTCGACGTGGCGACATGCGATCTCCAGGGCTGGGCCCTGCTGCCGGCGACCCATTGACCTGCTCAGCAGCCGGCGCGATTATGATGGCCTCCCCGCAGTTTCCGGCCTCCTTGTGTTCCTGGATGTCAGACAGGGTTGCCTTGAACGAGCCCTTCTTGCTTTTCTTGCAGCTGGAGAGTTTCTGAGACAGTTTTAAAGAGAGGTTTGAGAATCCCATGTTAAAAAGACAAAGTGTGAGGAGTAGAAAGCACGTGAGCGGATGTTTTGTGAAGTGATATAAGTTGCTGGAGTGATAATGAGAAGGCTACTGGCGCAAGTAGCTTGAGAGTATATCGTGCAAGGAATCAAAGTCGGCATCTAGCTAGTGAGTATCAGTTTTGTGTAAGAATTATAACTCGCGTTACAATAAAACTTCACAGCACCCTCTCCAGGCACACGCTTGCGATCTTCTTCGGCATTAGCATTCTCAGCATTATTCTTGTGCAGGTGATCTTTGAGACGCGTTAGACACTCCTGCTGGTTTTTCCAAAGAAAGAACAGCAGATACTCTTCAACAGCCAGTGGTAAGAAGGAGCTTTATATTGTGTTTGCCCAGTCGGCAGCAAGCATCCTGTGCAGGTTTGTCGATTTTAGGGTCAGCCTCTCAACGGTAGGCCGGTATATTGTACCAAAGGGATGTAATAGAATGTATGGAAAATTCTTATCTAGTGAAAAGAGAATACTTTGGGGAAAACATCCCAGATGCCATAGTCCATTCTGGGTGGAATTTTGAGCCCAAAAATAAGACAATCCATAGCAGAAATAGAAACGTCACACAGCAGACAGTCTAGATACTGTCCATACATGGTGTAGAAACAGATCCCGCTGTCCCCCGACATCCCGCCTGCTGTGAGAGGTGCTGAGTTGTCTCTTTGTCTTGGGTGTTGACCTGCTGGTCACCATCTTGGCCAGCTGGTTTAGCGTTGATCACTATGTAACTACACTTCATGCATGCTCTGGCAGCAGAAAGCACGAAAACCCAGGAACAAGCTCCGCAGAGCCTGTCCTTTAACTTCAAAAGCCGGAATCCACGCGTCCCATCACCCCATCCCATGGAAAGCATCTCGCGAGGCTCCCTACCACCGGACACGCCCGCCTTCGCGACGCCGCTCCAGCCCTTCATCAAAACACCAGACGAAGCACTCCGAATCCGACGCCTGCTGGCGCTCCGGCTGCAGGACCAGCTTACTTTCGCCGACGATGGCATTCCCCAGTCGCATTTCTCCGTCTGCGCTCCGTACCACGTCCGGGGCGTCAAGCGCATTCCGCCGGAGTTTGGCGACGGGCTTCGCGCGCAGTACCTGAAGGCGCTCCAGGCCAATCTCCGCGCCAGAAAGGAATACGACGAGCAGCTGGCGGAACTGAACGGGCTCGCGGAGCAGCTGAATGGGTGCCGATCCAGCCCGTCGCCGGACTCGAAGAATCGAGATCTGGACGCGTATCTGGCCCTGCTCCGGAGTCGTCGGCAGCGGAGCAAAATTCAGATATGCCAGCATTTTTTGGAAAAGCTGAACAAGATGGATGCTGCTTGCCCGGGATATCTGGATATGAGGTCAGCTGCGAAAGGTATTTATATTTCCTCGCAGGGATTCGCTACACAGCAGGATGACCCGAGCGCCCCTGGTGTTGGAAATAGTCCTACCGTGCTGCTTCATGAGCTTGAGAGAGCCGTGCTTCTTTCCAAAAGCCGAATAGACAATGAAAAGACCGCGCTTGAAAGGCTTCGGGGGCAATCCAAGCTGCGGAAGTCGACAGAAGCGGACATCAACCCGCAAGTACGGCTGAATGCTCTCATACGAACCCGCGACGAGCTTGTGCGTTGGGTCGAAAACACTCTGGCTACATGCGGAATGGAAGATACGAGTATTATTGAGGAGGAGCAGCTCTGTGACGACCGGGACGAAGATGCAGTGCGAGCCATGCTGGAAGGCCTACGGAGAGACATCGAGCAGCAGTACACAGCCTACGTTTCCGCCCGTCGAAGTTTGCTGGACGCAGTATCGGTCTCTACGAGCATGCCGATGAAGCCTCCAGCGAAAGCCCTGCCAACGAAGCCGCAATACCAAGAGCCCGAGCAGGCTCCTGCGGATCTTACGCCGGTGTTCCCCTATCTTCAAGAGAATCTGTCTCCGCTTTTCAAAGCGCAGAACGCCATGACCATACAAAAGTCCTTCCTGTCGGCGCTCCTGTCCAAGGAGCGATGGACGTCGGGGAAAGTATTCGAACGTCTACGGAACGAAAGCCATCTGCTTCCCGACTACCCGATCCTGGCGGGACAGTCCCGTTTCAAGCACATCGCTGCTGCTGCGAACACGCCACGCTCCGGTATTGAAGGTTCAGTCTCAAGCCCGTCCTCGGAAGCCGAGGTCGTCAGGCACGCAGAGGCGTGGGCTTTTGCTTCCCAGGCCGCGCACGATGCCACCGCTGAGCAGGTTGATAGACATGTAGAAATCGGGACAGAGATGGCGGCGAGCACAGAGAACACGCTGCGGAGGATCTACGACATCATGAACCGGGACTACGACGCCGCCATGTCTCGGGAAGGAGACAAAGGCGGCCACAGGACGGACTCGAGGAATGCTCAGAGCCTCAAGGGAGCGCAGCGGCCACAGGGGCCGTGGGCCAAGCTGCAGGGGAACGTTGGGGTGGGCGGAGGGTAGACAGTAGGCCATTGAGACCGGAGGTATTTTGGATAACTAGAGTCCACAGGACGTGTCCGAGCAGGTTGAGCGAAGAGTATTCACTACTACCTAGACCATCGCGGGCGCCGTTCAGCGTAGAGTTTTGCGGCTTTGGCGAACAAACAAAAGCTTTCGAGGCGGGTGAGTCACAGACGCTAAAGAAAATTTTGGGGCTTTCAGGCACACCAGCAACCACCGCCAAACCCTTCCGCGTGAGAAGAGATTCAGCTGCCATTGAAGCTCAAGCCCCCCTCGCCGCGTCGAGTCTGCTGCTGCTGCTGCCCTGCGTCCTCCCGCTCTTCTCTCGCTCGTCTTGCTCCCCGGCGAGGCTGCCAATGGCTCTCACCGCTCGCTTCGGGCAGCGGGCGGTCTCGCACATTCTGCGCCAGCGATGCCTTTCCTCGCTTGAATGCTCTGCCCCCTCGGCCCTGCGGGCGTTCTCCTCACAGTCGTCGCCCCGGAAGCTGTACCCTCGCTCGCAATTGCCGACGTTTTCCTCGTGGCGCGCCAACCGGCCGCTGGCGCTCGCGGCTCGCGGCCTGGCATCCGCGGCGAACGCGAAGTCGTACTCCGGCGGCCAGATCATACAGGACGTGGACCTGGTCGATGTCAAGAAGGTGCTTGTCATCGGGAGCGGAGGCCTAAGCATTGGGCAGGCCGGTGAATTCGATTATTCCGGTAGGTTTTGGACTGGGGTCTTGAGCCTGCAATAGCCGCGACTCCCTGGTTTTTCAGCGGGGCCGGCGGCCTCGTAACTAATACGCAGCTGACGGAAGCCGGTGCTAACGGGATGCTTGTTTCTACGCAGGTTCGCAGGCCCTTAAGGCCCTGAAGGAGGCCGGCGTCCAGTCGGTTCTCATGAACCCCAACATCGCTACCATCCAAACCGACCACAAACTCGCCGACGAAGTCTACTATCTGCCGGTCACGCCCGAGTATGTCACGCATGTCATCGAGAAGGAGAAGCCAGATGGCATCTTTCTCAGCTTCGGCGGCCAGACTGCCCTGAATCTTGGTGTGCAGATGAATCGCATGGGCATTTTTGAGAAATATGGGGTTAAAGTGCTTGGAACCAGCGTTCGAACGCTTGAGACCAGTGAAGACAGAGACCTGTTCGCTAAGGCTCTCAATGAAATTAACATCCCCATTGCCGAGTCGATTGCTGTCAGCACCGTCGATGAAGCGCTAGCCGCCGCGGAGAAGATCGGGTATCCCATCATTGTCCGGTCTGCATACGCCCTGGGCGGTCTCGGATCCGGCTTCGCAGGAAATGCGGAGGAGTTGAAGAACTTATCGTCCCGATCGCTTACTCTGGCCCCCCAAATTCTTGTTGAGAAATCTCTCAAGGGCTGGAAGGAAGTTGAATATGAAGTTGTTCGCGATGCCGCCAATAACTGTATCACTGTCTGTAATATGGAAAACTTCGATCCTCTTGGTATTCACACGGGAGATAGCATCGTCGTCGCTCCCAGTCAGACCCTCTCCGATGAGGAGTACCACATGCTGCGAACAGCGGCTATTAAAATTGTTCGACATCTCGGCGTTGTGGGCGAGTGTAACGTGCAATACGCCCTTCAGCCAGATGGTCTTGACTACAGGGTAATCGAGGTGAATGCCCGTCTTTCCCGCTCATCCGCTTTGGCGTCAAAGGCTACAGGATATCCTCTGGCTTATACTGCTGCCAAAATTGGCCTCGGCCACACATTGCCACAGCTCCCTAATGCCGTCACCAAAACCACAACCGCAAATTTCGAACCCAGCTTGGATTATATCGTCACTAAAATTCCACGATGGGATTTAAGCAAGTTCCAGCATGTCAAGCGGGATATCGGTAGCTCTATGAAATCCGTGGGAGAAGTTATGGCTATTGGTCGCACTTTCGAGGAGTCATTCCAAAAGGCTATCCGTCAAGTCGATCCCAAATTCATTGGTTTCCAAGGCGACAAGTTTGAGAACTTGGATGATGTGTTAAAGAACCCCACAGATCGCCGATGGCTTGCCGTTGGACAGGCTATGCTTCACGAAAATTACTCGGTGGAAAAAGTCCATGAACTGACGAAAATTGACAACTGGTTCCTGTACAAATTACAAAACATTGTAGATATGCATAATGCGATGAAGGAGATTGGAAGCCTCTTCGGCATCAAGAAAGAAATGATGCTCAAGGCAAAGAAGATGGGCTTCTCGGACAAGCAAATTGCCCTTTGTGTTGGCTCTACGGAAGAAGAAGTCCGCACTCGCCGCAAGAGCTTTGGCATTCACCCGTGGGTCAAGAAAATTGACACACTGGCTGCCGAGTTTCCCGCGGATACCAACTATCTTTATACAACATACAACGCTACATCTCATGATGTTACATTTGAGGACCATGGTACTATTATCCTTGGAAGCGGAGTCTACAGAATTGGTAGCTCTGTGGAGTTCGATTGGTGCGCTGTCAACGCTACCCTCTCGCTTCGAAATATGGGCAAGAAAACCGTCATGATTAACTATAACCCTGAGACCTATTCTACTGATTTCGACACGGCTGATAGATTGTATTTTGAAGAGTTGAGTTATGAACGAGTGATGGATATTTATGAACTTGAAAATGCCGGTGGTGTGGTGGTTTCTGTTGGCGGTCAACTGCCCCAAAACATTGCCCTCAGACTTCAGGAGTCAGGTGGTGCCCATGTTTTAGGGACAGATCCAAAAGACATCGACAGAGCCGAAGACCGCCACAAGTTCTCGCAGACTCTTGACAGTATTGGTGTAGACCAGCCAGCTTGGAAAGAGCTGACGTCTGTTGCAGAGGCTGAGACCTTTGCGGACTCTGTCGGCTACCCTGTCCTTGTTCGACCAAGCTATGTCCTTTCCGGTGCCGCCATGAGCGTTATCCGCAGCCACGACGAGCTCCACGAGAAGCTCATGTCGGCTAGTGATGTTTCTCCTGACCACCCAGTCGTTATCACGAAGTTTATCGAAGGGGCCGAAGAAATTGATGTCGACGCAGTTGCATCCGGCGGCAAGCTTATTCTCCACGCCGTCAGTGAGCACGTCGAAGCAGCAGGTGTTCATTCGGGCGACGCCACCCTCGTTCTTCCCCCGGTGAACTTGGATAAGGTGGTTATGGAGCGCGTCAAGGAGATTGCAGAGAAGGTTGCCAAAGCCTTCAGCATCACGGGCCCGTTCAACATGCAGATCATCAAGGCGAATAACCCCGATGGGGGAGAGCCGCAGCTGAAGGTTATCGAATGCAACCTCCGCGCGTCCCGATCATTCCCCTTCGTGAGCAAGGTCCTCGGCACCAACTTCATTGACGTCGCCACCAAGGCTCTTGTTGGAAGGGACGTCCCGGAATCTACCGATTTGATGGCCGTCAAACGTGACTACCTCGCCACCAAAGTCCCTCAGTTTAGCTGGACGCGTCTTGCGGGCGCCGACCCCTATCTCGGTGTTGAGATGGCCAGTACTGGCGAGATTGCCTGCTTTGGTAAGGACTTAGTTGAGGCATATTGGGCATCTATCCAGTCTACCATGAACTTCCGTATGCCAGAGCCAGGGGAAGGTCTCCTTTTTGGTGGTGATACCAATACCTTGACCGAACTCCCTCGCATTGTGGACTTCGTGCATCCACTTGGCTATAAGCTGTTTGCTGCCAGCACAAATGTCAAGGAGTATCTTGAGAAGGCAACGAAATCTGACATTGACGTCCAAGTCATTGAGTTCCCCAAAGAAGATAAACGGGCGTTGAGGGAGGTTTTCCAGAAATATGACATCAGAGGCGTGTTCAACATCGCCAAAGAACGAGGAAAGACTCTTTTGGACGAGGATTACGTTATGAGACGGAATGCTGTTGATTTTGGCGTTCCCCTGTTCATGGAGCCAAAGGTAAGCCAGGTATCTCCAAATGAACACTCAAGGCTAGGTGCTAATCTAACGTTAGACTGCGCTTCTTATTGCCCAATGCATGAATGAGAAGCTTCCTCGTAAGGAGGGTATTCCATCGGAAGTACGAAGCTGGTCGCATTTCGTTGGTACAAAGACCTTGTAAAATAGTTCTATTCTTTATGGGGGAATTTTCAATTCCTTTTCTTTTTTGTTTAGTGGGGTCTATGCGATAATCTGTCGAGTTTCGGTAGAGCCATGGAGTCGAGAACCAAAATATCTAGCCCGTTTTTTCTTGATGCTCTGCAGAGCTTATTGGTTTTCTGTTTCTGGGAAACGACATTTCAGGCGATATTTTTTCGGTTGTTACCTAGTTTTACACCAAGATTTTCTACTGCCTCCGTGCCGTGGGATTTTGTGCTGCTTATGATAGAAATAAAAGGCCTCTGGTTCTTCCTGGCCACGGCGTTACGCTACTCTGAGTATCCTTTCTTATCAAACAGTTTGGCTTGTTTGCATTTACTAGTTAACTACTACCTACATAGTCACCAGTAGGGCTATAGTTAGTTTATTTGGCTAGGTACCAGCCAAAGGAGCATTCTTTGTCCGCTGTTCTTAGAACAGCACTTTCAACGACGTTGATGATCGTAAGAAGCGAGGATCTTAATACCTAAAGAGCTATGGGCTTCGAAATCGATCAAGTTGTCAATGCCGGGCCGGCAATGACCCCGGATGCAGATGTAGGCCTACTTGCAACAAAAGATATCGGCGTTGGAGAGTCAGTTTTGGAGATGGAGAGATGGATAGCAGTCCTTGATTCAGCACGGCTGGCGGATACTTGCTCCCATTGTTTCGATACACAATATCTGCGAGATTCTCAGCCTAATGAGAAGCCTTTGGACCTGAAATTGTGCGCAGGGTGCAAAACCGTAAGGTATTGCAGAAAGGTATGAGACTTGAAGAGCAATTTCCAGGAGGTATTGCTTCATTTTCCACCATGCTTGCAGACCTGCAGCTTACTCGGGCTATGATTGCTATGCTAATTATACTGAAGGACTGTCAAGTACAAAGCTGGCGTGCATTCCACAAATATGAATGCAAAATCTATAAAAAGTTATATCCAAAAATACTGCCAACGTCTGCCAGAGCAGTGATGAGAATTGTTCTCTTGATTACCAATAGTGCAAATGATCCAGGTGGTCAGATGCCGCTGTTCCACCGTTTAACTGACCACAGGTTGAAGATTAAGAAAGAACGGCCGGAACATTACGAAAATTTAGAACTATGTGCCAAGGCAGTTCATGAGTACTCGAACACTGATTTAAGTATTGAGGAGATCATCCTATATTTTGCTAAGGTATATATATACCTGACACATTTTTCTTATTGCTAAAAGCTAATTTATGCGTCCCTCGAAGCTTGATACAAGTGCGTTTACGCTTACATGTCCATTTGGTGATCCAATTGGCATTGCAGTGCACCCTAATGCGGGTTTCTGCAATCATAGCTGCTCTCCGAATACGTCAGTGGACTTTGATGGCTCGAGAGTTTTTGCTCGGGCCCTCTGCAAGATCTCAAAAGGCGAACAGATTTACATTTCATATATTGAGGCTACAGACCCGTATGCAGTTCGACAACGCGAACTTTCTTCAAGATACTTCTTCAAATGTAAATGTTCGAAATGCAAAAAGGGCGACAAGGGCCGAGAAGATCAATTCTTAAGACAGCTTGGTCAAGCGGATTCTGCTATCATTCAAGATGCCCAAAAACAAGTGACGACTTTACTCGAAGCTGTGAAGACAGGTAACTCTGCAGAGGATTCAATTTCTAAACTTAGGTCTGGAATGAGCATTCTTAGGAAGACTTCTCTCTGGCCCCTGACCCGCCAACCCTACGTTAAACTACGTGGTGAACTCGCGGTCTCTCTTCTAGAAGCCAAAAATTTCGAATCTGCTTTTATTCAACTCGCTATAATATATCTTCGCATTGACCCGATTCTGTACCCGCAAAGTTGGCACCCGATTTTGACCTGCCACAAGTGGAGATTTGTCAAGCTATTGATGCACCTTTCAGGAACAGGAGAATTGGGTAATGCCGAGGGTATTGACCTTGCAAAATACAAGTTCGACCTCCACATCCTTATTTATTCGATTCTGCTTAATATGAATGCAACCCTTTGCAATGAATTGCCTACGGTACAACAGATGGCCTACGGCGCCCTGTTAGACTTTGCGCATCCACAACTAACTACAGCCGCGATACTTCCCATGATTGACTTGGAATGGAAAAAATTGGATGCTATGGTGGAAGAAGCGTTACAAATAGACGAAGCTTCCATTTAGGTGATCGTCACAGAGCATGTGCCACTTCACGTCGATTTATTCTTTTGATAGCTACTGTAGGTTTGCTTCAATTTGCTATTTTCACTTAAAGTCACCTAGTTTCATGGATCGTGCTGACTCTATTCCAGTCACTCAACATTAATTTTGAAGTCATGCTGAATACCAGGTCCCCTACACAATCCATGCGGCCTTTGGAGACTCTATGTGCGATTTTTCGCTAATTCAAAAAAGGAAATTAGTATATCGATGCCAACCTAGCCGGTGTCACGGTCCTTTGAAACGCTTGCCTCTCAGGACAACCCGGTCTAATGTCTGGGGTTCCTTCGCCTTCTGGGGATATGAGTGGTTTGTCGATATTAATGGAGCTGATGAAAGAGGATAGTCTCTTTTAGGTCATACTCATTGGAGTGCTTGGGTAGATAGAATCAAAGGACACAGCGCTGCTTGTGGTGCATATGTAGCTTTGTATTCCTGGTGTCATGGGATTAACTTGTTATGCGCTTTTGGACAAGAAAATTAGATTAAGACTACATAATGTGGCTAAGGGACCATTGCGAAAGCCCGCGGCGCGGCTTCTTACTCAAAGTTCCAGAAAAATTTTACTTAATACTCTGCTTTTCTTTTCAAGGTTAATCTCCTGAAATGGCCTTTTCATGGATGCATGTATGTATTTCAATCATCTTCGATCCATACCAATAATGATATATATGGAACAAAAAGGCTTTCTAACTGAAAGTAATACAGATCCATTTAAATGTAGTGGCTTTAAAAGACCAGAGGGTCAATTTGATTTAGCTAGGATATAAACCATAAATATTCTAGCAGTTATGGGCAACTTCAAAAACGGCGTGTCCTCATATGCCGTTAATTCTTCAGAGAACCCGATTTTCCACCCTGTATGCCATTAAAGAGCATTCACCAATCAAGCAAACACCCAGCCATCCAGAAACACAACATGACATACAATTGTTTATTTGAGGGGAATGAAACGCGAGGAGTGAGTAGCACCGATACCAGGTCTACCGTGCTTGACAGGTTTGCTGTAGTTGAAGTTAGTAAGCATACCAGTAGGTTCCTTGTGCGCACATTGACGTACTATGTAATCGAGAACTCTCCCAGGTAGTGTCCAACCATCTCAGGCTTGATTTCAACCTGGTTAAATTCTTTGCCAGAGTAGACGCCAACAACGCTTCCAATCATCTCCGGGACGACAATCATGTCTCGCAGATGCGTCTTCACGAGGTCTGGCTTCTCATTTGGCTTCGCTTCCTGTTTGGCCTTTCGGAGCTTCTTGATCAAGCCCATGGGCTTGCGCTTAAGGCCGCGGTTAAATCGACGGCGGGCACGGGCGTGAACGACATCGCGAAGTTGCTCCGATGAGAGATCCAGAAGTCTGTCATAAGGTGAACAATCAGATTATCGTCCTGCATACTCGCAATGTATAAAGCATCAATAGACTCGAAAAGACTAGGTTTGACATACTGCTCGAGGTCGATTCCACGGTAGGAAAACTTCTTGAACGTTCTCTTCTTCTTGAGCTCTATAAAGAGGTGGGTGTCAGCGCTTCCTTTCCACAATGTCCTATCGCGATATCTTTTCGGTTGTATTTCGATGCCATAGCATCAAGTGGGAAATCAATACGGATAGTGTTTATTGGAGTCTCTCGACGAATCTGCAGAAAAGATCATTTAAATAACGTACCGGCAGCCTCCTCCGCATTCTATTACGAGAAAAGTCAAGTCAGTTCCAATCTTAATTTGGGTCCCAAAGGTGTTTTCAAGTCATATAACTCACGTATTCAGTGTCAGCCATGATTGCGGATTGGTCTTTCGGGGCAACGCGGTGTTGTCGATTGGAAAGACGGGCGATGAAAGATATGTCTTTGGGCTGATGGTAACCGTTCCGCTCGCCTTCATTGCGTTTGGGGTGGAAGTTTGGATGGCTCGGCTAAGCGACCACGCTAATGACTCAGCAAGCCCTAGGTTGCCCTGATTAGGCAAGACAGCCCTATCAAACCCTATTTGCGATAAGACAGCTACCGCTCCTGAGCTTGATAGGGACAATGCAAGAGCGACTTCTACTTGAGGTGGCTGGGCATATTTCGCATTTGATAAACTGAGGGGACCAGTTGGGTGAGCGGCGGGTTATGTTAGATGCGGTAAACTTGCTACACCTGCAGGTTAAGTCTAAACAGGCTCGAAAGGGTCCAAGCTACTCCGTACTCGATACTTTAACTAATATGTTATGGAGAATCTGAGAAGTATAGAAATAAAGATGGATCATTTTTTATTCCCTTGCGAGTCTCGTCTCGAATATACAGTGTATAGGCGCTCAATTTTAAAACTATTCACCATGACTGCATTTTTGCCATCCTATGAAAAAAGGACACTCTTGAATTCCTTATATCATAATCATCAAGGTAGAAACACGGCTTTGGTGGGAAGCTTTCCAGTGTATCTGTGTAGGCGACTGTCACCAGCACCATCGTCGTTTCATTGGCAAGGGATCGCCGTCTAGTCAAAGAGACCGAAGCCCATGTCTTCATCGGACTCTTCTTCCTCTTCCTTCTTCTCTTCCTCCTTTGGAGCAGCGCCAGCGTCACCACCAGCACCACCGGCAGCAGCAGCAGGAGCAGCGCCGCCAGCGCCACCGGACGGCACGGAAGCGAGCTTAGTCGTACCCTCGGTGATCAACTATACGAAGAAAACACTAGTTAGTAACTCGGCGCCTTGTAATAAGGATCTCTCCGATGGTAACTGACCTCCTGAAGGTCCTTGCCCTCAAGCTCAGAGATCAACTTGTCCAAGCGCTCTTCATCAGCGTCGATACCAACAGAAGAAAGAACGTCCTTAACATCGCTAGCAGAGGGGGAGGTGTTGCCACCGAGGCCGAGGAGAAGATAAGCTGCGAGGTGCTTCATGTTGTGTGAGGAACTGCAAAACCAAATGGTTAGCTCGATGGTGATTCTGGCAAGGGTACTGCAGAAGAGGCGGCATACTAGTGTTTGAGCGGGTGTCGCGAACAAGAGAATCAATCGATTTAACCGCGGATTGGGCGGAGACTGAGCTTCGAGTTCGATGTTGGTGATGATGCTCGACAGCGGAATTTACTGTGAATTTGTTCGATCGTGCGCGCGGCTTGGCGCTACCAGCCACGGGCCGGTAGTTAAGCGAAGCGTGTGGCTGATGCGGCTGACTCAGCTTCTTATCTAAGCCCGCTAGCGCCGGCGGCTGCGTATAAAAGGCGCGCGACTCCCGCCCTCGCTGGCCTCTTCTCTTCTGTTCGCTTTCTTACTGCTCTCTTTTGATGTGGCGCTTGACCGCGGGTCTCGCTGTGGTATTTCACAAGATCTCGAGCGCTGCGGCCCCATGGACTCCGCTGTTTAGCTTGTTTCTGCTACATTCTGTGGTCAATCTTGATGACCTGGCCTAGAACATCAAAATCATGATTCATCCACAAGCTGCATTCTGCGTTGGCGAGCGATTTCTACCCCACCTACGCTTTCACAGTCAACCCTTGCCATAATGAGCGTATGCTTCACTTGTCAAGTCTGTTAAGCCTGAATCTAATTTGACGTCTCTAGTTCCTTAATTCGGTCCTCACGTCTATCGGAACGGGGGATGCGACCATCACCCCGCCACCCGCCCATATAAAGGCCAAGTCAGAGCCCACCCCTTCTTTGAGTACAAAAGCGTCCTCTACTCAGCGAAATGGCTCCTCACTATACCAAAAACATACAGCGGAACTCGACGTGCTTCGTCCTATCAGTAAACTGAACAAGGTTACAAAGCCGTCAGCCACTGTTCGGTCGACTCTGCACAGCAAACCGCCTACACCCACATCAACTACCCAACCCCCATTCAAAGCGAAGCCAACAGCTCCCTCAACCGCGAAGCCTACCGCTCCTTCTCAGCGACTCGTGGCCCCTGCGCCTTCGAAACCCCCGCCTAAAGGCTCGTTTGCCGACATTATGGCCCAAGCCAAAGCCTTGCAGCAGCAAAAACCCCTCAGCGTTGGTGTGATTAAGCATCAAACTGTTGTGAAGGAACGCATGAGCAAGCCAAAACGGGAACGTTTGCTAAAAGAAGCAAAGCAGCGGGAGCTAGAGGCAAACAAGGTCAAAAAGACAACAAGCGCACGCTCTTCGCCTAATGCTGGGGGACGGTTTAGGGATGAGAAAATGCAGTCGCGCAAAGAGCGTTCCGAACCTGGTTACAGAGGGACTGCACGACCATCCGCCGCCCCAGCCTATACTGGGACTGGAGGGCTTCCATCGCGGCGCGGGACCAGCGCACCTACCCAAGATCGCCGCAAATCTAAACATCCTTCTAGCCGCATCAGGGATGAATATCTCGGAACAGATGAAGAAGATGAAGGAGAATACTCTTATGGTGGTGACGATTATTATGATGACTACTCCGACGCTTCGTCTGACATGGAAGCTGGAGCTATGGATTTGGAAGAAGAAGAGCAAACTGCCCTTCGCTTCGCCAAAGCAGAAGATGAGCGAGAACTCAAAGCAGAAATGGAAGCGAAGAAAGCCAAGCTAGACCGCAAGAAAAAGCTTGTTGCCCTGTCCAAGTCACGACGCTGAGAAGCTTCTACGTTGTGTCTTTTCGACATTTCTTCTCTCTGAACTTGTTTTTCCCAATCCTATACGTTAGCGGGCGTGTTTTTCGGCGGGCTAGCCATCATTTCTACTGGGTACTTTTCTTCTGGGTAGCTGGGATCAGGAATCAGCAGAGCGTTACATAGATATCATTATAATGTTTTGCTGCTTTTCATTGCTTCTTTATCTTCTATGTATATGCATAGCGCGGTTGCTTTTTGAGGTTCAGTTCTACAGTATTGCATAGCGGCATGATAAGACCGAGGTTTTAAGGGGTGCGTGACCGCATGACATCATCACCTTGCACCACCTCGAACTTCTGTTTCTCTCCCTCTCATACTCACACGTCGATCAGCCATCAAACGCCACCAGCCGTACAGACTATCTCTGCTGATAAATTCCATGTCCGCGAATCCAGTAAACGAGGAAGGCTCCTCGACCATGTCGTCGTCAACGCGAAATCTCTTTATTAAGGTAAAGAGATTGGTACCCCCGATGCTCGAAAAGTTCCATAAGGGTAATTAGTTGCATTATAGCTGTTTTCGTCTCCTCTTCCCGCTAGACTTTAACTGCTACTACCTAGCACGCCATTCTTATTACTTGGAAAGACACTGTAGAGAAGGTAGGCTGACAACTGACCTAGGTCAATTAGGACGGGTGGCCGTTATTGGAGGGAGCATAGAGTAAGTCCCTCACATTGTCAAATCTGTTTTCATGCCATATTGCTATCACGAGTATCTCTCTCTAATTTCTACTCCCTAAACGCTACCACACGCCTCGATTTTCCCCTGAGGCTCCTAGAGTAGCATATTCTCCTAATACACATTTCAAATTGAAAATATGCTGTTAATTCAGATAACGTAATTCACATGGGCATGCTATTGTTTTAATACGCTTCTTTTCTGCTTTAATTTGACTGAGCTTTTTTCTCTATAGCTACACAGGTGCACCGTACTTTTCCGCAATGGCATCAGCCAAACTAGGTATGATACTTACATACGTCGGTATGGCATGGCCTAATACTAACAAAAAGAATAGGATGCGATATGGTAAGCACCTCTCGGATATGTGGATTGTGTTCCAACCTACACCTCTTTATATCGAAAGATCATTGACACGCTTTTCTAGAGCCACGTAATCTGCGAGCCTTCAGCAGCTACGGTATGCAGTCATATAGTATCCCCCCCTTAGTAAGAAAATATATAATCCTTACCCCTACTTATCACAGGTAATAAAATCATATTCTCCGAATCTCATGGTGCATCCCATCCTCCAAAGCACTAACTCAGTTCCCAATACCTTGACAAAACGAGACCCGTGTTATCATGCTGAGCCTATCATCTCCTTCCTATCCCGAGTTCACGTTCTAGTCATTGGCCCTGGTTTGGGCCGAGACCCACTCACCCAAAAAATTACCATGGAAGTAATAAAAGAGGCTCGTGCAAAAGGAATTCCTATGGTACTGGATGCCGACGCACTCGTAATTGTTCAGACATATCCTGCACTAGTCAGAGGGAATGAGCAATGCATTCTCACACCCAACGTTGTTGAATTCAAACGCCTTGCCAGAGCTCTGGGGGTGGATGTGTCTATGCTGGATACAGGAAGTGAAGATAGGGAGGAAAAGAATAGGCGAAAAAATGAGTCAGAAGCGTGTGAAAAATTGTCAAATGCCTTGGGTGGAGTGATGATAATTCAGAAGGGAATTCATGATATAATTTCGAACGGAGTTTTGTCCTTAATCTCAGACTCACAAGGCGGGAAGAAGAGATGTGGCGGCCAAGGAGACACCTTAACAGGAGCTTTAGGAACATTCCTTGCTTGGAGAAAGGCATATCACGAATGTTTATGGGACATAGGGGAGATGTCTCCCTTAAACCAAGAAATAGCGAAAAGTCGAGCTAACATCGAAGCTGAGCTATATGACGAATTTAGCAAAGAACAAGAGAGAAAAATGAGCCCAAAAACGACATTGTTACTCGCCGCGTGGGCAGGTAGTGTAATAACGAGAGAGTGTTCGAGGAGAGCGTTTATTGCTAAAGGAAGAAGCATGCAAGCCAGTGATTTGACAGAAGAGGTACATGGAGCCTTTTTGGATCTAATTGGAGAACCGGAGGCATCAAAGCTGTAGAAGTTATATATCTCTGGCCAGATACATCTATGATCTGCTCTGATAGGTAGTTTGTTCCAGACTAACAGACAGTAATGATAGTCATATCGAAACAAAATGAAATCTAGCCCAACAACTAATGTAAGTACATACATATCATGCGTATAGACATTGCTCTATAACCATTCCAATATCAGGTATGTGCAGGACATTGAACCGACTCCAAGAGGTTTGAGGGTCCAAGAACAAAATAGACAGTGTAAGAGAAAGGGGGTAAAGGTTCTTCAAATAGACACAACAGGCATTAAATGCTCCACCGATGTTATGAAAAATAAAAACAAAAGATGGTTAGCTAAATGTACCCACAAAGCTGTTTCAGTTATTATAAATGCATTCCATGCAGGGTGAATGCATGCAAACAGTGCAGGCACTCTCTAGCGCAAGCGTGTACGTGTTTGGAAGCACACATTGGCACTGTATATGAGTGTTTAGTTAGTTCACAAATTTAGAGAAATGGGCCAAAAGAGGTGCCTACACAAGTAACACACTGCCCTGCACCTTGAAGTGGATCAAGAGGTTTGATGAATGACCCAGTAAAAGACATCAAAGAGTCTGCGGTTGCCTTTCTATAAGCCAAACGGGCATTGGTCTGGGCCGAGAGCGGCTGATGTAAGTTTTGATGTTGAGGTGGGCTATCTGGACCGCCCTCTACCTCAAAAATACCGTTCTGCGATGTTTGGTTGGATATAAATCTATGTTTATTTAAAGGCTCAGGGCTCGGGGTAAGAGTGATTGCGGGTGTATGCCCAGTATCCTGTGGTTTCTGACCGGCAACATATTGAGTATGTTCATTCGCGAATAGACTCCCGTTTGCAAGTTCGCTACTGCTGCTTGGGTGGCCAGTGTTGCTTATCTTAGATATTTGACATATCGTTGCTGGCGTGATATTTGGGTTAGAAACTCCTGCAGATTTTGATAATTCCTCTTCCGTAAGGAGTTGCTTAGCTCGTCCCTTTGTGTGGCAACCGGACGGTAGAAGCCAGTCTTCAATACACTGGCCTTGGTTGAAATGCTCTTTGTCGATATGGTTAAATCTGTCTTGCCAGGCATCTAGCCCTTCGCTCTGGAGTTGAACCAGTTTGCAGCAGAAACCACACCAAAATTGACCTTGGCCATTCCTACCAATTTTGTCCGTGCGTAAGCATACTTTTATTCGGGCGTCACTTAGTTTATGGTCATTACGGAGGTGGTTAGAGAAAAGTTCGGACCGACAAAACTGGCGGGCACATTCTCGAGTATCCAAAGAGCCCGCGTTGCTCCCTGTTCTATCAATTTCAGGTGCCTGACAGCGCCAGCTTTCTAGGTGAAAATGCTTTGAGTTCTCATGTCTTTTCCAGTCACTCTTGCTACCAAACTCTTTATAGCAATCTGTAAAAGTACAGCCGTATGGCTTGGTATGCCGCTTCATGTGTTTCCTAAACGACTATGGTCAAACACAGTATGCCACATATATGGTGAGAGTACACACTTTAGCTCGCACTTCCGGCGAACGGTGGCTCGGCAGTGGGAACATTTGTACCCTCTCTCCCCAGCATTTTCAGCGTTACATTCACCGGTCAAAGAATCAGTCATAGATGAGTTATCATTATCATCCTCATCATCACTCTCACTCTCATCATTATCCTGGGGGTTCAATTGTTCATATCCACTCTGAAGAAGTCTGCTAAAATAGTCTCTCCCCTTTTCTCCAGAAGCTAGGAGCAATTCACGAAATGATGAAGTTTGAGAGACACTATCGTTGGAAGACTGATCCTGCTGTTGCTGCGATTTCATACTCTCCATTTCTTCCAGCGCTTTGAAAAGGCCCATAACGGTTTCCGCAAGTGACTCAGAAGCTGAAGTATTCGAGGGGTCACCATCGGGGTCGGCAAGGAATTGCGAACCAGGGCTGGGTAAAAGGTGATCCTGTAGGGAGATAGGATCATCGTTAGCGGTGGTGCCTTGTTCTGAATAACCTTGAACCTGCGTTCCAGTGTCTCCATCATCTACGGGTTCAGGCGCATATATAGAAGCGGTAGTCGAGAGAATCGCAGTATGCTCCGAATAGAAAGAAGGTGTTTGAATGGATAGGTGTGCTTCTGAGGCGAAATTTGGCGCAAAAATATCTGCACTATTAACAGGTGCGGCATTGCTTTCACTTGGAGCTGTCGATACAGAAACGTCATCGGCCGCTCGAAGGTAGTCGCCTACATGTTTAGTAGACTCATACCACGCATCAGATCTACGGTTCTGGTCAGTGTATAATCGATAGTTGGTGGTAGTAATTACAATACTCACTTGCGGAGCATCTCATCTACATTGCAGCCTTTGTGAACCCGAGTAAGGTGCTGGCGAAAATTGTCTGCTCGAGGCCAAACTTTCAGCGCTTTCGAACAGTTCCTGACAAAACATCGGAAGACTTTGTCAGTTCCGTGGGTGGGAAGAATTCCATGTACTGATTTGCGGTGCCTATCCAAATCATTTGGTGTTGCAAAGCCTTGCGAGCGCTTGCAGCCGGAAATATCACATTTGTATGGCTTTTCATGGCGATCCGTATGCTTCCTGAGGCAAATCATGTGTATTAGGTCACAGAATACCGAGTCAACAGAACTTCGATGCAACTAACTTTAATTCAGATCTCGTCTTTCCTACCCAGTCGCATTCAGAAACCTCGCAAGCGAAGTTAGATTTTGTTGATTGCCTACTCCGACGGGACTGTGTAGTTTGGTTGTCTGTCTGGTCATGACTGAATGGAGTGAGGGGGCTGGGTGAGGTTGGAAGCATTGGGGGATGAACCGCATTGTATAGTAAAGATGGCGAAGTGGATAGGAAGCCATTGGGCAGGCCGGCATCCTCCAGTAATTGTGACGTCTGAACTCCACCTGCCACGGATCTTGTACCAATGCTTCTGGTAGCATAGCCCGAATCTGATAGGAGACTCTGTTGCAGACAGCCGCCTAAGTCTGACATGACTCCGCTGTCCCTTACAATCTTCAGGCGTTTTGTGGCCCGTGGCGGGCTCCGAGGCATGGTATGTTGCGGAAGACCAGTGACGCCAACGGGGTCCCAGACATCGCACCTTGAAGGCGCTATAACAGATATATTATGAGGCGAAATTGGTGGTTGGGTATTCAGAGGGGAAGAATGGCAGGTATACCGCGAGCTATCTGGGGAGACGTACTGCGGAAGGCCCGCAGGGGATTCTCCCAAGTTTGCAAGATATGTGTTGGCGGGAAGTGAAAGGTACGAGGGAATGCCATCGCTAGAAGAAGTCAATGCCACGGGGGTAGGTGGTCCATTTATACATAGTAAATCCTCGGGGTGGCTTCTGGGCAAGCTGTCATTGAAACTCTCCGGAAATTGAGACTGTAAAGAACGCTAACGCCCAAAGCATCAGCAAAATGATAAAAGAGAGGTAAACCAAGTAAGAAAACCAGGGCAGAGCCGCAATGGCAGAGTCCGAAAGATCACGTACCCAATCGTGGTCAAACTCGCTCTGGTAATGGGGAAGAAAATAGTTCTGGGCCATGATCGACTCTCGGCAGCGGCAGCGAGGGCCGCTGGGTAGGTCTGGACTCTGACGAATATGTATGGATATGCCCCGGTGAAGAAAGCAAGCCTCTTTCCCTAGCTTCTAACAGTTTGCAGATAGGCAAGCGGATTGACTCGAGAGGGGTCTAGATCGTTGAGAACAAGCGGGGGCACTGCGCAAGGATAGTTCTCAGTTCCATTTCCCGGCGATCGTCTCAGAAAAAAAGCAAAGGTCAGAGGGGCTGGCCCGGCGAAGAGGCAGAGAGCCTGGGCTACAAAAGAATGTTATCAATGCAGGCTTCAAATGAGAGTGTCACACAGAAGATCAGATGCCGAGGCGATGACAGAAAAAAGCAAGCGAGGAAAAAAGGAAATAAAAGACCTAGAAGCAAAGAGCCAGACTGCTCAAATTAAATCTAGGCGGCTTTCGAACACGGAGGAGGATTACTATCGGGGGGGCAGGAGGATGGAGAATAAGCAATGCGAATGCCCAGCTGCTGGCTTCGGGATAGGGAGCGAGGACAGGCACGGCGACAGTGCAGGCCGCGCGGGTTGGGGACGACTGATAGTGAGACGAGAGCCCAAGGCCGGGGTGGAAGGGCGAGAGGGCCGCAGATGAGGGGAAGACGGAGCCTGGCTAGCTATTTGGCGCAGCTGGCGGATAATGCAGCTTGCTCGCGCATTGTCGGCCTTGCTGGGCCAGATACGGGCAAGAATTCTCAAGGCTAGTTAGTCAACGGACGCCTGGGTCACGGAATAGGGTCTCTCTTTTGCTTCCTGCGTGCTGCGTTCTGTTCCTCGCCGCTGCTGTGATCTCTGGCAAACGATCCGAGAGCGAGAAAGATGCCTGAGCTTGAACAAATTAATGAGTGAGTCAGTGCCGCGAGTCCAGGCGGTATAGGAGACGCAGCCTTCGATCGAGCGCGGATAAAGATCCCTGGCTCCGTCAACACGGGATAAGCAAAATAACTAGTTAGTTGGTGGCTCCGTCGAAGAATATCTCTCGATCGGCGGAGTCCGAATAGCCAACACATATATATTCAAAATCGAAACAGATAGGCTGTGCCCGGCCACGCTCAGGCAAGGCAACAGCCAGTTCGTTTCTTTGCATCGAACTAGCGTGCCCGTCGCCTCACTTCTTGCAAGCTTTCGTTCTCCAGGCCTGGCTTTTTAAGCTCCGCGGGTGGATTAGGTGGCGCCGCCTGATGCTCGCAGTGGCTAGTTTTATCGACTAAAACGACATGACTGCAGCCCGTTTCATGTTTCTCCTTGGCCGACATTTTCGCCACACAAGGCAACGAACTTGGATCGAAGCGTCTGAAGCAAAGGTTGATGATAGTTGCCACAGCATCTGCACAGCATTACCCGGAATGAAGAATCTCTGTGCTGAGTCACCCAAAATTAACAATGACATACATTTCGTTTGTCCACTTCTGGTTCATGTATGTTGATCTTTAAATACGGGTACGATGGCTGTGAGATATCAAATGTAAACCAAAGTGTACTCCCTACAGGGTATTAGCGAGCTATACAGGAAGGAAATCGCTGTCGTTATCCAGCAGTTAAATCGGAATAAGTTGGGAAACAGGGCTCTGAATCGATAGGGAGAAATCCGAATATTAAAAAAAAAATCAAAAAATAACATCAAGGCGCTCAATATCAACAGTAGCTGAGATGCAGCCCAATTCACATTAAATAAATCACCAGGATGAGATTTGTCAAATCCAACGCCAGATCACAAAAAAAGAATATATAGGATCATAACGCGGAATTAATTCCAAACCATGCTGCCGTTCACTCATTGATTCCCATATAGATGCTGTCCGTTACCTGGATGCGTGTATGCATGTCCCTGCCCTAAGTTTGATGCATCCATTGAATATGCCATTGCGCCCCCAGTTGAAGTGTTATACAAAATTGGCCCAGGCAGCGTCCCTTGGCCCGCAGGATTTTGTCCAATCGGGTCCATATACGGAAAATGTTCTACTGGTGATGCAAATAGTTGGTCGCCACCACCAAGCCCAACCATTGGTGGACTAGACTGCAGAACATTCGAAGTGTGGGGGGCTTCATTCATTATTGATGGCACGGGCGGTGCATTGAATGCGGGTGGATAGGTGGCTAAGTTTCCTGTGTCGAGTTGCCGTGGCATTGGCCCTGCTGCTGTATACACTGCTGGCTCGCCGCCTTGGAGTGTTGGGGAATTACCCGGTGGCATGTTGTATGGAATGCGTGCCGCCGACTGCTGTGGATGCGGCTGTTGCTGCTCATTCGGGGAGGTTAAGTTGAGCGCGTTGTGCATTCGTAGCCGCTGGGAAGAGACGTTTGGTTGTTGTATGGAGAAGGCCTCTGTCAACAGTGCGGCAGTTCCATAAACAATTGGTTGGGGGCCACTTCGGCCTTTGTGACGGCCTCGTGATTGAATAGAGGATTTGTTCCGGCTGTCCGCTGTGCCAAAATAACCATCTGAGGCGGCCATGTTACTTTGAGTTGAATCATCGATGGAGCTCATGCCCGTGTTAAGACCAACAGTTCTTTGATCCACGAGGTTTAGAATAGGCATAGCAGCCTGCTCCATATGTTTCGCCATGTGGACAGTAAGTTTCTTCCAGGTATTGCACACGTTGCCGCAAAATCGGCACGCCTCTTCCGTGGGTTGCTTCGTTGTGACGTGACGACAACTCTCTACCATTTCCCACACCTTTTCAACTTCTGCTGACGTATGAAGGTCCAAGTCGCTGTGTAACGCCTTACTGGGCTTGGTCTGGCGACCCTTCCCGCCTTTGAGCTTTGGCTCCGGCATTTTGTGTTCTCGAACAAGGTGCTGAACAAAGTTATCTTTGCGATAGCAGACGTGAGAGCAGTCTGCTATATTGCATGCCCACCACTCAAGGTGGCGGTGTCTTTCAGTCTCGTGTCTCACCCAGTCGGCCTTGCGTTTGAAGGACTTGGGCTCCGGGCACTCAGGAAAGGTGCAAGTAAACGGCTGGATATCTTCGTGCACATGTTTTGTCCAGTCCGAGGGCTTCTTGAACTCTTTAACCTTGAAACATAGCGGACACTCAAACCTGGCTGGAAGTCGCCTGGCTGGTGGTAGTGGAACACCTGAAGGAAACAGAGAGGCTGTAATGACCGTCTCCCCAGCTGCATTGGCATCTTCGGGTGTTAAAACTCCCGCGCTGGGATGGAACTGATGGTGAGATGGATCGGCGTCCTTTGGGCTTCCTCTCACTGGGAATAAGTTGGAATCGCCTCCCTGAGCAAAACAGTGCGGTCCAGCTGTACAGGCGTGTCTGCTCACCGCTTGCGCATGCTTTAACTTCAACTCGACCAACTTCTTGTATCTTAGCAATTGCTCTCGACCAATTCGATCCACCAAAGCAGGCGACAATCGAGGGTTTAGCTGTTGTACATGGGTTTTGAATCCTTCAAGTGTTGGAACTATCAAATCGACGCGAACTGAAAAATCCATAACAACCCCCTTCTCATCTGAGGCATCTTCGTCATCTTCTTCGTTATCATCATCGTGCTCTTCAGCATTATGCCTAGCTACTGTGAAGTTCTCAGCGACGGTATTTAGGGTGACGGCTTTGTTTTGGATCGGTGATGCCAGAGTAGGCGGAGGTGATTCGCTGGAGGTAGTTATGGGTTGGGTTGCCTGGCTAATAGTGGGACTTTGGAGGTCTTTGGGCACGTCGCTTCGGCTACGATTACGCCTCATCAAGCTACTCCATGGCCCACCAGTGTGTTTAGGTGACTGAACATCCATGGGGCCACCACCAACGGATGCAATTTGCCTGCCCATTTCAAGAAGAGCACCACCCGTGTTTGAAGGGGTCTTGGACCGTCTCGTGAAACTAGGTTTGCGCTGTGGTAGGATCGAGTTGCCCTTTCCGGTCTCTAGAGACTCCGTGCTTGGCTGGATTTGATGAGCTGAGGTGTTATGTTTTCGCTTTGCGCCACTGTGACTTCGTTTAGGAAGAAGTTTACTGGCGTGTTCGAAAATACTATTGCGCCGAAAGAATTTCTCTTTGATACCTTCGTCGCTGATTCGCATTAAATCGAAGCGACTATTATTCCCAAGAATGCTTTCAACATCAACCTCAGTAACGTCTCGTGTGCCCCAAGTTGCTCTCCGGGATGCAGTCTCAATGTTGTCAGCCCGTCGCAAGAATTTATAGATGGCAGCATTGGAAGTGAAAGGCTGGTCCTTCGTAAATCCATGCCGATGACTTCCAGGTGGGTCTTTCCAAGGTCTTGCTCGAATAAATTGGCGAGGGAGAGGTTCAGCCGTTTGGGAATTGGCATTGTCAACCGACGGGAAATACCCGTCTTCCGAGTCTATTCGAGAATTTGTATCGATGCCGCTAGGCGACCGTGGGGGTGAGCTGTCGGATGTGTGAGAGCCAACGTCGTCCTCTGCTTCGCTCTCCTCGTCTATAAGGGCACCGGGACCGGGAATTGTTGAATCGTCAAACACTTCTTGGGCAGTGCCGGCATTGTTGGCACGATTAAATGGAGAATCGCCCGTGCTCCTCGCCCTGCGTCTTCTTGTGAAGCGCCATTTTTTCTGTTGATGGAAACCAAACAAGCTGTTGTCTTCAACTTCACTATTTACCTCGGAAACAGACAGCCAACGCTCCACAACAGCATTTTTTTCTTCTAGCTCTCGTTGTGCTGTGATCTCCTTCAAGCTCGGAATGAACTCATCAGTTCTTGAAGATGGATTCAAACCACCAAGCCCGGTAGATGGATCCGGAATCCAGCTTCCGTCTCCTGCCCGAAGCGTAGGTGAGGATGAGACGTTCCTGGAATACTTGCAAGAATCTTCAACACCATACTCATCTACGTCTTTTGATATGTCATCCTCGGGCGCAAGGTGTATGGAAGATTGACTTTTCCTTTTGGATGCACGGCTTAGTACATCATTGTCTCTTGAGGGGGAGTCCCCTCTACAATAGCTCGAGATTTTGACGACGGGACTTGGAGGATGGTCTAAAATATGTGAAAAGCAAAGATTAGGCGTATTGTCACAGGGAATAGATGGCGTTGGGAGTCGTAGGGTGGGAAGGTTAGGCCGCTTCTCAGCTAGAAGTGTCGCGGCAGGCAAATCGGTAATTTGAGTAGAAGGCTTCATAAGCGGATCTTGCAGCTGCTGACCGGAAGATGAACCAGGAGTGCCTGTCAGGACAGGGCTTAAGAGTTGCTGCCCAGGAGAATACGGATAGGCATTTCCAGTCGCGTTTCCTGGAGGAGTTGACTTTTCCAGGGCTGGGGCTGGGTGGAGGACTTCGGGGTCAATACAAAATTGACCTAGATCCGCAAATCCAGCTAACAGGTGCGCACTATGGTCCCCAAACAGAGTGTTGTCCAAGCGAGGAGAAGAGTAACTACTTAGGTCACTTTGGCCGGTTTCAATATTGCTTGTGGGGCTCATGAAGGCGGGGGACGATCGACCACTCGCGATAGCTGAGCGAGCATAGCCTTGGTTGGGGGGTATGGTTGGGCTCACGAAAGCCGAAGTATCGCTTAAGGGTTCCGTGGATCTTGCAAACAGCTGCTGGGGAACTAGCTGTTCCTCTGTAGAGAGTGGGTGCGATAGGAACGGATCATCGAAGTAATCAGACTTGAAAGCTCCAAGTCGCGGATTTTCTGGCTGCGAAGTGCCGGGCATTGGGCCACTCATGCTGCCGTACAGCAGGGAGGATGGGGACGTGGCTGGGCTGTGGTTGGTATACAGCGTGAACGGATACGGGCCAGCGCAGCAGAAGGGGTCACTGGCAAGCTATAAGGGACAAGCCATGCCACTTGAAAATTAAGGGTATGAGATGGGAAGACTAGGACGCGCCCTCATGGATTTTGGGTGGAAGCGGAGAGGTGAGCAGTGAGGAGCAAGTATTAATAATGACTGTTGAGCGGTACGGGCGCTGGGTGGGGACACCGGAGAGGGTTGGGGGTCTGCAGAGGGGCGCGCAGGTCGGTCACAGGTTGCGAACGAGCGTAAGGGCAGCCAGGGTCAAACGGGAAGAAAAGAGACGGACGGCAACAAGAGGCGAGAGAGGAAGATGAAGAGAAAGAGAGAGGTCGACAAGGCGGTGGGATGCGCAGTCGATGAAGACGAGCCGGGCTAGCATCAAACGGGCAAGGCGCGGCACCCACACGATCAATCGCAGCGGCAGCGTGGGCGTATCTTCCGCTCGCTCACGAACCATCAGGCGGCATGCGTCTGCTGCGACACAGCAAGCAAGTCTTGGGCTGCTTGGGCCATCGCCGTGCTCGAGCTAACTAATTTTATAGTTACCAGGAGGCTGAAGCTGATAAATACGCCCGACCTTCTCTTCGCCCGGCGGACTCTGGCTGGTGACCGTTGCGGCCCAAGCCGTCCGCTCCTCCGCTTGTCACAGAGCTGATCGAACAGTCTTCCCATGCGTCTGCCACTCTTGGCCGTAATTTCCGACGCTGTCGCAAGACACCCTGGCTCGAATTCAGGCCATGTCCTTGCGCCGAAACGTGGTGTGTCTGCACGGCCGATGCTAGTAACTAGTTAACTACTCCACACATAGAGAATTCCGAAGCACGAATTTGATGCTCTGTGATAACTAGTAGGTACGCTCTTATTTACCTTGTCCCTATCATTCTTGTGATCCTGAGGCCCGATGTTGCACTGAGCTCTTCGAATTGTGGATGAACCTTGATCGGTGGATATCACGACGAACGCTCGAGTGACTAGGTAGGTGGCCGTCGACAGAGTGTTCTTTTCCTGAAGAACACCGCCTGTTGATGCATGTTTTATTGATATGGCGGTAGGTGGGATTCGCCACAAGGGCCTGGTATTCTTATTTATACATGGAGCCTGCTGGTCGTATCGGCAGCCTGAACACATCTTCCTCATGCTTGATCATGACAGTCCACAATCGTTATACATAGCTTTTCCTAGAAATCGCCGCCCCTTTGCACATTTGCGTGGTGGCGCAGGCCCTATGATGCTGTGTGGAGGGATGCCTCGCACCACTCTTGCCAGGACAGGGGCATGCGAGGGTTGCCCTTGACCGCTGAGCTGCGTGTCGTTGGTCCGCGGAATTATTCAAGACAGCCCTGTAGTTAACCGCGATCCATCACTAATAGGCCGAAAAACATACTCTGCACCCTAGCCCTGAACCGCTGTAATGGGGGAGGTCTGCGTCAACCGAAAGCGGGCATCAGCTGACAATCTTACTTGGGAGCTATATTTTTTGGGAGATAACCTTCCATTGTAGTTATATTTTTCACTCAGGAGCTTTGGGGGCTGCCACATCGACCTGCTAGTCCAGATACTAGTGTAAGTCTTTTGCTCTATGATCATACAAAGGGCATTTGATGGCGGGCTCCTTCATGCCAGCCTGCACCTGAAAAACACGGTTTTCAATCTTCTATCACTTGTCTCCTCTTAGTATCTTCCACTGAGAGGAGACTTCTGTCTTCAATGAATGCACGATAGCAGACATCCAAGGAGTGAATAATTACAGAGCACCCAAGATGGTTAAAATATAGCTATCTAACCGTAGAGTAATAGAATTTCAAAAATGCTAAACAGTCTCAAAAAGTCACATATTAAATAAGCAAGCAAGAAAATGATCTAGAAAAGAATGGAAACAAAACTTTAAAGAAATAGTCAAAGAGTGTATAGGGTCAGAATCGAAAGTGAAAAAAAAGGACAAGGCAGAAATCGTAAAACAAAGGAAAAAAAGTATAAATGAATGGACCCCATTCCAGCACAGACAGACTAAATCGTACAGCAGTGCATTTGAACCATTCTCCCGTATGCATATCCTTTCCGGTAAACCATACATCCCAGCTTAACACCTATGTTTATGCACCCCAGTAGCATGAAAACGACAAGTTTGAATAAATCCATGCACCTCTCCAATCAGACCGTCACCGTAAACCACCCGAAACACATCGATCAGTGCCAGCACTTCACGCTTCTGCCTTTTCTGCTAAATTTTCGCCTGTACCAGCCCCATGGGTTTCAACGCCGTTGGTGGTCTCAGTAGACTCGACACCAAGTGGCGGTGCGTCAGTAGATTTCTTGGATAGTTCTTCCTTTCTCGCCAAAACTGGCGGGGAATCGGTGTAAAGAATAACACCGGGGACATAGACGCATTGGTTGGCTTTCTCGGCCTCTTCTGGCTTAAGGAAATCTTCGTGCACAGGCTCCCGATGAATCCGCGGGAGCATACGGAGAAGAGGAGTTCGGCCGCTTTCTGAGGGCTTTGGTGACGACGAGGAAGGATCATAGATAAACTCATCCCACTGGTCATTCGCAGTTTGGTCGTCGTCGGCAGATGGCATGGTGGCCACGATCAACTCTCTTTCCACGCGAGCAAGGCGCCATGTTTCCGCAGCTAGCTTGACAATTTTGCGTACGCTGATAACAAGAGCATCAAGGTGCTTAGGGTCTGTAAAATGAAGAATGTGGTCAACAATTTCGTCGACAACGACTGCGGCTACAACATTGATGGCTTGCTTCGCATCGGACGCAGTATATGCGGCTTTTAGAGTTTGTTGTCTCCAAAAGGCTTCGCGGCGAACGGACTTCCGGCGGATGTCAATAGATAACATCTGGAAAAATGTGTCGGCTTTATCATATCTTCGTCCAAGTGTGAAAAGGAACGGTTGGAAAATTCGGTATGTTAGTGTTTTTGAGACTACATGCTGAACATAGGCGGATCGGAGTTCACGGGACGCTGGGGTATTGTCCAGGAACTGGGGAATGTCGGAAGGGATTTTGGCTAGGATGTGGGCCGGTGGTTCAATGGGAATATAGGTAAAGAATTCTTTCGAAAGCTCGACAATAAGGCGGGACAGATCACCGAAACAGTCAATGCTAAGCAAAGATAATATCAGAAATGAGGTCTTATATGTTTCAAGGTCTGAATATAATGAAGTTATCTTCAAATAGTATTCAAACCTCAACAGCAGTCTAAAAAAAGTTTTTCGAGTACAGATGACAGAAAACAACGAAAGAACGATATCAACCTAAGGGAGACCACAACGCACCAAGACACTTACAAAAAGGCATCCCCTTTAATCTTCATGTCTGTCGCCTCACCCAAACTATGCAGAGTCTTCTTTAATCTTTCGCGGTCCTTGCTCAAATTATCATGCGTCTGGCGCATCTCTTCTACAATGTTTTGAAGCTGTTCTTCTCTAGTCTTTCCATCAAGAGAGAGCACCTCCTTCTCCTCAAGAACTAGTTTCAATTCTTCCGCTTTTTGCTTCAACTGAGCTTCAAAGTCTTCACGGTCCTTTTGCCACGATTCTTCTTTTTGTTGCCGTTCAGTCGTCATTTCTGCAACCTTATCCTCACTTGCTTTTGTTGCATTCTTCTGTTCCTCTAAGGCGGCTTGTAGCGCGGCTACTTCGGCAGCATACTTCTCCCTCACATCATCGAGCTCGGTCTGCTTAGCATCAAGGGCTTCTTGTTTTGAGACTAGCTCGGCTTCTTTAACCTCCAATTCCTGTTTCTTTTCCTCGAGTTCCGCCTTGACCCCTGCCAACTGCTCTTGAATAGACTGAAGTTCCGATTGCTTAGCTTGAAGCTCAGCCTGTTTCTCGTCTAGTTCACACTGTTTGGCTCCAAGGTCGGCGATCTTTGATTCCAAGTCAGATTTAAGGCCGTTTATTTCTTCTTGTTTCGCATCAATTTCTTTTTGTTTTTCTTCAAGCTCTTGCTGCCTTTTTTCAAGCTCAAGTTGCTTTGCGTCCAGGTCTAATTTTGCGGCATTTAGCTCTTCCTGTTTGCTTTCCAATTCGGTCTGTTTTGCATCCAGTTCACCTTGTTTCGCTACAAGATCGGCTTCCTTCGCATCTATTTCATCCTGCTTAACTTTCAACTTATTGTCATAGTCAGCTGCCATGTCGACTTTGGATTGCTCGAGTTCTTTCATTTGCCGCTCCCAATCCGCCTTGAGATTGTCTCGCTCCTCGTTTAATTCCTGCTCACGAGCCTGGAGTTGTTCCGCAGCGAGCCGGTCATCTTCGTTCTTAATCTCCTGAAAATAACCGTTGAGCTCCTCCTTTTGGGCAGCAAGGGCGTCCTTGGTAAGCTCTTGTTGGCGTTGCATTTCTTCTCTATGGTTGAATTTCTCTTCCTGCATAGTTTTTTGAAGGCCGCTGATTTCCTCCTCCAAGTCCGCTCGTGCCTGGATGAGTTCATCATTAGCTTTTTTCAGCTCCTCTAGACTGTCTTCAACATCGCGATGCTGCTCCTGCAAACCACCGAGTTCCATCCGAAGTTCAGAAATTCTGTTTCTCAATTTTGCTGCCTCTGCGGCATTCTCTTTTGCCGCTTTCTGTATTTGTGCCTGTAATGCTTCGATGTAAAACTCCTTTTCCATCAAAGAACGCTCGTGTTGTTCTTCAATTTGTCTACTTTGGGCGACATGGGCGGACAACTGGTTCTGTGTGTCACGATAGCTTGTCACAAGACGATTGATATCAGGGATAACGTTTTGTATCCGCTGAAGGAGCTTGATAGTATCACCTTCGATATGAAGTGAGTCGGAATTTCCATTTTCAGCTTGACGTTGCTGTGTTGGAGTAGACACACGTTTTGGTGGGTGGGAAGACATGTTGTACGGGTAATCTGGGTGGTTACGACCAAAAGAGCCGCGACTGGCCATTCTTGAATGGTACCTATCCGCGTTGGATGAGTGAACCACAGGAGAATAGTGGGTTCCCACTGATACCGCCATTGCTGCTTGGTTGGGGTCGTGCAATGACCCGTTCGGGTAGATTGGGGTCGGTGCGTATGGGTGGGGGTACGGAATACTGTAGGCGTAATGTGGTGAGTGAGCATGCACTGGAGAAGCAGACTGCGGATAACCGTATGCTTGTGGGGAGCTTGTCTTGGGCTTGGCGGAAGGCAACGAGGGTGAAGGAAAACGCGGTTCCGCCACAGATTGTTGTCGTTGTGATTTGGGGGCTATCTCTGTTGGAGTTGGTACTGGAGATGACTTATAAGCGGTGTGAGAGACATCGGTATCAGAAGCTGGCTCGAATATACTTGTTGCAGGTGTTTCTTTTGGATTCGGAATCGGGGTTTCCGATACGGTGTCTTGAAGCCCTGACGCTTCAGTTACTTTCTCAGTCTCCCTTTCAGATTCTGGGCTGAGGACGCTCTCGAGATGCTTGCTCTCAATTTCAGGCTCCTTTTCGAGTTCTTTATCCTGTTCTATCTCCAGCTCCCTAGGAAGTTCTTCAGGTACAATTGTCGAGTCTTCGTTTGCTAGAGAACTGCTATTCAGTTGAGACGCATCCAGTATAGTTTCGGGGATATTGTTGAAAACAGGTATAGGAAGAGAATCCGGTGCAATATCCACGGCTATGTCGACAGCTGGTTCGGGGAGTGCTATAGGTTTGTTTTCTAGAATAGTGTCTAGAATAGGTTCCGGCGCAGCAATAGGTACAGCCTCAGCGGCGATGTCCGTAATGGATTCTGGAACCGTGCCAGCTTCGGTATCTGGAACAGTGTCAAGTATAGTTTCGGGGCCAATATTGGGTTCAGTTGCCGGTACGGAGGTCTCTTCGATGAACTCTAAGGGTGTCGCCGGTGGTGTAGCTTCTGCTGACTCTGCAAAAGGAGTTTCGACTGTAGGGGAAGTATGGGACTCGGTCTTAGGAGACAGCGGCAGGGAGGACAGCTGTGCAGCTGTGGCTTCTTCTGGAGGAGGAGTGGGTAGTTGCTCTAGATTGTCTTCGGCATCTTGAGATTGTTCTTGTTCTAGTCCTTGAGACAGTTCTGGTTGCTCTTCCCCGTCTTGCTGTTTTTGTTTCTTTTGATTTTTCTTGTTCCCTTTTTTTTTCGGCGCCATGGTGACAGAGGGTGAAGAAATACTCAAAGATGAGGGTTTGTATGCGGTAGTATGAAACGTGTTCCCAGTGAAGGAAATAAAAGAAATCGCTTCTTGCTCGAAAAAATTGCAGAGTTTATGGCAGCAAGTAACTGTGTAAGAAGGGCCAAAGCGTTAGCGACATACCCCTGCTATGGTCAATCGGGAAGGAGGGTAGACACTGACAACTAGAGCTTTGACAACAGTATTCTCGGACGGAGACACGCAATAACACCGCTTGGCATGGAGTGACGGGCTGCGTTGTGATTCAGGCGGAGACCATAAGGCGCACAGATACCGGCTCAAGAAACAGGCTTTAGATTGTAGGTGGCTGTGGTGGCACTAATGGTGTGTCGCAGAGAAAAAAAAGAAAGAGGATGTTCAGTGTACAAGTCAATATTAGGCACTCAAAATCAAACCAATGCGAATTGCATCCATGAAACAAGTATTGTGTGGGAAGAAAAAAGGAGAGAAAGCGGAAAAGTAGAAGAGCAAGTAATATCTGCTCTTTTCAAAAGCGCTGAATCCAAATCGTTCAGCCGAGAAAGAAAATTTAAATACTTTTGGAACGAAGCAAAACTTCCATATGCACGGGCTGACCTCGGCCTCACACTTGCATTACTTTGTTGTGATGAGTGGTAGCGTGACTTCACACGTCAACCGAGCCCGCCACAGAAATAGACACAATGATCGAGTCTCCAAGAGCGTAATGGAAGCGACTCTGCAGGAGAAATCTCTGTTTGAGAGCAACGCCCAATCGTCTTTGATCCCAGGGGTGGTTGGGCATCAATTCGGGGGTGTCAGCGTCGCTCGATATTCGCTGCCGTCTATTTGCACTGCATTAGTCACAAATTGAGGCAGCTGCACACCAACGGTTCGAGTTGTTGTGGCGGGTTGCCCGCCCTGCCAACAGTCAACGCCTGCAGCTAACAGGGCCAAAAACATTTGTATGAGACACATTTCCTTTTGTAAATGGGTGAGGTGTTAAGCGGCTGCAGCTTTAGGGTATGCCTCGTACAAACTCTCCGAATTTTCTGCAAATCAGTCGAGGGTCTTTCAAAGAGGCAACGCAACGGCACCCAATCGTAGGCCGTATGGCAGGGCGGGTATGCCGGGCTAATCAGGAGCAAAGTGATGCTGCAGGGCCCCATCGGCCGCAGCCCGGCATGTTCAGGCACAAAGCGAGCCATGGGCTCTGAGTCAGGGAGACCAGCAGTAAAAATCAGGGGGCCTACATGCGCTCCAGCTCACCAACGCCCGCTCACCGTCTCGCCCCAGACGCGAGTGTTTGGCTGGTATTACAACTGAAGAAGAGGCCCCAAAGGCGGTTGTCGGGTTGCGCCCGGCCCTAATCCCAACTCGGACATCACGTGTAGTTAGTCTAATATGGACATTACCTAATCATACGCCAAGACTCTCGACTTCTCGCCTGTTGAAGACTGTCTACTGGTTCTCACGCTGCGCCCGACCAGCCTAATCGAGCCAGGAAACAAAAGACCATGTTCGTTGCCCGGAGATCAGCAGCTCCGGCGCGGGCCGCCATCCGTCGCCTTCAGCCCCGCCGTGCTGCCCATAGCGAGGCCCATGCCGAGCCGGTGAATGAATCGTATGGTGTATGTGCTGCGCAGCCTCCCCTCCCTTCGATATTTGAGACAAGATACTTCCCGCTTCTAATTGGCCTATGGTGTTGGGCCATACTACAAGATTCCATGCCCAAGACGATGGTCGACGACGCGGCTAACATATCTGGTTCCTTGCTTACCTGCAGCGCGGCTTCTACGTTTCCATAGCCTCCATCCCCGTCGGCCTCGCCATTTACAAGTATTCCATGTCTGACCCAGAAAACCCACCATGGATTACCCGCGTTATCCAACAATACGCTCCAGACCAGAAGCTCTGGGAGAAGCAAAATGCCCTCCATACGCTGGTTATTGAGAAGGCCGCGGAAGACCGACTGTTATTTCACAGCCAAAGTCCTGCGTTGACTATTGATCTTAGTTACCCAGAGTACGAAATCCCAGTTTTCTGAGCAACCCTTTACCAGTTGTGTCTGCTCTTTGCGTGCGCTCAATATGCTTCGATCTTCTTCTATAAGCTTCTCCGATTTGTCCCCTCGTTTTAGGCATCTAGGCTGATATCACCTGCTATGTATTTCAGGATTTTCAACACTGGCTCGCCAATCAACATGCCGGCAGGTAACTCTTCTGGGAATCTACAAGCGGTCATTGCGCACTACCAACAAAGGCAAAAATTGCAGGAGGAGGTAAGGGTGGGTCGTATGAAGGATGGCAAGGTCAAGTCGATTTATGATGATGGCAGGTACTTCTGAAGTTAAAGTGAATTAGAACGCTGTGCTGTACATATTATACCTTTGCGCTCAGCCCCGAAGAAAGAACTTTCCATACGATGGCCTTTCCCATAGTCAACGCCTTGGTTAAAGGCGCATCCTTCGCGTTTTTGACACATCTATTTAGGGTCTTCAAATGATTTGAGACATTTGAACCGTCTTTTCATCCTGCACATAATTTTTTCCGCCTAAAAGCGGTGGTGCCACTTGCGAGTTTCTAACAGGCTTCCAACAGCACCGCCTAGATCGTTGCATACATGGAACAGCCAAACGCCCAATCTTGATAGTGCGGAAGCCCAAAGTCTAAGCAGCGGCCTGTGCGAATATGGGTTCCAAGTTCTATGGTCTTATGTTTAGTACTGTAAGTCGTACGCCCGGCGACATCGCTTCCATCCCCCTTGTTGCCAGTAGTTTGCTACCAGCCACAGATTCTAGGGCTACCAGAAATTCGTCAACACCGCCGCCAACCCCAAAATACAATTCCTTTGCAGCGACCAAAGCTTCTGGTTTTACTTGGTCTGGAAAGGCACCCGAATTTCGCTCATGCCTTTGAAGTAGAAGGGAGCTCAGTGTTTCAGCAAAAGAAACAAGTGATGTGGGGGAATATATCGTTTCACTGGCGAGAATGAAAGTTTTTAAACTGCTAGTTTCATTGACATTCGACACAGAGGCGATGAGGTCAACAAGGCGAGGAGACCAAGCCCCCGAGATAAATGAAAGGGATATACCACGCGCCGAGAGGTCATTTTGAAAAGATTCTAGAAGGGAATGATTGATATCGATTTCGGATGCGGGCTCGGCCTTTGGATGTTTGCTGAAGTACCACGTGAGAATGATGTTTGGAAGAGTGACAAGCTTGAGAACTGCAATATTGTAGTCTGCAAAGACAAAACTGATCCTTCTTTTCTCTTGTTCAACTGTCGGCAGCGGATCGTCAAGAGACATTTTCAGAAGGAAGAGAGAGGGTATTGCAGTTCCTGCTCCCAGCTATAGCGATGTGTCAAATAGTGACGTATAGGCATAACTTAGAATAGGATCCATACCTCTATAAACTCCCAATCATGTTTCATTCTGTCAGAATAGAGATACTGTGATCCTGCATACAAAGCCAGCATCTGAGCACACTCCCAAGTTTTAAAGCCCCCTTCATACACCAAAGGGGTGATGTCGCCGGTTTCCAAACCAGAAATCATTTCTTCCTGCAAATCATCTTTCAAGCTGTCCTCCGCCATCAGCTGGGCTCGGATATCAAACACTTCACGACGCGGTATTGGTACTGGTATCTGGAAATCAATGGGGTCTGATAGGTAAAGGGTGCTATATGAAATCTGAGAAGGCAGCGAGGAAAGCTAGATCAAGATACATAAATCAGATACTGTCTGCTATAAAGAACAAGGGGAAATCCTCCATAATTTCTCTTGATCTTATGGTGCAACCCACTGAAGGGTTTAAAGTGTCCAGTTCATGACGCACACAATAGGGTACTCAACAGCCTGGCTTCTGCCTCAGGCATGCATACTCATCCACTCATGTGAATTGATAAGGAGAATACCTAAGCAGAAAGAGAGTGGACAAACCATTTCACTCATATCAACCCTACAGGCTTCGTGTAGGGCTGCGCCGGCTTCATTGCAGGTCTCTTTGAGATTTGAAGTCTTACCAGCTGGAACTTGTTCATCTTCGTATTCGTCAATAGCAATGTCATCATCACCGAAGCCGAATGTAAATTCTGAGCTCATGGTTGGTTTCCGTTGCTTTTACTCCGTCTTTTACTTCTTGGAGGTGCCAAAGGAAGTACGGAGTACGGAGGCACTAATAAATTCGACGCCAAGATTTCAACTGATTATTGGTTAAACTGACTAACTAGATTAGAAATATAGATTAGGTGGATACTACAGAGTATAAGATAAGGTGCAGCTCAAAATCTGGACTATAATACCTACTCCGTATACTCTCTAAAGTTCCAGGTCATAGAACACTGACTGAAGCGTAACCTGTTTGATTGGCAAGTCGATCGTGGTGCCAATAGTTGCATATATATTTTTTGAATAGGGACATCTGATAAGACATTCAAGATACAATAATCAAACGAGGATTATCAGCTGTTGCAAAATTGACACAAACAAGGTACTTCAGTGACCCTGCTGTAGATACCCCTCCCCCCACCTTTTTCCCAAAAAAAAAAAAAAAAAGCTGGTTCTATAGCAGCCTACGTCAAGTCGGCTGAGAAGTGGCCAAACACGACAACGATGAACTTTCTTTTTGAACACATCAGAAGAAAGGGGAATTGTAAGAATCAAGATGCTTTCCCATTAGCAAGGCCGTTGAGCTTGGGACCAACGACTGCTTTCTCAAGCGCCCGCAGTACATCCACCTTTAGGTCTTCAAAGTCCTCAACACCACAGCTGATACGAACCAGTTCATCATAAACACCAGCAGCTTCGCGTTGTTCTTTAGGAATACCAGAATGGGTCATGCTGCTAGGTACTTCTACCAAGCTCTCCACACCGCCTAGACTCTCGGCGAGAACGAAAATCTGAGTGGATTGGCAAAATCTCTCGGCAGCGTCATGTCCGCCTTTGATGCGGAAACTAAGCATGCCACCGCCCATGCCGTCGCGGTGCTGCTTTAATGCGATAGCGTGGTGGGGGTGAGATTTAAGACCGGGATAATTGACGGAGATGACATGCGGAGACGCCTCAAGTGTTTGGGCAATTGCAGTTGCGTTTCTAGTCGCCTCCCGGGCGCGCAAGTGAAGAGTCTTCAAACCACGATGGGCTAGCCAGCAGTCAAAGGGAGATGGAACCGCACCAATAGCGTTTTGCAAGAACGTAAGCCTCTTCTTCAAATCATCGGAGTTAAACGCCGCGACTCCCATCAAGACATCCTAATTAGCGTTAAAAGATATATTCAACGATACTTTCGCGCCTTTCGTAACTTACAGAATGTCCGTTAATATACTTAGTAACAGAGTGCATAACAATATCCGCTCCATGATCGAGAGGGTTTTGAATATAAGGGCTGAGGAATGTGTTATCGACAACAACCGTGATGCCGTGTTGATGGGCAACCGTGGCGATGTTGCGAATATCCACCAAACCCAGGGTCGGATTGGACGGAGTTTCAATCCAGATCAGCCTGGTCTCATTTGGTCGAATCAGATTCTCAATATGGGTCTCGATGCAAGGGGAGAATGTGACATCGATTCCATGCGCAGCGGCAACTTTGGTGAAGTACCGGTGAGTACCGCCGTAGACATCGGACACGGAAACGATGTGTGACCCCGATGCAAGCGACTGGAGAATCGTTGCAGTGGTGGCTGATCCAGACGAAAATGCCAATGCATACCGAGCATGTTCTAATGCAGCAACTGCTTGTTCAAACTGGTCGCTGCCAATTACCATGGGTGGTCAGTACATGCCACATACACTCGCCAAATGCATCTCCGGTCGGCATCGTCGGATTTGAGAATCAACCGGCGAGGATACAGGGGGGGGGGGGGGGGGGGGGAGGGGGGGGGGGGGGGGGGGGGGGGGGGGGGGGGGGGGGGGCCTCTCATTGGCTTGGACGTACCGATTCGGGTTTGCACTCCTTGTGTATTCGTATTCTCCAATCGGCTTCCCTACACCGGTCTGAGCAAAGGTGGTTGACAGGGATATCTGCGGGGCAAAGCGACAGGGTAAGTTTCAAGGACTTGAGGTTTGAATTTGCAAAAACTGCACGTAAGGAGAGTCTTAGACGAATTATTCATACCGGTGCGATGACGGCGCCAGTTGTCGGCTCGATGGGCGCGCCGGCGTGGACTGCTAATGTTCCGAAGCGATGGACTGGCGATGGTGCTCGAGGCGGGGTGTCCATGGGCTCATGATGGGCTGGGCCACGGACGGGCAAGACCGAAGGGCTGATTGCATCATCCATACTAGCTGCACTGAGAAGATGGAGAGAGGTGATGAAGAGGAAGAACACGACTTTTGTGTAGAGGGCACTTCGAACTAAATATGATTTCTCACCGGCTTGACCACACAAGCCTTTTGCCGTCGTATTGCATTACATACAGGATTGGCTGATCCGGCCGGACCCCGTAACTTTAATGCTCTCCGATTGGCCGAGGCGCGAAGGTCGACTAAATCAGCCGCTATAATTATTAATCCGATAAAAATTGCGAAGATTTGATGTAAATGACGTCGCCTCCACTGGATGGGATGGCTTCGGCAGAATGCGGCGGCTTGGAGCACAGAAGCTAGAAGGATAGGAGGAATATCGACTCATTGAAAAGGTACTTGCCCTTACATTGTAGTAAGAAGGACAATCACCTCGTTCTGCATTTTCATCAGGTTGCACGCAGTAAACCTTGGAGTAGCAATAATAATACGGCATAGTCCTGGCGCTTTAACAAAGCAAATGGATAGAATATCAGGATTTTAGTCGTATTGTTGTGTGACACACTGCTTTCTTTCACTCACAAGGGGGTGTCCTTTCATTATACGATACTTATGACTTGTGGACATGGCTTCATGACCACCAAGCAATAAGCCCAAGACCTGCGATTTGCATTGAGCCCTATAGTAGTGATCAGTATTCTATATCGATACGAAAGAGTAGTCGACTAGCTGGGCGTACTATTATCGAATAAGGCGCCTTGCGCTCTAGTACGGCTGAGCCGTCTGGAATATCAGGGGCATTTGGAATCTGGTCATTCCACTCCTCGGCTTCTACTCTAAAGCGAACTGTTTCGCCAATATCAAAGTAAAATATTGCACCTTCACCATTATCCCAGATCCATACCTGATCGGTGTAATCACTGTTCAGAGTCATCAGTCAGTTTTGACCAAGACTGGGCATCGACCCACCTTGTACTTACAATTTTGCACCATCAAGTAAGAGACTTGGTGGTATTAGAATATCAGAGAAGAACTCGAGGCCAACTAAAGTAGATTTCAGTATATCGGAAAATACTTTGATATAATGCCAAGGTCTCACTTTTGATGCCTTGCTCTGTACCACTCATTATCTTTCCTAGAATGACTTCGCCCTTAAACGGCCGAAATACGATCACTCGGAATCTTACTAGAAAAGCCGGGAATATCAGAAGATAGCAGGATGGGGAGTTTCACATTCTCGTGCGATTACCATTAACGTTGACAAGTCCCGTTCCATGACCAATCAGGCCGTCCGATGATTCAAGCAGATCATAGAAACCAATGCAGAGACCAACATTTTGAATCACCTAGGAGTCGAAGTCAGGATTCAGCGAACGAAATGTAGTGCTGGGCATTGCACCTTATTGGCATATTTTTCGTTGATATTATCTTCAATCGCGACAGCGCTAAGCTTTGAAAAGTCTTCTGGGGATATCTGTACCAGATCTGATATTGTTGTCTAGAAGCACCTGGTTAGAAAAGTCTAGGTTGACAAACAAAAGGGAAAATTATACAAGAATAAACATATCAATGCAAGTATGATTGGAACTCTATAGAAGGCAGGTGGATGGCGTGACTAAGGGGTATGCTTTGCACAGGACGCAATAAAAAACAAAACCTAGAAGAGAAAGAATTTCAATACAAGTAACTTAGATGAGAGTGAATATAATGTGCGAGTAATGGGCACCCTCTCAAAGGTTACCACCTGTAACTAAGTAGGTAAGTAAATTTCTCCTGTATGCAGTTAGCCCAAGTACCTGTGGTCAACGGTTTTTCTTTTTCGGAACAACATTCAGCCGATGCCGAGACAAATAATTTAATTGCAGTGTATGGAAATCAAGCAAGTTACTCTGTATAGCCATAAACATGAATGTGGTGAACTGGCCTCTTTTTTCACACACGCGATGACGATTTGTTATATGCAGGATAAATATGTCAATGAAGTCTGATTATGCTTTGGTTAGGTGTTTAATATGAATCCCAGTGGTTTTTCTTTTCCTCCTCCGCCGCCGCCGCCATCATCACAGTCCCAAACATCACCCGCAACTAGCTTTCAAAATGCTGCTCACCCTCAGAGCTTTCGCGGTCGTGGGGGCTATGGTGCAACACATCACCACAGAGGACGGGGACGTGGCTCAGGGCCTAGTGGAAGCCGGGGAGGTTATATGAACAGCCCACCTCATACCAATCATACTCCTCCGCATCCTAACTATCCATATCCCGCCATGAATAGTCCACCATCCCAATACGCGATGCCCGGTCGACAGCCACATCCAACATCCTTTTCTGTACAGGCATATGGCCAAGCGCATACCACAAATCAGTTCGCGTCCTCGCGACCACCATCTTATGGCCCTCCCGCTCCTCCGCAATATTCAAATCAACCCCAATGTCACCGTCCTCCTCCCCCTTCGCCAACCGGATTCTCACCTCAAATGCACACGCGTCCCTATATGCCACCTCTTCATACTACGCCCCATAGCTCGCCAACAATAACAACTCCACCAATGCACTGGGGTTTTGATCGGTCTGGCGCAAGCCCCTCATTTCCGCCTCCACAGGGATACCCTCCTGGTCCGCCTCACGCACAAAGAATGCTTCATGATCGTGGCGGATTTGGACAACAGCGGAATTTTGGCGGCGTGGATCGCCGATCCCAGAATCGATCTAACAAACGTCCACACTCAACTGCATTTTCTCAGAGGCCAACGGAGAACCGGCCAACTGCACCACTCCCCATCCCTATTTTTGGCAATCCGTTACCTTCGAAGCCTCCACCAGCAATCGACGCAACCCGAAAAGCGAAAAAGAAAAGACGTAAATACAACCAGCTCGGCCTGACACCCAGAACGGAGGACCATGAATCAAGTGAAGAGGAAGATGACATTAATGAGGAATTGAGACTTGCTATGCTAATGAAAGGAAGCGAATTAAAGGTTACGTATAGAGGTCGTACTGCTACATTACAATCGGCAGCAGACATCACGGCGTGGCTTCAGGACCGTAGGCAACGATATCCTACTGCAGCGAGAATAGCAGAGAAAGTAAAGGAGTCGAAAGAAAGAAAAGCGGCAAGGGAAGCTAGAAAAGCTGGACTTGGGGGAATTGCAAAGAGACACAGAGAAGAAATGACGAACAAGGAAATAGAAAAGGTCAAAGAGAAGCTGTCCTGTGAGCAAGACCCGGTGGAAGCGGCTGAAAAGGCGAAGTTAAAAGCAGAGAAGCTTCGGAAGAAACTGTTGAAGGAGGAGGAACGAATTGCTAAGGCCGAGGCGGCGGCGGAGAGAGCCCGACAAAATGTTGAAAGCTTGAAAGTGAATAACGAACTTTCAGCGTATGAGCCAATAATGGAAGCGACTGCAGAGGGTGATCTTGCTGCCGGTGTCTCACATAATAATGAAACTAACATTAATGGCACTGTTGGACAGGGATTAGAGCAGGAGACCCCAACAACCCAGGGTGCGATGGATGGTGAAATGAGCTCAGGGATGGATAGGATCCAGGGTGCACAAGCCAGACAGGACAATAATAATCACGTCTCGCTTGACACGATCGGCGATCTCAACGATGAAACATCATCAAGCGGCTCAGACAGTTCAACAGACGACAGCGATGATACTGGGGAGAGCGAATCCGGGCCGGAGCTGATGACTTCGAAGCGACAGCGACCGGACCGGGTTCCCCCGCCGGCGCGCAGGAGCAATAACACGTGCCACCAGCTGCTCAAGACAGGCACATGCCGGCGCGAGCATTGCCAATACAAACACGAGATTGCTGCGGGCGAGAAGAACACAGCTGGAGGCGGAGAACGGGAGCGACAAAGCTTGATGCAGGCAGTGAGTCACGCTGACGATGCAGATAGTTGTGGAGCGGAACGCTAACACAGGCTTTTCTTATAGCTGATGGCACGGCAGCGCGAGGATGAGGACCAGCGCGTGATGGAGGCGATATCAAGGCTGGGCGAGCAAGGGCTGCTGAACGAAGACGCTTAGTAATATTAATAAAGACGTTTTCTGCTTAGTCAGCATTGACCCTGCCAGAAACATGTTTCCCGTGCATCCCCGGTCGATCGCCAATGCAGATGAATGTCTGTCAACGGTGTCCCGCGTGATTTGCCGGCTGGCGCATCACGGGCGCGCTACCCGGCGCCCAGCCGATAGTTTCCCCGCAGTGGCCAATCAGTGCGCAGCTATGTCCGCCACAATTCACAACCAGGCCAATTAATTTCCGCCGATAACCTTGACCCCAGCCGTCAAGCCTCATACGGCATAGTGCAGTGGACCTCCAGTATGTTTGGCATGTTTGCCAGCTCCTTCGCTCTTCTTCATGTAGATTCTTTTTACTTACTTTTCTTCCTTCTCATTCCTCCACTCAGCTGCCACTCCTTTGCGCTCGCTGCCAGTTTTTAATAGTAATTTTCTGCGTTTCCATCTACTTTCTTTTAATACAAACTTCATTACTCTGTACAGACTAGAGGATACTCTATATTTGATTTTTCTTGCCCTTTTAAGAACTATACCCCATATTCAGACGCACCACCAGCCCCTGAACCAGCGCCGTTCAATTTTCTCACAAGAATGCGCTCTACAATTGTCTTTGCCCTGGGCGCTTTTGTCGCCGCTGTGGCCGCGGACCGTGAAAATCCCTTCAACGTACCCCCTGGCGGCTATCAATTCCAGGCCAACATTCCTACCACTCTCACCTGGAGGCCAACCACTTCTAGCACTGTCACTATCAAACTGCAAAAGGCAGGCGATATTACCCCCTCCTCTGGCATTGTTCTTGCTCGTAGGTACCCACTATACTGTGATATGTTAAGCTCCCAAACCCCTAACTTCACCTCAGCCCATATTGCGAATACTGGCTCCTTTGCCTTTGTTCCGCCCGCGAACCTTGGCCCGGGCTCCGACTACACCATCCAGATTGTCGATGACAAGAACCCGGCGAACATCAACTTTACCCCTCAGTTCGCAGTCTCCGGTACCACTGGTACTGGTACCGCCCTTACGGGTGCCCCAAGCCCAACTGCTTCTCCCTCAAGCTCTCCAACGCCTAGCTCCAGCTTGTCGATGACGATAAGCTCCATGATATCCACCGTGTCTTCGAGAGTTAGCTCTAGCGCCCACTCTGCCTCCAGCTCGGCATCTAGCACCAGCTCTTCCTCCTCGAGCAGCGCCAGACCCTCTTCCAGCAGCTCTTCGTCTTTGACCAGCACGACCGCTAGGCCATCACAGACAGAGCAGGTACCGAATCCCAACGGTGCCTCCTCTTTGGTCTTGCCTGGTAGTCTTTTGTCTGCTGTCTTTGGCTTGATGGCCCTGCTGTAAATGAAGAGCTGGTCGGAGTTTCTATCCGTATATGCTTTCAGTTTTGGATGTATTTAAATGGAGAAGTCGTACTTTAAACGGCTTCTCCATCACCTTCTGTACATGCTTTCGTTACAAATTTTACTCTACACTTCTCCTGTATCTTATTTATGCCGTATCAAGGTTGCACTTATATCAATTTTGGAACTACTAGCTGCGCATGTCGTTTGTTTGAAATATAGCCAGCCATATTATGCCATTCAGCGGTTGTTGGTGAGTCGCTAAACTGATTGTTTCCATTCCGTATTGCTGCATGCTTTGCTATTTTTGCTCAAACGCTTCTCGCGCTTTGCCTGCATATTACATTATACAACGGGACTTAATAGTATTTTTCTTAAAGCGACACTGCCCTTTGGCCATTTATATCTGTTGCTATTCATGTATAATCAAGATACGCAAAATAATGTAGCTAGTTTATTTCCCGGCCTTGTTCGAATCTTTATACATTTTTGCCCGTCTAGCACTCCTTGTTGTCGGTCTTCCTCGGGTCTTTTTCTGTCGAGCTTTCAAGCTACCACCATTCCTACCCTCCACCGCACGATGACCTTCGAAAACAAACGGTGTCCTGTCCACCACTACGGGACTGATCTTTCCTCTCTTATCCGCCCTCCCTATTGACCGTGCCTGCACAGCTCCAGCACGACCGAGAAGTCGGGTCGCGCCGCGACCTTTCAAACCATCGCCTTGACCCAATTTAGTCTTATCTGGATTACCATTCATGGAAATGTTATCTCTCTTCTTTGACGGTCTTTTGGCCCGGTTGACTCGTAGTTTGCGGGGTAGCATGGGAGGGAATGTTTTGCCGTCAAGCAGCAATGCGGCCTCTACACCGTTCTGATCATGAAACTGTACATAAGCGAACCCCTTACCGACACGTGTCGACGGGTCTCGCACGACTCGCACCGATTCAACGGGGCCTGCGTGCTCGTTGAATATGCGCCACAGGCCCTCTTCCACATCTGCAGGGGGCTTTGGCTTGCGCTGTTTTTTGCCGTCTTCGGTAGCAGACTCCATCTGTTCTTCATCAACAAATCCTAGATTGCCAATAAAGACGCACCGCTTGTTATCAACTGGTGCTGGCTGGGAGATGCTGTCAACGCGCAGATGGCGGCCCAAGACGATCGTACCATTCAAGCTGAGAGCCTTTTGGGCCGCAGCAGCGGTGTTGTAGACTATGTACGCATTGGTGCTTTTGGTTGTAGAGTCCATCAACTCCTTTTTCGCGAAAGCGGCTCGTTTTGGTACACTGGCTGTGGCAAATGCTGTGGATCGGAAACGTATTGATTCAATTTTGGGTTGCATAGGTGAAGTTGGCAGAGAAGGAAAAAATGAAGAGAGGTGTGTGAGAAGTGTCTTTTTGGCGGACTTGGATTTGATTACTTCGCTAGGGACGTTTCCCAAAAACACAGTGCGCGTAGACTTCTCTAGGGCAGCGAATCCGGGGTCTCCACCTACAGATTCATGGATTAGAGGTACCTGTTCTTCATATTGTTCTTTCGAACTAGAATTGCCACTCTGAGCATCGCTGGCAGCATCATTCGTCGTCTTGTTTAGCTTGGCTCTTTTTTCTTCTGTTAGATTCCTCCGCTCCTTCTCTTCTTCTTTTGCGATTTTCTTCAGATATAGTTCTTCTAGGGAATCATCTGCTTCCTTTCTTTTTCGCTTCCGAGTTTGTTCCGTGAATGCTGGTATTGAGCTAACGCGATTGTCTAGCTCGTGTTCGATGTCTTCCTCACTTGAACTATCCAGCATTTCTTCGTCATTCTCAATAGCTACCTCTTTAACCTTACTACTTGTTGCTTCAGGCTCTTCGTCCGTGCGATCGGAATCTTCGACTTCGCGATTAGCCAAGGCCTTTTTCTCCTTACTCGTGGCTATATTGACTCCCTTAAGCGGTTTAATAATCTTCGGCGTAGTGACCGGACCAGCCTAGAGAAAAGGCACATACAGCATTAAAAAAAAATGAAGCTTGAAACGTGGATCAACACTTACACTATTTGCGAACAAAGACGCGAGCACTGGGTCGACATGTGTATGTTTCTCTCCAAAAATCAGAGTTGGGGCAGTTGTTGGTTCCGAAGCTGCAGCACCTTCAGCAGCTTTTGCTTTCTTCGCAGGCTTGATTTTCTTGCCCATCGCTCCAATCGACCCAGTGTCGAGCTTCCAATCTCACTCACTGCGTGGTCGTAGCTTTTCGTATCACCACTAGATTCCTCAAAATTCCGTTCAGATGTCTTGGCGACAGCCTTCCAATGGCGTGAGGCCAGGGAGTCACATCACGTGCCCAAGGCATAGAGCCCGTAGGTCGGAGTACTCCGTGGATATTGAGGGCTTGTTCCGTACTTCGCAACTGTAGCGCCGTCAATATAGACATACAGAGGTGAAATGATTTCCGAATATCTCACGCCTCTGAAGGAATTTCATGATATCGATGAGGGGTATGGGAAGCCACACAGCTAGCTTGACTGACTTAGACCTCTAGGGCTTGACCTGCGTGCCTAAATCACCCTCGACTGGGGTGATACCTCGAGTTGACAACCTACTTATAGTCGCATCATCGAACGTGCAGGAATGACACTTGTATTACTTAGAATCTCCTCCCACTGTTTGGCCTATCCGACTTCGCGCCGTCTTGATATAACACATGCCAGTCAGAACGACGCCACAGGCGGTGAATTTTCTAGAGGCGTCCATTGGCTGGCAGCCTCTAGCTTAGTGAGGAGGAGCTAAATTGGCAGAAAGGGGAAGATACCGTAATTTAAAGTTACAGCCGTACTAGGAAGCCTCGGTCACGGTATGTATTGCGCCACGGCATGCCAGCCATTCTGGCGCACTGAACTCTGGCTGGGCTGGCGTGTAACGGTATCGTCACTACCGCCAAGCCAGGTCATCGAGGAAACAAAATCATCCGCATGCCGCCAATCATACGCCAGTACTCTGTACGGAGTACGGAGTACAGGGTACGGCGTGGTGCACGGCGTGGTGGTTCCCCAGACTGCTTCACTCTTCGCTCGCTCCTCTTTACTGCAAGTCCTAGTCGCGGCCCACGGTGTCTTTCCAGAGCTACCAACTTCCCCTAATCTGTTCTCTCTAATCACACTGCTTCTGCCATCCTTGATTCGCCTACTTGATTTTTCGCCTCCCTCTCCTCTACCGCCGCCGCTACTCCGTCCTCTACCCCCCACCGTGGTCCTGTCGCAAACGAGCCTTTTACTCGTCATCTTGATAAAGAAGTGTGAAATATCCTCAAGACACAATATATGGCCCCTCTCATCCACCTATTGTGTTTTTGGCTTTAGCTGCTTTGGCTTCTTCTCTTGTGACTTCGAACGCCTGCCACAAATCTGAACTCCCAACATCGTGCAGTGAAAAGAGCAACTTCATTTAAGGTATGTTGCTTTATATCTTTAGCTATAAAATCCTCTTTTGTATCAATGTGACTGCCTATGTTAAGAAGAGTTTTTGATGTTAAGAACACATTGTCCTTGATTTTTCACTGCCTGATGTGGCTTCTGGTTCTAAAATTCTGAATAAGAGAGCTATCCTCATGTAATCTTTATTTCAAAATCATGTCTCGTATTTGTCATTTCCATAAATCTATGCGCCTTGCCCTTTTTGAAGACTGCTGCTCTTATCAGACTCACTGACTTACTACAATCTATCAAGAATCCACAAGCCGAAGAAGTCGAACACCTTACTCTACTACTCTCTTAGTTATCTATTTATCTTTCAATTGCTATACCTATTTATTATCCTCACGCCGCGAGTTTGATGGAGGTGCCCGACTGTGTTGGGCCTGAGCCACAACTGATCTCTGGCCTGACCGCTATCGTAATTCCTGACGGCCTGCTTTCCGATGATATTAACGACGATGGAAGATCCAGCAGCTTGAGCGAGATTGATGAAAGGCTAGATGATAATCAACTCGACGAGCTATCGCCTATACGGGAAAGGTTTGCTGGCGAGATCGACTCCGAGGCGGAAACGGAACGCATCGAAGATTCCCCCCATCGCCCCCGTGATCATATAAATATTGTAGCAAGCGCCGCAATATCCGGAGCAAGTCCAAGCAAACTAGCACAATCTACCACATATGATGACATGGATGAAGATGAAGGCGTATCCCCAAGTAAGCCACCACGAGACTTGAGAACTAATGGTGTCGCTATTGGTATGAATAGCGATAGAGATGGCTCCGCTTCTGTACCTCTAGAAATTACCGGGAAGAAACGAAAGCGCGGGACGTCCACTGATAATGGGGGAGAAACACCGGGCGACGACGAGCCAATGCGAAAGCGCCGTAGTTCGGTACCTGATTGCAATGCTGAGGCGACGACCATTACAGCGTCGGAACCCATGTCGAAAAAGAACGACACTGGATCGAACGACGAAACTCCTGCGAATGGGGACAAGGGGGGTGATTCTCGCCCTTCTACTCTCAAAGGCAGAAAAGGGAAAAAAGGTAAACGCAAAGGAAAGAAAACCAAAGATACCTATGATGATACGGAAGACAATGGGCAAGGTGAAGAAAACGTAGCGAATGGAGATGATCAATTGGTAGACGAAGAAGAAAATGCAGATGGCGTCGATGGGACCGACGACCCTGAAGCAGCCTCTAGAATGGAAGAATGTAAGCCCTGTACGCCTCATGGTTTATACGGTTGATTTGTGTCTGATGCCTCAAACAGCTTTGAAAAAGACTTCGGCTATGGATGTTCTATTAAGTTTGGAAAAGCAATTTGCTGCGTTACGTGACAAGTAAGTTAGTGAGACTGTGAAGTGGGAGTCGCCACTCACCTTTTCCAGGATTTATGATGATCGTATTGCGAGTATAAATGACGAACTTGCGCAGCTGGAAAAGCCAAACCCAACCCATCCGGAATTCCTCCGTCAACTTCGGATCATCGAGAATTATCGTGATGAGAAGATGAAACATGAGGAGAAGCTATTCTCTTATAAACTGAGATCTATCTGCATTCGGAGCCAAGCTGAACGGAGCCAGGTGAACAGCTCATACTTCCAAAATAGTCGTGACACTCGGGAGCGGTATCTTCAGGAAATTTCAGAGCATCATTATAGAGTACAACACGATCGCTTCAATACTGGTGAAACAATCACCGACTATCGCATCCCTTTCCCTACTCAGAGAGTTCAACAAGCAGCTCAGCTTGCTGCATACAACACGGAAGTCGGCATCCTTTCTGGAACAGCAAAACATGTTGGATTTCCATCAGCGCCCGACATGGAAAGCCTTCGACCCCATGAGATTGAACAAGATTTCATAAAGCTAGGAGTGTGTTTTCGGAACTGCCTCATGGATCCTCATTATAATGCAGAACGCTAACTATTGGATGATAGATCTCATTGCGGCCAACCATTCCCGCACCATTACCTTCTGTTTCCTTTTCACAACACAACCATATTTCGTCGTCATCTGCAGTAGCAATTCGACAGGCCGCAGAAGAAGAGTTCATTGAGCAGACACCGTGGGCAAACCCTCAACACCCCATTCATGAACAATTTCGGCATCAGATGCAGCAAGACAGGATCCCAGAATATAAACGGTACCCGAACACTTTTTCTACTCCTGCCGCCCAGCTACATGCTGTCGACTTGAATGCACCCAATGGATCCGCATCAACGATTCCAGATTCAGTTTCGGCGCCTAATTCCTCCACCGCGCACACCCCATACAACTACGACCGGCCTCGTCGAAACTTCGGTCTGGTTTCTGATAAGTTCACTGGTCGCCACGTCGAAACAGATGACAACGAAGGGCACGTTTCATTCAGATCCCTATCTGCGTCACCGCTTGATGTCCGCCGATCTCACCCGTCAACAAAGGTGGACGCCCCCCAACGCTCGCCTGCTCCATCGGTGATTGGTCCAATGGGCCCTCCCAATTCCTCAAGAGATGTACCCATTTCGCCGTCAGCATCAACTGCACGGGCTGGTCGACTCGGGCTGGCTACAAGAGAGGAGCAGCCCCGGGCTTCCTCGCCCAAACAGACAGCTCCGATTTTTGGCCCAACGCATCAGAGCGCTGGGATTACAACTGGAGGCTCTGAGCGCTTCGGACTCGCGAATCCATGATTTTGAGATGTGGGGCTATGTGAAAGAAGAAAGGGTTTGGCGCCACAGTATTTTTGGATTGTCTCATATCTATTTCCCTTCTTAAGGCGAATTAAATCTAGCATTATATTTCTTCATACTTTACGTCCTTGCCGGTGTTTTAATGGGTCCTTTCCCGTTTCTTCCCATCGGAGTTTTCTCACGGGTTATTATAGGCTGGAATATCAGATATTGCGACTTTACTATTTGCACAAAAGCCGGAGTTCTTTCAATCTTCTTTGGGTGGGGTTTCTGCATTATAGCTCCCCTCATTATGTACACCTTGTTGGAATATCGAGAATATCTTCAGAGCAGTGCTTGTGCATTCTTTGTTGTGTTTGAATGGAAAACCTCGAATACGACAGGGTAGCCTCGAAGCATTTGAGGACTTATACATTCATACCTATCCTTCTGTGTACCATCATTGTCTCTTCCGAATTAAGTCCCATTCAGATTGAAGCGTTCTTTGCCGTCGCTAGCGCCGTATTATAGAGTATCGTAAGAGGGATGCATGGTCAGGTGAGTGAGCGGGGTGTCATACATGACGGAGCCTTAATGGAGTTAGGAAGATACGAATGTGTAGAGCATCACGAGACAGCCACCTCAGAAGACAGACAATATAACAAGGTCCAGGGAAAAAAAGAATGCATAGTTATTTATCACAAAACATACTACGCCAAACGCCCCAAAACACTCCATGGCTGCCAAATGCTTAAATGTCAAAATCTGAAAGTCTACGACTTAGAAACTGAACTTGGTGGTAGTTACAACTATTGGGCTTGTTGCGTCGATTGCCGGGGTGTATCTGGAACCTTGACATCTGAAAATTCGTCTTGTCCAACAGCGTTTATCGTAAAAGAGTCTGAGAGACAGCACCACACGGGTCAGCACATATTACATGTAGCAGGCGGTAGGGCTAGGAAAAGTGATCTCGTTTCAACATGAATGTTGGGGGGGAGGGGGGGAGGTCATACAAACTCCAATGCAGAAACCAAATAAAACGACGCCTGTCAGCGCGTTCTTAAAGAGGTACGGTCGCCTGGCGCGAAGCAGAGCGGCGCCCGCGCGGTAATCCTTGTCGTAGTATGTTGATTTGAAGCTGGATGAGTCTAGATCAGCGCTCCTAGATTTCATAAGAAAGACATACACATTCTGACATACAGCGCCATGTTTTGTGCAGACCTAGTGGGCAACTAGCGATGCGAAGCCGTTGATTGGAGTGAATCTGTCGCTATGCCGTCGAATTCAAGGCGGTCCATGCGATTCGGAAAATCCCACCATTTTTAGAACTGATTAGGTAACCACTGGCTCCTTCTCCGGGCGTAACTAGTTGCCAGCGCTAGACCTAAGGTGGACAGGCGTGACCCGTGGAAGTTGGCCAATCAGCAGCACTGCAACCGTCTCTCACTCTCGTTGTCTGCCGTGAATGCAGCCAACGGCCATTCGCAGCTCCATTCTCTGGCCATAGACTTCTTTCTGTCTAACTTGTAGACCGGACTCTTATCTCTTTGCTGATTTTTGCTGATTACTCCTCGAAGTTGATTCCTACTGATCTCAATCACTCTCGTTTCCCGCGCTTGAAGCCTACCCTTCTGAAACGCCTATTCACCTTACAAAAGCCCTACCACACAACACACATCAGGCCATTGTAAAAGCGGACTTTTAGTCTTGAATCGTACTATTGAAAAATCCATTTTCATTCCTTTGACCGAGCCTGCCTTCGGGGCAGAGCGTCAACTCGCGAGACATAATGGCTCTGTCGGTCAACAGCCTTGTTGAACAAATGTCCCAATTGGATGCGGCCCGGAATCTCGTTCTCGGCGATGCTGCACTCTACCCTCAGATTGTCCATGGGATAATCCCCATCATTGGCCCCAGTTCGCGTCTTGAGTTGCGACGATGGGGTGCCGAGTTCTTAGCAGAAACATTTGCGAGCCCCGCATTCCCGCAGTCGGCGAAACAGAAGCTCTCGACGGAGATCCTCCAGACGATACAAGAATTGTTGGATATACAGAATGAAGATGCCGCAGTGGTAAAGAGTGTAGTTCAAGTTGCTGCTAGTGTCTATCCACTCGTGTTCCGACACATGTACGTTTGACCTCCCCTTATATATATTTTTTTATATTCCCAGCTATTTCAAGAGTAAGCCTCTTGAATTATGTGGCATCCTCCATTATATTAGGAGTGAACTTCATTTTTCTTTGGCACAATTACTGCTTCAAGTATAAACATGTTCTGATTGATTCTATCGTACCTTGACAGCATTGATCACCCTACAGACACCGCCCTTTGGGAGGGAATGACAGCCATCAAGCATAGTATCCTAAAAAAATGGGACGGTGCTTCTCCTGGAATCAAAATCTGCTGTATCAAATTTGCCCAGAAGGTTGTGCAAGCCCAAACTCAAGGAGTCATTGCTGATCCAAGGGTGAGCCCGTTCCTAGATTTTTTCTAATGACCTCAAAAACGAAGTGTGCTAAGAAAATATTTCGCAGCGACCTGAGAAAAATGAAATCTCTCTGGCACTCGTTCCAAGAAACCATCCTCTTATACCTCTGCCCAGCCTCGAGGCTGAAGCATCAGGCCTGCTTGATAGGCTCTTGAACGTTTTCTCTGAAGGTTCCAAGTGCGTTGGAATTTCCTGGCCTATCAGTCGGGCCTATTTGACTAATTAGCTCCAGTGACCCAATATATGTAAATGCGACTTTGAACTGCCTTGCAGTTCTGATCCGCTCACGTCCATCAATATCAAATAAAATAATCAATGCTGTGTTGAGCTTCAATCCGCTTAAACAAACAACTGCGCCAATATCTTCTGTGGCAAAAGTTAATATTAAATCGATGGAGCGAACCACCCGAGCCCTACTTATCAACTTGATAAAAAGGTGTGTAATACGTCTCTGCAGGATTCCACCCATTTAGCTAACAAACTTCATAGAAACCCGAGCCATCCCCTGGTTGGCCGTATACAGCAGTACATTGAAAGAATAGCACAGTCTCGAAATGAGATATTTGAAGAAGCAACTCGAAAACGAGCACTTCCAACAGAGCCAACTGACCTGGTAGACAGTGCCAAACGGGCAAGACTCGGTGTCAGTACGCCGCCGCAACTGCGAGTACCGCCCTTGCCAGCTGGCCCAACCAGTTATGCACAGCTCTTTACTTTGACTGAGGACGATGGCTTAACATCATTTGATGTCAAGCAATTGCCCGCAGATTTACTGGTTAAAATAACCGTGCCAGTTTTACAGCGGATTGATGCGGAAGCATTGGACCAAGCCATAGGTGTAAGAATGCCCATTTTTGCCCTGAGGTGGAGTGTCCGCCTCTGGTCCACTTGTTTCTAACAACAGTCTTTAGGCCGTCCGATCTCGCTTTCTCACAATATCCAAAAAGCAAGTCTTTGACCACCAGTCCCAGCGAGTACAGCCGCCCGTTGATGACGAGGAAGAGGACGAGTACGAGCCTGATTATGAGCCAATGGACGTTCCCGCCGCCGCCGTGGCCGAGCAAACCAAATTGGCTCCTACTCTTACTGAAGGGGCAGAGGTTCCTGCTGATCTTGTATCTCTAGGCCCATTTGCACTCCCAAAGCCGCCTCCCCTATCGCATGAAGAGGCCCTGGATGTTGGACGAGAAGCTGTTGCTAGAGTCTTTACCATGGCGTCAAGTCTTGACCAACCTTCGAAAGTACCAAAGACCTCTGGACATGCGCTTGGATTTGGGCGACTAGCAGCCAGCTCTTTTAATCGCGATTCTTGGCTTATGTTATTAACTCGACTGGCAACACGTGCGTCTATAGGCATCGAAACGGACACTGACGAAGTAAAGATTGAAAATGGCCACCAAACCCCTTGGCAGCGACAAACCTTAGGCAATGGTATTAGAGAACTTCTCTATCGATACGTTTTGGAGGACTTCCGAACACGAATAAATGTCGCCATATCTTGGATGAATGAAGAGTGGTATAACCAGCAGATACAGAAGAGGTGCTCCAAAGAGGAAGATGGGGATAATGGCCGTGTTTCAATACCAACCCATTATGAAATCTGGGCCATGAAGCTTTTGGAGAGTATTTTGCCATATCTTGACGCTAAAGATAAGATTCTTATCAGATTTCTGAGTGAATTGCCGGAAATAAACACTTCTCTAATTCAAAAAGTGGTGACACTGGCAAATGATCCAGAAAGAGTCAATCTTTGTGTCCAGGCATTACAGTGAGCACTTATGATCCTCATCATAGATCTACATTCTGACATGGACTAGCTACCTTGTTCTTGTGCGTCCCCCAGCCAAAGAACTTTGTCTCAATGCTCTAGAGGGTCTACATAACAGAGGTACATGAATCATACAATATCTGATTCGACTGTAGCACTTGCTAATTCGTGCCGATTTTCAGTTGAGGAGTCTCGCCCCTTAACAACAAAGATTCTACTTAAGTTTCGACCTCAGACACTTGCAGATCAATCTAAACCGTTACCGGGAAATATTAAGCCACAAATTCAACATTCCACTCCAGATCCTCACCAAGAATCTTTAACCAACACACCAAGGCCCATAGCTGGATATCCAATATCAGGCTTGTCTCAAGGCAACGATGTTCTGCCAGGTTCTCAGCAAAACTGCCAATTTATCCAACCCGAGAAAGGAGATGCATCGTCCGGGCAAGGCGTCGCGACTATTGGGTGGTGATGCCTGTACGTGATTCAGTTCATACTTTTCAATTTGAAAAATCCCACTTTACCTTCAAATTGGTTGATTGGGCTTTGGGCATCTTGCATCCCATTCTGAATTGTAAGATATACCCCTAGAAACAAGCATGCATAACCTCCTTAATAAGAAATATTTCTGAGATTATTTCTTTTTTGCTCTTGAAACCGTATCATACACTTTGCAACAAACACACAAAACCCATGAAATATGGAATTGTTCATGTTGCCTTAAAGTGATGTACTTTTAGAAGCAGACAGCAAGAAAACTAGAACAGGTACTAAGCACAAAATATACACGCCTATTTCAATACAAAAGATAAACGATAGCGGGTAGAAGATTTACTCTGTCCTCAGCACCCTGGGCCCTCGCCGCCGTTTGGTGCCGGCTGCCTTCTTCTTTTTATGTCCCTTCTCAAATGCCGCGGCGCTGTTGTGATCACGGCCAAGATTATCTAGATCTTTAACTTTGTATATTCGAATGATCCAGTTCTCGCTAGTAAATGCCTCCTCGAGAGTGGTCAACTGGGGTCCTTCGGCTGGAAGGCGAGAATTGCGAACCCGATCCTGTGCTTGGCCCTTAGGGAAGAGAGAATCCACGTTATAGTAGGAAAGTTTGTACCTGTATTACTGTTAGTCTCAAACTCAGCATGGAGAAAAGGTAGAAACTTACATGAGGCTGTTGCGCATGGTGGGGGTGGCTTGTTCATCAACACGATACTCCCCCCGGGCAGTAAAAAAATCACGCTCTCTAATCTCGTCGGGCCAAATACCCTCAGCAATTCGGACCATCCAAAGAAATTTATTGATATCATCTCCGGAATAACCGATTAAGCCTCCATAAACAACCAAAACATAGTCAACATCATGTTGACGAAGAATTGGGTAGCTAACTTCCTCTCGGGAGCTGAACGCCTTCCCAACAGTAGCAATATGTGTATTATTCCAGGTGTTGTTATCAACGAGGGTAGGGCGATCGGCCATTCCACCAATCTGGTACCCATAATCCCACCATGACATGATTTTCGCATTTTGTGGAGTATTCTGGCGAAGCCAGTAGTAAGCCTCGCGGTAATCGTCGATGATATATTGGCTTCCATCAGGGAGTTTACTCGCAAGCACGACAGATGGCGAAGAGTAGGCAATAGACGTCACCCAAGTGCAATGGGCAACGAACAGGAGCAAGTATACTAAAACGGAAGCTGAAACGACCCCCTTAGAGAGATTAGAATAGATACCAACAACACGAGACCGAGCAGATCTTAAACCACCCTGAACTGGTTTTTCGCCAACTGATTTGGTTTGTGCTTCAGGATCAGGGGAATCCAGTCGAAGGAAAGTATCGAGAATGTGAGACAAAACTAGGGCAGCGGCAACGCAAACCACCGGTGTCAGGGTCAGCATCAATCGAACCATGACACCAGCAAAATAACTGGCAAGAACGGCATAGATAATAACAAAAACGTGCTCATCCTTAAGTTGATAGAAGCACATATAAACACCAGCTGGAAACAGCCATATCATCAGGTTAAGATCGAAGAAAAATGCCGGCCAGGCTGTAGGCTGGTGTTCGGAGACGGATGCGATAATTGGAATATGGATTTTGGCATATCCAGTATCCCAAAGAGAATAGAATCGACCGCTCCAGGGTGCAATCACTCCGGTCACGGTGAGCAATACCAGGCCCAGGAAAGCGACTCCAAAAATCAAGAGAACCAGAGAAGTTAGTAGGGTCTGAAACTGCTTTCCTGGAATCTGACTTCGAAGAAATTCAACAAAGCCGACTAATTGGAGAAGTCCAAAGATACCTGGAAATTCAAAAGTAAGTAGATCTTCTGAAAAAAAAAATCACTCTTGGTACTAACCCAAGGCAGCCATGTGGTCACTATTTCGGATTGGCAAAAACCCGACGAAGGGGATTTGCATGCTAGCGAGTGTACCAAGTGCATACCATGTCGTATAGCTAATATAAAGGCGGGAGCTGTAACGACCCATGCAAATAAGAACAAAAGCATGTAGTGGGATCAAATTTGTAATAAAGACGTAACCTCCCCACGCCGACACCATGTAGCCGTAAAATAAGGCAGTTAGGGCACCCCACATTATTGATCCGTTTTTCAAAGATTTGATCCAAAGATAAAAGGTGAATACTAAGAGGAAAATTGCAATGGCCTCATTATCGTAACTGCCGGCGACGGATCTAGACATGTAACCTGGTGCAATCCCGATAAAAGCAGCAGCAAGAAGACCAGCCGAAGGAGAAACAGACATTTCAGAAGTAAGGAGATACATGGCCAGGGCGGTTAACCCGGAAAAGCCCGGGGCCAGGAGTACACAAATATTTCGAATATCGACCGGAAGGGCAATGAATCGAAGAAGATGGTAAATGGCACCACTGGTAACCATTAGGCCTGGGTATAACGTGCCGCCTGTGACACGTCCAAGGGGATGCCAGGTTCCTAAAGAGCGTTAGACATAATTCGCAAAAGCGCAACTCGAAAAGTAGCTCAGCCTAGCTCACGGTCGTCAAACCAGTCCCAGAAGCTATAAAATCCATGTTTAACGAGATATTTCGTTGCGCGGAAGTTAAACCACGGATCAACTGCGATTCAACGGGGATGTTAGCCATGATTATGGAAGCGTATCGGAGCTTGAGTGTTGATCGTACATTCGTGGATGATGCTCTCAAACCCTAGGAAGCAGTTAGCAATGGCAGAAAACCATCTCAATCAATTGAGGCCAAAGGGTAGGACATTCGTCATACTTATTACGCTGAACAATCTGCTGGAAATGGCTGCTGTTGCAATGACTGCTAATATAACCACCCGTAACAAGCCACGAGTATTCGAACTTGTGGTGCCCTTCAGGAAAGGGTCGACGGCGGCAGCGGCCATTTCGGCCGGAGCAAAGGGGTGAGCAAGCTGAAAAGAAAGTAGACAGCAAGCAATGCGGTGCACACAGCCAGACCCCCCGACAAAAGTCTCCCTGGCTGGCGCGTGAATGAAGATGAAGCTGCGTGTTCTCAAGGCCGAGAGCTTGGCGCTGGCTGTTTATGTCATCCTCCCTCCTCAAGATCTTGACAGCTGCCGGAAGGTGAGTACTCAAAGCAGCACCAGCAAATAATCGCTCTGGTGCCGCTTTCGACGCCATGTCTATTGCGCCGCGGACGCTAGAGGAGCTTAATCGTGCCCTGGCTTCTGCCTCGTCTCCGGCTGCCCTGCTTGAAGCTCTCACGGATTTCGAAGGCCAGATTTGCCTACGCTTTGGCGACACACATCTAGCAGCCGATACGGAGTTTCTAGGAATTTATTATTCTGCATTTTCTTTTGCGCTGCTAATTCAGGGAGAAATGTAGGCTGCCTCTGATGTATATGTAAATCCTTGTCCTGACACTTAACCTGGATGCCTTAGAAACGAAGCTCGGATGCTAGTTAGGAGGACCCCGCGAAGCCTGACGAACGCAGATGTGACTTTACAAAATACGTTCAATCTTGTGCGGGCAGTCTGGAATAAGCAGCATACAGCTGTATACCAAATTTTAAGATTATTGCCATGGCCGGACAATCTTAAGCCGTTGGTGGATGCCTTCTCTAGTAAGACTTGGATGCTTATCAACTTCCTAGCCACATGCTGATTTGATGTACAGCACATTTCAATAACGTCACCCGGGATGACCTTAGCGCTGTCTACGGGGCTATCAGACCAGAAACGGCTGCTTCATACTTAGGATTCCAAGCTTCCCCCGCTGAAAGTGATACGATGGAAGGTGTGTCGGGCTCAACAGCACCAGAGCTAATTGCATCCTTAGTGGAACAGGGCTGGGAATACAATGCAGATACAAACCTGTTAACCCCAATCCCAAAAGCGGCCGTTATGGATGGCACCGAACTTGATAAAATAAAAATCAGGCAGGTGGCTGGGCTTCTGCATGCTATCGGTGATTGAACCACGCTCTGCTTGGCATATGTATTTCAATGACACAAGGTTGTTAAACGATTAGAAATGTTGGTCCCTCGACCTATTCTTCCTGTCGAACGAATGAAGGTAGGCATTTGACTTCCTTGCGTTGTGTGTGCTGGGGAACAGGCGCAGGTTTATTGCTTCCAGGTATTGAACTTGTGGTTGAATATTACCTGGGTCGTTGGAGTGATGACACCTAGGAGCAATGCCTGAGGGAATCAAATGACAGAATCGTAAGACGATTCCGCTGGTATATACAACAGATAGCCGATATCTATTAATTTAGCTCCCCCTTTTTTGATCCCAAGGAAGCAAATCATGGACTAGAATTATACAAATAATACAAAATGGATATGCTATCCGGGCGTATTTCGTGCAATGCTCAGGTTCTCACTCGATATCGATTCTATTAACCCTATCGCGTGTTTCGTCTCGCGTTTTAACAATAAATTTCATACCGCCGTCTTTTACTTTTCGCCTGCTTTCATTTTTAAGAATGCTTCCAGGTCAAATCTTGCATCATCGGGGTCAGTGATTACTAGATATCCTAGTTAGCCAATGCCTGAAGATAAGTGAATGGTAGGCTATCTGTTCAGAAAATGACTCAAAAGTAACCAAAAAGTCAGAGCTTCATACCGCCTGTCTGGGGCTCCTTTGGAGATGGAGAATTCTTCCTTGCGAATTCAGCTTTCGCTTGCTCTATCAATTGTTCTTTCCGGTGGTATTCACGATCTATCTGAGCAGCCTTGGCTTGTGCGGTCAATGTCGATTGATGATAGAAGCCATAGAAAACACCAAAAAAGAGAGCTGAGTAGCGCAACACCTAGTATGAGCTATGTATTAGCTCATGTAACACCTCGACAACAACAAAATAGCCTGTACGAAGTACAAGGACTCACGTTAACACCTTGAGCGGTCGCCATCGATGGATAAACAATACACCCCGTAGATCAGGGGTCAATGGGCAAAAGGAAAGGAGAAAACGAAAGACACGAATGAGACTTTGCTGTGCGACTGATCCAGAGCGATTCAGGTAAGCAATGGCGTGCAGTTTATCTGCGTCGTGATTTCGGCGTCGAAGATTCAAACGTCGGGATTTTGGCTTGGCAAAATGGGCTGAGTAAGCTGCTTAGTTAACTACATAAACCGCCGTCTTGCTCATTGCGGAGAAATTATGACGAATCCGTGTTGAATGGCAAGACACAACAAGCAGGTCCCGTTTTTATGATGAGCAGTATGCAGCAGCGGAGAGATGAGATTCTGGCGAAGAAGGCGAAGCTCGCCGAGCTGAAGCGTCAGCGTGAAATGCGACAGCGAGAGTTCTCCCAAACACGCATGAGTATAGGGGAAGCCTCGGAGGTACATCAAGCAGCTGTGCGATGTTTTCGTCTACTTTTACTAATTAGTGACTGCTACAATATTTGTAGATATTGTCTCCTACTCCCGGTCGCTCGGATAATAGAGCTGAACTCGATAGTTTGATTTCCCGACTGGTGGACAGACCATCATCAGCGGCCCGAAAAGAAGGTGGAGAGGCATCGCCGAGAGGGCGCGGAAGTAGGCCAAATTCAGTACTCAGTGGAGGACAGCTAAGTGGAGATAATGCCGAAACATATACTCCACCAGTGCGACCGCTCTCGCAATCTATCGCGACGCAAACCACACTCAGTCCAACGGACCCCCAAGCCCAACCCCAACCTCTGCTTGCACTAAAAACGGAAATTTTAACATACAACAAGGCAGTACAGACGGATGCTTGGACTGACACTAAGGCATACTCGGGAGATGAGTCAGGGTCGGATAACGACGGATCTCCTGTACGGATGAGTAGAAGGGCCCATGAGAGAGATGAGGTGATCAGAAAACAGCTACGAAAGGAAATTGAAGACGAAATAGCAGCTTCTATAGTCTCGGAAAAAGATATTGATTCGCAACAGGCTGGGCATCCGAGATACCCACTACGCACGTTAACAAACGAGGAGCTCAATGCGGTCACGTCTTCAGGAGAGTTTTTAGATTTCGTGGAGAGATCAAGTAAAGTTATAGAAAGAGCGTTGGACGAAGAGTATGACGTTCTCGCGGACTATGCGTTAGGTGGACTTGGGGCCGAAGACGACGAGGACGACGATTTCAGAGTTGGAAAGAAGCGAAGAGAGATAAAACAAGTGGCACAGTTCTGGGATGAACGATGGAGCAAGAAGCGTATGATTACAGACATAAGCTTTTCCCCAAAGGCTAGTGCTCTAAAACTCTCTATTTCTATACAGTGATAATACTCATGAGTACTACAGTTCCCTGAATTAATATTAACCTCCTACACCAAAAACCCAACAGCCCCCCATGACCCCGACGGCCTCGTCAAAGTATGGAACCTACATCTTCACACCCGGCCCGAATATATCTTCAACTCTACTTCCGATATTCTTACTGCGAAATTTAGCCCATTCCACCCAAATCTCATCATTGGCGGCTCGTATTCTGGACAAGTGCTTCTTTGGGACACACGATCCTCCCGTGCTGGCGGCGGTGCCCCTGTACAAAAGACACCTCTTTCTGGGTCAGGCCATACACATCCCGTTTACAGCATAGCTATAGTTGGTACTCAAAACGCCCACAATATATTAACGGCGTCGACAGACGGAGTAGTGTGTGGCTGGACTGTCGACATGCTCTCTCAGCCACAGGAATATCTCGAACTTACCACCCCTCCACCTTCCAAGACCGAAGACCTTGCTCCTACGACCCTATCCTTCCCTCAATCAGATCCCACATTTTTTCTCGTTGGCACGGAAGAAGGCACCATTTACCCTTGTCACCGGTATGACCGCGCGGGCGCCAAAGCCGGAACCGACCATCGCCTTTCCTACCGCGGTCATGCTGCTCCAGTTATGTCAACTGCTTTCCACCCTGCTCGTGGGCCTGTTGACCTTGGTGACCTGATGCTGAGCTCAAGTATTGACTGGAGTGTGAAGCTATGGCGGGTGCGGCCACCAGCAGCAACATCTACATCGTCAGGAACCTCGTCCTCTTCCGCAGCCATGCATGCTGTTGCCCCTATTCTTGATATTAGTCGCGAAGACGTGGTATACGATGCTCGCTGGTCGCCGCATCGGCCCGGCGTATTTGCTCTAGTTACGGGTGCTGGGTTGCTTGAAGTTTGGGATTTATACACCGAGATTGAGGTCCCAGCCGCATGTGTGGCTCCAACATCAGGCAGAGGTGGAATACTCACAAAGAGTCTCAACAAATTGGCGTGGGAAGAAAGAGAAGGACGAAGAGTCGCTACTGGTGGCTTAGATGGCGTAGTTACGGTATTTGACGTTGGGAAAGGATTGGGAGGAGGGCCGGAAGAAGTCAATACGGAAGAGTGGTCGGGAATGAAGAGATTAGTGGGGAGGCTAGAGCAAGGTCTTGACAGAACATAAATTCTTTGAGGATGCTTGATGTTTTCGTGAAGCGTTTCATTTTCTCTCCGAGCTCTTCTGTTATATTTAGAATGTCCCCATGCTCCGTTCAACACTCAATCTTCCTAGTATGGAGTCTACAGTGTTTCTTATGTAGTGCAGATTTTTTTTGTTTCGTCTTCTATGATATTGACAGCCCCATTGCAGCACTGGCGAGTTTTATTATACCCCCATTGAGAAATATGTTTCGATTTTCCCATGTTTTATTTCCAAAATCTATCGAAGCTCTTCCTTTTATACTTCCAGTTTTAATATGTATATCGGAAGCCGGGCTTTTTTAATGTCAGTGTTAGAAGTGTGATGAAGGTGAGTTCAATAGACATACCATGTTTTCTATAACAAGAGTTCCATTCCGCTGTCGATTATTGGCCACATAAAAGTAAATCGAAAATAATACTACAATCACAATCATCAAAACATGTGACCTAATAAACATTAGTACTACCAACCGTTGAAATAGCTAGAAGAGCGATTTCTCTCACCCTACTGACACCCAAACGGCAGTGACGTAAGTTGGTGCTTCCGTAGACCTTACTATGAAACTGCCTGCAATGCCTCCAAGACCGTTAGCAGCCGCTACTGCTGCAGCTATGGTAGCTCGTTTCCACTGCCCCACGATGTTATTCGCTTGGTAAGCATTCAGAGCCGCCCAGTTAGAAACGTAAGCCCCAGTTGCAAGAAAGGTACCAATGTACCGAACAGTGACTTGCTTCGAGGCAGGAAGTCCAAGCATAAGGAATCCAGCAATGAGAGACAGTGCATTAAAGGCAATCAGAGGCCCACGCAAACGAAGCCTGTCCCCAAGTAAAGAAGTGAGGAGAACAGGGATGATTGCATAGTAGTAGGGCTATATGTGAAATATCAGCAAGGAGAGTAGGTAAGGTGCCAGCAACATGGTCAACGTACTGGAGATGAAAGTATAATCGACTTATTTGAGCTGAAGCCCATTCCTGACTGGAGAATTATAGGAAGAAAATAGGCAAGGGAGGTAGAGACAGTATTGAGTAGGAAAAACAAGCAGCTGAAGCCGTAGAGTTTTAAATCAAGAAAGTTCACCGCAATTTTTGACCAGGAAATATGCTCGGGAATGGCATCGTGTCTGTCCACCTGGATTCTCTTAGTTGCTAGATGAAGTTCAGCTTCATCCAGAAAGCAAAAGCTTTGGTGCGCGTTATCTGGAAAGTCGATCATCCACCAGTATGTGGTCACGCCTATTGTGGTGGAGATCAGACCCTGGACCAGAAACATCCAGCGCCATCCAGCAAGGCCCGCTTTTCCATGGAGCTGGTTCAGCGCAAAATTTAAGACGCCCCCCGTCGCCAGGATAAACACTTCACTAGACTGCATGAATGCGTATCGGAGCTGCTGCTCCTGGCGGGTATACCAGGTGCTGATAAGATAGGTCAGGCCGGGATAGATGCCAGACATGGAGATGCCGAGCAGAACGCGGAGGACAATCATCTGCTTCCAAGAGTGAACGAAGGCAGAGCATAAGGTGATCAGGCCAAAGCAGACCGTAGTCACGGAGAACCAGATGCGCGGGCCCACAAAGCGAATAGACAGCGTAGACGGCAGCTGGAAGATGATACTGGCCACAGTAAATATGAAAATAGCGATGGAGAATCGGTTACCCTGCAGAGAGAGGTCCTCGATCATGGAGGTGACAGCAGCGGACGAGATGATGCCCGAGTCAATGAGATTTAAGCTGCAGAGCACGCCGGCGATGGAGCACAGGCGCAGGTCGACTTTCCGGCGCAGTCTTCTCTCCAGGTCCTTTTCGTCCTGCATACCCGAACCTATATCACCATCTCCGCGCGCATCCCAGTCCGTGGCAGGCGAAGCAGCCAACGGCTTCGCAGGGTCGAAGGTCATATCTGCTGCGGGGATGGCAGTCTGGGGGTGAGTAGAAGGACAACCCTAAACAGAATAGGTAGTACCGCGTGGAGGGGAGCCATATACATATAGTTACTCCGTATTATCTGCACTTCGCTGGTGCAGAAATTTGTTCCTCGGTTCGTAGACTTGGAGGGGCGCTTCACGGGTAGGGATGGACGGGCCGCTGTCTCGCATCCGTCGGCTGGAGGATCCGTAAGGGCCAGTGCTGTGCAGTTCCGCTGCCGCAGCGCGAGTTCTACGCATGTGTTGCCTCACGGAGGTCTGTTGTTGCGCAGGCTGGATGGAGGGTGCAAGTCACACCTCCGCCAACATGCCTGGTCAGCGTGGTCTCTTCCCTTCCTCTCGCCCGTTGCTCGCACTGCCGACCCTCCAGCTTTCTCGCCGCGTCGCCATGATTGTCCCCTGAACAAGACCCTGATCTGCCTGTCTAAGGTGCCTTTGGCCTGCTTGTGTTGCTTCCGCACAGAGACCCGCCGATCCGACAGCCACCACAACCTGCCCAGACGACGCCTCGCTGCATTGCCCTTCGATCCCCTCGCAGCATGGTCGAGCGTATTCCTGGTCCAGATCCACGAGCTCTGCTACCTCCCTTGCTTGCCTGTCTTCCAGTTGGCTTCGCTTCGCCACAGCCTCCGCCGGCACTCCTACCGTTGCTCTCTCCCGTGCTTCGACAGCGTATCCAGCTTCTCAGCTCCGTTTCCCCCTCACTCTCAGAATCTTGGATCCGGCTTCTATGCTGGGACGTTGCAAAGGGAGCTGAGATAGAGCGCATCGTCGGAGAGGCGTCCTTTGAACCGCACCCCATCTCTGGCGAGATAGACATTCCTGACGACATTGAAACACGATATAAGCGCATTGACCATGAAACGCTACGAGCGTCTCTATTATTAACTGTTTACAACCTTGCTACCATCTACGTATGGTGCCCGAATGATCAAGAACCCGGTGGCTCGGGGTGGAAAGTGACAGAGGTTCTACCTCTCGACCTATTCAAACATGAGACTGATTCTTGGAAGACTTCAATTGCGGAAGCCAACGATGATTTCCCCAACGTAACGCTTCGTGGGAAACTGGCGGGCCGTGTAAATCCGTCAAATGAGCACTCGGGATTGAGGCACGACGAGAATGAACAAGATGATGACGAGTATTGGGCTCAGTACGATGATAATTTGGGTAGAACACCTGTGCGGAAGCATTCTCCCGCCCCCGACCGTTATCATACTGGTGCCTTAAAATCGATCGACACTACTCTAGATTCATTATATTATAGTCGCTATGACGGAGTACAGCCCGCGCTGGACAGCGACGACCCATCAGTGGATCGAAATGAGCTTGGAGACTCGAGTTTCAGCAATGAAGCAGTTGCAAATATACTTCGGCAACACATGACACGACTAGCTCGGCAGGGCGAGCAGCCGTCTACACCACCAGGAACAATCGACCCAACGCTCGCGCTCAACCACCCACGCCCATCATCCGCATCGTCGGATGGCTCGGCAGCTGTATTAAAACTGGAGCAATCGGCGGAGAGCCAGTCATTGTCGCAAGTCGGCGTGCGCGAGCACATATCCTGCCAGATCACAAGCCTCTATCGCCTAGCCAAATGCACTGGTATTTCTGGGGAAGAATTTGCTGGCTTCGTGCAAAATGAGCTAGAATCATTGGGCATAGCGGACAGACCCTCCCAATTTTGACATTTCAAGGACAAGCAGACAGCCAATTCATAACACTGTATCACCCCTCTTCCGCCGTACGCTGCATCGCACAGATATCAATGTATCAAATGTATGTACGGAGTACGGAGTACTTCTTACGGAATACAGAGATTCAAACCAACTATGTGCAGCGAAGCCTGTTTGCATACTTTGCTGTGTTTGTCTCTTCACTCACGTGCGCACTTTTCTGGCAATAGCCTAGCGGCATTACCTCATCATCTCAGACGCGTGCTGTTAAGGTTCTTTAGCGCGAATTTAGTGTTTTGAACTAACCCATTTGGGTAATTTGGCCAGAACCTGACCAGCACAGCATCTGAGCTGGTTTTCAGCTTTTTTGCAGGAAGTTGGAAATCACCATACAAATTTGAGAATTGCAAATCAGGTCAGAGCCACACATGTTGAATTTGCTGCTTCAAGAACTTAATACAATGTTTTTTTATATAGACTTCATCTATAATCACATTTAAATTTACTGTAGAGCTTCTCATTCAATCTGCTCCACATCATCAGATTTTTTCATTTAATTATCTGATTGAGAAATATCAGTTGACCAGCTCTAGTTATTCTATAAGAGCAGTATGTACATAAACACATCTTTTCTCTGAGTCAGTAATCTCTCAGCACTTATCTGTCTTCTTTGTAAACTGATTCAAGTCTTTGTTGTTGAGATTTTGCATCATCTGTTTTTGTGCAATCTTTTTGACTCTGCCTCATCTGATTCTTATAACATCATCACTTTCAGCTGAATATTGTTCAAATTCTCTGATCAACTAAATAAATAATTTCTTCATTGAAGTACACATTCTTTTTTTCATTTTCTGCTCTATGTCTGGTGTGCTGCCTGCCCCTGGATTGGTGAAAAATGAAGTATGTGTTGTGTCACAAGAGTTTGCAGAAAGCAGCAAAGAAGAGATGAACTTGTCTGAGATGACTTAGATCTGCTCAACTATCTGATTCTTCAGCACTGAAGATAGATTCTGCTCACAATGACAAGAGTTGAGTTCTGTTGGCAATCTTCATAAATGAAACAGAGTGACATGCACATGCAGTTAGTATTATCAGATCAGTCTTTGATTATGAAGTCAGAGAGCATCAGTTGAATGCACTCACTGTGCTTCTCTATCAAAGAAATGATCTGCTTCTCATTGCAAAGATCTCATTTAACAAAAGTATGATTGCTCAGACTCTCTCAATTCTGCTGTCTGAAAAGATGATTATATGTGTGCTTTCTTTCAATATTATTGAAACCAAACAGATTCAGAAGATGCAGTTCTTGTCTGAAGCTCATCCACTACATATTTATGATGATAACATTAATCAGTCAAATCTGGCATCAGAATTGCTGCAGAGTTTATATACTCATCTGTACATAAGTTCTGAGTTGCTGATCAGATCAAAGCTGCAGTCAATTCTTAAAGATTCTGTTTTTCAAAATTGTTTAACTGTCATGATCATAGATGAGTTGCATCTGATGTCAGATTGAGGGCAGAAGTTTCAACTTTCATTTTCATGTCTCTATATGATCAAAGCACTACTGAGTCAGATGCCATGAACTGAGATCACTGTCACATGCAATCAGATCATCATGAAAGCCATGTTTAAGTCTATTTCACTGCACTCAGGTTATGATATTATCCATACTGATGTGAATCAGCCTGAGATAGCTATTCTGATCAGTTATATTGAATATAGAAAGTTCAATACTTTTGAGTCACTTTTCTTCATAATTAAACAGACTTCTGATGAAATCACTGCTATGACTGTTGATACATCATATCAGACCTGTCAGCTGACATCAGATAGAATTCCTAAAATCATAGTCTTTATGACAAAAAAGAATGTTCTGGAGAGCACTCTTGATGTGATCAGAGATTGACTGATCAGTCACTTTGAGTATTCCACTACTCTGACTCACTTCACTGTCAAATTATACCACATCAGTCTGGCAAAATATGACAAGGCCAGTCTGTACAAGAAGTTCTGTAAGACTGATAGTCAGATTCAGATGCTGATCACATTCAACATCATGATGCACAGCACAGATGTCTCTGATATTGAGGTCAGTGTTCAATATGGCATGTTTATTGAGCCATTCATCAACATGCTATGATAGCAATTGGGTCAGACTGCTCAGATCAGTGATCAGTCTGGAACATTTATGTTGTTAGTCAAGAAGAATTATAAAGAGTCTCAGATTTCAGATGACAGCAAGATTAAATCAGTATATGAACAGCTTCTTGAAACAGATTCTGATTCTAATTCACAGATCTCTAGTCTCTCAACCATGACTGTTAATGTGGCTGCCAGTGTTGTTGAGTCAGTGATGATCAGTATGGACAGTCTCTTTGTAGAAGATGATCTGATCAGAGACACTCAATTATCATCTGAGCTGAAAATGAAGTCTGTCAGTGGCACTAAAAGTAGCTGAATCAAGAGATGAGATCATGTTCAAGATGTACTGTACAAGCTGATCAACTCTGATCATGGCTGTCTCTGTTGTCTCATTCTGAACCACTTTGAACAGTCAACAGTTGACCAGCAAGACTTCACATGCTGTTCTCTGTGTGATTCTAAATTGCTGAATATATTCAAGTTCTCTGTTGTTGTTCAGAAAACAAGAGTTAAGCATCATCATGATGTTGTTCTTCAGATGCAGATCTGATTGGACTCTTGAATTGATTTCTATTATTAAGAGATGTCATGGAAGCCCACATATTTGATTCTGATGTCAAAGAATGAACTTATAGATTTGTGCTTGAGTCAGTTGATATCAAATGAAGCTCAGTTGTTGAAACAGCTCTCTCATTGAGTCAAGCAGAAGTCTATTCATCCAGACAGTGAGAAATTTATCAGAGAGTTGAGCAGACTTGCATTGAAGTCTGCTACTCAGTCTGTACAGACTGTTTAGACTTCAGCAGTTCAGATTAATTGAACTCTAAGAATTTCAGAGTCTTGTCTTCATAACTGCATGTCAAGAGATGATTTGGAACTGTCAGTTAGTCAGAATCTCAATGATGATTGAGCAGACATACTGATGTCAGATAGTCAGTTCATTTCAGTGATTCAGATAGATGTTCTTGTCTCAGATAGTTAGTTCTTTGCTTCAGAAATTCAACTAAATGTGCTGTTGCCTAACAGTCAGCATACTACTGTTGAGATCTGTTCATATTGTCAGGTTTCTGCTCTGGTTCAATTGTCATATTCTCAGTTCAGCATATTCAGAGATTTGATGACACTCACATTACTCTCAATGTCTGTGTCAATTCTCTGGCATAGTATCCAATCAGCATCTTCAATAAATTCTCATATAATATCTGATCTGCTGTTCAGTACAGATAGTCACTTTCAGCATATATCTAATCAACTGTTCAACTCTCATCCATGAACATCTCTGACTAACTTGTCTGTCAATGCCTGCACCTGAAAGGCTTGGGATCCAAACAAGAGGCCCAGTTTCAGAATGAAGAAATGGGAACAGATGAGGAATTGAGCAACTGTTTCTTGAGTTGTGGGCCTGTACATTGGCCAGTGGAAGTATTATATAGATTTTGTTATTTTCTGGCCAGTATATATAAAGTGTATACCCAGTTGGCCAGAACTTTGGTCATCAGCCAGCAAACACATTTATGAATCTATAAAATAGAGACATCATCAGTTTAATGTCAAATAATCAGAACTGTATCTTTTGTCATAGTCATATCATAGAAGACTCATTGATCTGGACAGATGATTGATTCTTCAGACACAATTTTGATGGAAAACATGATTTTCAAAGAGAGGGGCCTTGGAACCCAAAATTTTGGCAGGAAATGGTTATTCACATATGGTTTCTCTAAACTCAGCCCAACAAACAATCATTCAATAGTAATTCTGGGCCAGATATATATTCTCAATGGCAAACTGTTAGATCAGCTGTTTCTCCAATTCTTCTTCTGATCTTCCATCTGGCAAGTGTGTTCTTAGATGTCTGGATGATGTAGTTCATCCATTTACCTTCATTAACTGGGCCCCATGCCAGATTTCTGTTATCAGAGCAGAGGTTGATATAAACACTAGCCACTGTTGTTGAGACAGTTATCAACACTCTGATTTGTTTTTTCACTGAGTACAATATAAAATCATACCCAACTGAGCAGACTCCTCTTCTCTTTTATATGAACTTGTCCACAAGCCACATCTGCTGGGCAAGATTCTGTTCAGAAACAACTGACTACTGTGAACATCTCTGAAACAACTTTATGTGTCCATATAACATTTTCAAGTCCTCTTTCATTCTCTTGACTTCTGATATAGTTTCAAGAGTCATTCTGATCAGTTGGTTGTCAGATCAACAACTCTGTCTGTATAGTAGACTGTAATTAAGAGTATCATGTTGTTTCATAGCACATATCTGCATATATTCACTTATCTCTGACAAACTGCCTGGCAACAGCCATATCTGGCAAAATCACCTGACCCACAACACATTCAACACATGTCAGATATTAACAACTTTGGTCTCTATCTCTCCTTCACTTCTTCTTATCTATCAGGCCAATCATTCACACTGCCTCAACACTCTGCCTGCCCACACCCTCCCTGTTCATTCATTCATATATCACAAGTTAATACATAAGTTAATACACATGTTTAATTCTTTCTTTTTTGAAATCAATATCTCTTTCTTTTTTTTTAAAATCAACATCTAAACAATTAGCAATGTCTGCCCCCTCTTGCCATGACACATCTTCACTCTCAGATGCAGAATCATTTGAATCTGATGAAGTTTTGCCTCATTGTGATGTTCTAATGTCAGACTCTGATGAAAATCTTTGGATTACAGCCACACCATCTGATTATATCCCACTTCAAAATCACAGACCAACAGGAGGCTCTTCCAACTTGCTGGTATCAAGTAGTTATGATACCACTCACTGCTCTCTTGATTATCTGGCCAGCTTAACCAGACACCCTGCATCTGATAATGGTATCAATCCAACTCTGCTGGTAAGATACCCAAATCAGGACATAAATAATTCTCACAGCATGTCTGAATCTGATCAGAGTGATACACTCACCAATCAATCTGAGTCTGAATCAAATATTCAGCCAAACACTGGGGATGACAATCTGTTTTGTGAGAATTCTGCTGGTGCTGCTCAGGATCAACTCCTCACTGATTATCTGATCAATGATGTTTCAGACATACTTGATCATGACACTGCTTCTGCTTCTTCTGGTGTGGATAAACAACATGGACCTGGTGAGGAACAGGCCAATACTTACAAAAGATCCATAAACACAGAACAAGCTGGTAAGTTATCTGCTCAGTATCAAATGACACACATACTAACAGTTGATCCATAGTTGATATTCAGCCAACAACATCATTCTCTAATTGAATACTTCATTTGAAATTCTCAAATCCAAAGAAAGACAATCTGGCCAATGTGTCAGTTAAACATTCAGTGACAAACCCCAAACTAACTTGAGATCAAATCAAGAAGAATCAATGGTATACATCTTGTGATGAAGCTGCTTGAAATGAAATATCTCTGAAAGTTGTTGATACTCTATATCATATCAACAGAATTGAAGGTGCAGACAGTACTGAGCAGATATCAGCATGCAATTATTGCAACAAGCATGAAAGTTGAAAATGCTGGATCTACAAATCATCAGTACACAAAAACAAAAAATGTCTGGGCAGTACTTATTCTCACTGCTGAATGAATGCCATCAAATGTGAGTTTACAGATGGCTCTGCTAACAAATGTGGCATGTCTGAAAGCAAAGGGTCTTTGCCCAGAAAAAAGAGTCATCAGATTCATGGGTCACAGATCTCAAAAAATACTCACCCAGATCAGTATCAGAATCCCTCTGCAACAGAGACTTGTCATGATAACAATAATCAAGACCAACTCAACCTCATCTGATTCACAGAGGGACTAGCTCAGATGTTTGATTTGATGTGACTGACTGAGAACAGAGATATGTTGGAGATTAATGCACATCTCATGTGGATTGAGAGTCAACTGACTACATTAATGGACATGGTATCAGCCTTAATAGATAACTTGTTCAGAATATATCATTTTGAATGATATATTGACTGAATTACACTGTCACCAGGCCAGATGCCTGATAAGCTCATGTATGTAAATAGGATACATACATAGAAATGAAAATGACCAACTTAACTATATATGAGCATAATCTACATAGAAACACCTGTACATAAAATCTGATCAGATCCACCCCCCTAAGTATCAAAATTGTTAGATTTTTAATCACATAAGATAATTGAATAACCAACCTCAACAGCATCTTCTCTACACTGACCAACTTCACCTGAATCTTTCTCATTCTCTTCACTAATGCCCACCTCACCAGCTTTCAAGACCCTTGTGATATACACATTGACAGTGGCTATGTGGGATGATAGATTCTGAAAGGCATCAGACAGCTTTGTATTGAGTAAGAATCCAGAATTATCCTCTACACTAACACACAACTGCTTCAATATTAGAGAAGCAAGACTGCAGATATCTCCACTGACAGACTTTTTAACATATTTCACATCTGTATACTCCTCAAAAGCATGCTCAACTGCCTGACAAAGCTGATGTGTATATTTTAAAGTATAGATAGACTTCCAAAAAAGCTCCTGAACCCCAAATGTTGATGTTCTCTGAGATCACAGCAATTTTTTCAGCTTCAGATTGAGCAACTTATTGAGTTTATCAGTCTTCATGAAATGATCAGTGCTTCTGTGCACAGTGATGAGACTGTTAGCCAGAACAGCATCTTGAAGCAGCTGATCATGAACAGAGAAGTTTATGAGTCATCAGAAATACAACATCTCAACTGCATAATTGAAGTGATGTTGTCAGACAAAATGCAAAATAGACTGCTCAACTCTCTGAGACAGCAACTCAACATCTCCATGTTTAGTGTCAGTCTTGATCAGCTTATAAGTCTTGACAAGATGAAGAAACTGTACATGAACTGTCATTGTAACACCTGCACAATTCTCATCAGACAGTCATGGCACATCAAAGCTCTGAGCATTGAATTGAGTCTTTAAGCTGATCTTGAGATGATGTGCATCACAATCTTTCATTCTCTTCATTAACTCATCAGATCAACATACTGACTCTGGTGCAAACATCATGAAATATAAATGACTGATCAGATCATCAAACTCATTGATCTGCAGACTCAAAATTACCACTCATACTGCATCAGAATCTGCAATATTCAGCACAGTGTGTGTGTCTCTGATTAACTGCAAAAACATTGCTGTTATACAGACATCAAAACTATGAAGAATAAGTTCTTCAAGATGATGAAATGATGTCTTCTCACTGGGCAGATGCCATCAGTGAAGATGATTAATGTGATTAAACAGTGAAGTTGTCTGCTGAGAGAACTCAACTCTCCCATAGAAGATCTTCATCATCATATATAAAAAGTTGAGCTGAAGATGCCACATTGCTGACACTGATAATGTTCAATGATGAGTATCATATATTCTCTGAGCCTCACACTGTCAGCACTGACAGTCTTAAATGAACACTGACATTTTCTGATCATCATAAACTAGATACAGTGACTCATGGAAATTCTTATTCTCATCCATCTTGAACTGCTCAGTGAATACTGTATGAAAGATCTCATAAAGACCATCATAAATGCTCTCAGACATTAATATAGATCTCAAGAACAACATACATATTGACTCTGACAGACACAGTTTATTGATCTTCAGTAGAACAAGACAACTATACAAATCACTTTCTGTTTTAAACACATTGGCCAGTTTGTTTGGGTAGACTGCAAACAGAGTCTTGAAAATGAAATAGCAACACAATTCAATCTCAATCTGATTCTGATTTTGCTGCAAGAAATGAATATAGTTAAGTTGGTTTAAAGAAGACAGATTCAACATGCTCTGATGAAGTTCATCTGATGAAATCTGACCATAAACATGAAGATTAGTGATATAAGAGTGAAATGAACTCTTGTCATCAATGATCTGATGTCAAACATTCTCTTGAAATTCAAAATTATTAATTATGACAACATTAGTTGGTCTGAAGTCTTCTTGAAGCTGATGCTGTGGCAACTGATCAGTTGTCATCCACAATGCTGGTCAAATAATCACTCACTGATCTTGACAATAGTGACCATGTTCAACTGCTTGTCACAAAGAGTCATATAACTATCAATGATCTCTAGATCATGCAGAACAGTAAGAACTCTTCATTTAACTTTCATGTTCATGAAATAAAGTTTTAATAGCCAGATGAAAGTGTTAGTGAAGTTTCAAGTGTGACTCAACTGCAGAATGAAAGCAATCAGAGCCAGCTGATCTCAATGCAGACAATGTTTGTGAGTATGTTGATGATGACTTGAGTGAGCAAAATCTTTAATCACATGTGTCAACACAGACATCATCTGCTCAATTGTGGAAGCAAGATTATCAATGCTGATGTTGTCAGTTAAACAGATTGTATGAAAGTGACAGAAGAAGAAGCTCTGACTCTGAAGAACTGTTAATTTTTAATGAACAAGATGCACTATTTAATTCAATATTGTGTGCTGAAGACTCTGACTATGAATCACTGCAATCTGAAAGAAGTCATTTCTTTCTAGCACACTGATCAGATTATTGACTCTCTGTTTGGGTGTATAGAATGACTTTGATTCATCACTCTGAATCCATTACTGAATCAGTAAAGAAACAGACACTTAAAGACACTGAAGCAGTTGAAATACAATGTCAATCTTTTTGTGCTTTGATAAATACTTATCTGACTTCAGCAGATGCTGAAGAATATCTTTCAAGAATTATAATTCTGTCTGAAAGAAACTCTCATCAAATGAACTATCTGTGAAACTATTGAAACTGATCTGCATACTGAGCAGATTTAAGTTGTTCTTCTTCTTCAACTCAGACACAATGATATTCAGATTCAGACTATCAGAGTCACTGCCCTCACTGCACATAAGCAGATCTTCAACAAAATTCTGAACTTACTGAGAATTCAAAACTGACTGATTAGCTGTCTGTCTGACTTCACTAGTCTCATTGAATTCTTTGCACTTAATCAGATCACTGTCAGAGAAAATAATCATATCAATGAACAGTTCTGAATGTGCAGATGTAATAGATAAGCAACATTCAGATGTCAGCATGTTGCTCTGACATCATCTGTCTTCTCAGACAACAGAGCAAGAGATCTATAATGCCAGAGCATGCTGAGCTCTAACTACTGATTAAGTGAGAAACTGTTTGCTGATGATTGAATCTGAAAATGTCTGAAAATCAGAGTGAAGAGAGATGACACACAGCTGTTTTGCCAGACAGTTCTGAACAGAAGAGTGAGACATTAAAGATAAATAACTGATTCAAGACTCAACAAAGATAACTATGAAAGTATTCTGATGATAAAATGTGGGCTGCATGGAGAGTGAATGATTAAAGATGTTGAGCAGACTGTTTTGAAGGTTCAAAATTTCACTAAGTCCAACATCTGGCCAGAGAACCCTAACAAAATGCAAAAAACTGGCTCAGACCTTCCACAGAATGTGGCAGAAATTACCCATAAGAGTCTAGCTCCAAAGCTTATAATTACACTATGCTACATTGGGCCTAGCCCATTTCTGACTCATCCGAAGTGGAAGGTCTGAGGGTATGAGGCAACTAGCGGCAGTTATTTATTCTCGCCAATCAATTCTCCAGCTTCGACAGGGTCCGTTTTCGCCCTGGCGCGCTAGCCCCAGAACAAACTAGCGCACACACCCCCTTTCAACTTCCAAGCTGGTCGCAACTTCACAAGTACAATTTGTTCGCTTTCGCTGGCGATCACGACGCCGCCCTTAATACTGCTTGTAATCTCCCTTTGGCATTTCTTCACGCTCTTTACTATGCCTTTCTATAGCTTCTTCTGAGCAGCTTGTTATTGCCCCAGTGCCAGCTTGTTGAATTAATTGCCTACCCTGTACGGAGTACTCTCTTCTTCTCCGCGTCTTCCTCTAATTTAAACTCTGTAATGATGGATTCTTCTCCGCCTGGCCTTCGCCAGCGTGGAGGTCAAAATTCAGCCTCTCCTGCACCGCAAAAAATTTCCAAGTCTCCAGCCCCACCGTCTTTGAACCAGCAGCCGTCAAAGAAACAAGCCTCTGAATGGAGCTACCGACTGGCAATAACCGTGATAACCATCCTGGCATTTGTTACTCGGTTCTATAAAATTAGCTATCCAGATGAGGTGGTGTTTGATGAAGTACACTTTGGAAAGGTGAGCTTATTCATTATTTTATTTTTGTTTTTTGTTTTTCCCAACGTTCTTGCTGCCCTTTCAACTGATATCTTCTCGCAATCGGAACTAGTTTGCTTCGTATTACCTACAGCGCACTTATTTCTTCGATGTCCACCCTCCATTCGCCAAACTCCTTTTCGCATTCGTGGGCTGGTTCGTTGGATACGACGGCCATTTTCTTTTTGATAATATCGGTGACTCGTACATTAAGAATAAAGTCCCATATGTTGCATTCCGGGCATTGCCGGCCACTCAAGGTGCTCTGACTGTTCCGGTTGTTTTTCTCATTATGTGGGAATCCGGCTACTCCCTCCCCGCTTGTATCTTATCCTCAAGCTTAGTGTTGTTTGATAACGCCCACATCGCCGAGGACAGATTGATCTTGCTAGATGCCACCCTGGTCATTTCGATGGCCCTGAGCATACTATGTTATGTCCGATTTTACAAGCTTAGGCATGCTTCTTTCACCCGGAAATGGTGGAAATGGCTACTGTTGACAGGAATTTCGTTGAGCTGCGTCATCTCGACAAAGTACGTCGGATTGTTTACATTCGTAACCATTGGATCGGCTGTTTTGATAGATCTATGGAACCTTCTTGACATTAACCGCCGCGGCGGCGCATTGACAATGCTACAATTCGGCCAGCATTTTGCCGCCAGGGCTTTCGGCCTAATCGTGGTGCCGTTCTTCTTTTATCTCTTCTGGTTCCAGATTCATTTTGCAATCCTCAACAAATCAGGACCTGGAGATAATTTTATGAGCCCGGAGTTTCAAGAAACTCTTGCAGATAACGCCCTGGCTTCGAAGTCTATGGCTATTCAATACTACGATATGATAACGATCAGACATAAACAGACAAACACCTATCTACACAGCCACCCGGAAAAATACCCACTTCGTTACGAAGACGGGCGTATCTCCAGCCAAGGCCAGCAAGTCACTGGGTATCCTTACAACGATACCAATAATCATTGGCAACTGCTTCCATCAGTCGCATTCCCTGAAAATGATCGTGTTGGGCATGCTGTGAAAAACGGAGATACTGTTCAGCTCCGACATGTCGTCACCGATACAATCCTCCTTACCCATGATGTCGCCTCCCCATCTCTTCCAACCAACCAAGAATTCACGACTGTTTCTCATGACCTTGCGAACGGTGATCGTCATAATGACACCCTGTTCGAAATAAAAGTGGATGGCATCAAAAGAGGCGAAGAATTTCGGACGATGGCCAGCTTATTCAAGCTCATTCATGTGTCTACGAAAGTGGCAATGTGGACGCACACCACTCCTTTACCGGACTGGGCCTTTCAGCAGGCTGAAATCAACGGAAACAAAAATGCGCAAGATACTTCCAATATATGGTTTGCTGAAGATATTCCGTCGCTAGAACCAGAAAACCCACGTTTGACAAAAGAACCCCGAAAAGTCAAACAAATGCCATTCCTTAAGAAATATTTAGAACTTCAGGCAGCAATGTTCTATCATAACAATGCTCTGACTTCCAGTCACCCTTATGCTAGCGAACCGTTCCAGTGGCCGTTCCTCCTTCGGGGTGTCAGCTTCTGGACCAAAAATGATACTAGACAGCAGATCTACTTTCTTGGCAACCCAATTGGATGGTGGATCGCGAGCACCCTTCTAGCTGTATTTGCTGGTATTGTCGGGGCCGACCAGCTCTCGCTGCGCCGTGGTGTTGACTCTCTTGAAGAAGGTTAGTTAGCAGGAAAATCCATTAGCTCATCCTTATATTTAGCTAACACCATATGTTACAGTTTGGGGGCCAGGCTCGCGCTCGCGTTTTTACAACAGTACTGGGTTCTTTTATCTGTGCTGGGCTGCTCATTACTTTCCATTCTATCTTATGGGTCGACAACGTTTCCTTCACCACTATCTCCCGGCGCACATTGCGTCCTGCCTCGTCACTGGTGCCTTGGTAGAATTCCTTTTTAACGTCGAACCCATCACTACTGAAGACGAAAGTAATAACCAATTTGTTGGTCTTATTGGTGGCGTCCGACGGCGATTGAGTCAGCGAAGTATCATGACCATATGGGCGGCCACAATGGCCATTCTCAGCATCGTCTTATGGGGATTTTGGTTCTTCGCGCCCTTGACATATGGTTCTCCGGGCTTGGATGTGGCCGGCGTTAATGCAAGAAAATGGCTTTCCTATGATTTACACTTTGCTAAATAAGCAAGTTTAAGTTGCACTATCTACTGAAGAAAGGCTGCTCATAAATCACAATATGAACATGCAATGGTATATAACTCACCTGTCTTGTTTATGATCGTCTTGAAGTTACATATAATACTTTTTCCTTTCATGACAAATTCCTCTCCTCTTCAGTTGATCCTGTTTGTTTTATAAGCCACTCCAAAGTTCCATCTTTGGTATATTTTCATGTCACATGTCAGTCATGAGGCAGGTTTGAGCGTTAATGGGGTCATGTTTAGCATATTATAGCTTGATAAATAAAAAGAACTGTATGGAGTACTATTTTTCATCTTGATTCAATATTGAATTTGTAATCAAGGGGATAATATTATCTTATCAAAATGAACGCTCGTTATCGAATAAGTAGATATCATAAGGTAAGTAAAAACAGGTGCAAGAAAAATGGCAATGTAGAAAAATATACCTACAGTATACTGGAAATAGGGCCCACGGCTCTATGATATTGAACCTATTCGGCTAGACTCCTTCCTTCTTCGACTGCAATAACAACAATTACACATATATCATCCGGCTTGCCTCCTCTCCAGTGGTCCCATGGTCGGTGCCTTTGCGATTCTTTTGCGAAAGGACCATCACGCCGGAAATCCATACTAGCTATCTTTGCTTCCCCAGCTATGGTAACAGCAAGAAGCGCCTGCAGCGTGTGGTCGCGTGTGTTTGCGTCTATATTTTTCATGTCTGGCGCTGACTCGGGGTGATGACGAGATTTAGATTTCAGAGCGGAGAAGGCAGATGACAGTCCCCCGGCTTGAGTTAGGACATCTAAGCTTTCGGACACTCCGATTCCCATGTCAGCAGTTCCACTCCAGGCTCCAGTGCCCATCATCCGAGCTGTAACGTGTTTAAGAATGTCCTGGTTGTTCAGGTTATCATATACCCCGTCTGTTGCGAGTATGAGTACATCACCATGCTGAAGACGATAATTTATTACGTTGGCGTCTTGGGGAAGGTCTTCAAACTGTCTGCCACCAAAAACAGCGGATTGCATTCGCATCAGAGGTGGTAAGACAGCTAGCTGGTAGGGTGTATTGAAGTCGTGGGTCTGGGGGCATGAATAATGATGAACAGCAGCTAGTCGAAAGAGAACCGAGCCGGAGTCTCCAAGGCTAATTGTAGAATAGATTAGAAGAGAGAAATAAAGAGAGTTGGGCAAAATTAGAGAGAGTATCTGCGTACTTCGCTAGTTGAACTGTCCCGTCTTCGCGCGCTATACCAATGCACGCAGTACTGCTACCAGCAAATATCGACCTGTCGACCAGCGTTCTCTCGTATCCTAACTGCATCAAGGCCCTTGCACGCAGCTCCTGGGCTGATCCGTCCCAGTTCAAGGCACACTCAGCCATGTAAGCACAGAAGGCATGCGAGAAATCGGCCGGATCTACGCCAGATTGCATCCAGCCGCCCACACCATCTGCAACACCAAAGGCAAAGGTATTGTTATGACCATCTACTTTGCCGACGAAGAAGGCATCCTCTCCACTGTCTGGTCGGTTGAGGCGCTGCTCCAGATAATTTCTTCCCTTCTGTAACCCGATGGCATCCTGCGTTTCAGGGTCAAAGCTATAGATATTCCTATCCGGACTGAACCTACGGCCCTTCCCAGATGAAGATACTGCGATTCGATAGGACATGCGCGGACGCGAGAGCTGCTGCGCGCTTGCATGGAAAAGCCTGGGAGTATTCAGTCGCAGGATATCGGGCAGCCCGAGGCATCGCGTTCGCGGCGAAAACGCGTGGCTCGCGAAGCGCCAGGGCTTAACGGATGTTGCCAGACCTCGTAGGCTGGAAGGTGAGCAGACGATGGTCACCGGGGCCATCGGACGGAGTTGTGCTGGTCAGCGAGAGCCCCGGACAGAGCGAGACGGAGCGAGGCAGGGAAGGCCGGCGAGAGCATTTGAGACGAGCTGCTGCTGAGCGGACGGGGCGGGGGCATGGGCACAGTGCCTTGCCTCTACCAGCCAAAGAGCCGGGCGTGCATGGAGGATGGCGTGGGTATGTATGTATGTATGTAAGAAAGACAGCGGTTGGGGTTGAGCTGCGGATTCTTTGGGTCTGAAGAGCCTTGTCGCAAGAGCTGGACCACCGCAACAAAAACGGGCGGAAGCTTCATTTGCGGATACATATCTACCCATCCTCTGCTCGTGACGCCTTGCGGAGGCAACCTCCAGTTACATCCAGCCTATATCTGCTTTCAGTCGCAGTCCCAATCCCCTAGACCACCAGCAACACCGCCGCGCTTCGATTCTACATCCCTAAGCACTGCATGGACGCTCGCTAGCAGCCATACCGCGCTCTCCACCAAAGATGAATCCAGCGAGGAGGGCATATGTAGAGGATGCGGCAGAGGATACGGATATGGGAGGAGTAGATTTGGCCAATATACGTGCGCAGACGCTGCTCCTAACACCCACAGACGTTTTCTAATACATCTTATAGCTGTCGACCACGATTATGAACTCCCTGCTTCTTCCGCTGGAATCGCCCCCGAGAGAGCTTCCGCGATCCTGTCGCAATTCTCACGTAAACGGCGAGCCGCTGCGATCCCTGTTCCCACTGACGATGGCCGAGTACGCGCGCGATTGCGGGAGCTAGGCCACCCAATTACGCTCTTCGGCGAAGATTCTACAGATAGACGTGACCGCTTAAGAGAACTGTTGCTTGAGCTAGAGGAGCAGCAAGAAGCGACCGGTGCAGGGGGGGAGCATGCGGATATACATATGCAAGAGGCCGAGGCACAGGAAGAAGAACAGGAGCACGAACAGGAATTTTATACTGAAGGCAGTCATGACCTCCTAGAGGCTCGACGGAATATTGCAAGGTTTTCTCTTCCACGAGCAAAAGCTCGAATTGAAGGCCAAAAGGAAGAGTCGACGATACCACTACGAACACATATCAAACACAGGAAAGCCGTTAAGGAGAAGCTGCAAAACTTTGATCTGTTCGGATCGCAGTTAGCTGGAGATCGGCCGGTGAGCGTTGCTCGGTTCGCACCCAATGGCGAAGTACTGGCCGCTGGCAATTGGGCCGGAGGTATAAAGCTACTGACGGTGCCCAATTTGGAAGAAAAGGTCACCCTTCGTGGGCACACAGATCGTGTTGGGGGTATTTCGTGGTTTCCAGGAGCTACTCTCCCTTCCTCGAGCGTATCAGAGGATTCTGTGAATCTCGCCTCCGGGGGCGGTGAGGGAAACGTGCATCTATGGTCTTTACACAAAGATACTCCTCTTTCAACACTTTCAGGCCATTCTGGTCGTGTTTGTCGCGTGGAGTTTCATCCTTCTGGAGACTATATTGCATCCGCTTCGTACGACACCACCTGGCGTCTCTGGGACACCAGGACCAGCGCCGAGCTATTGCTGCAGGAAGGCCATTCTCGTGAAGTATTTTCACTAGCATTCAATCCAGACGGATCTCTGCTTGCCAGCGGTGGTTTAGACAGCATTGGCCGTATCTGGGACCTTCGGACCGGCCGAACTGTGATGATCCTTGAAGGCCACATTCGAGAAATTTACGCTCTAGATTGGGGAATTGACTCGTATCGAGTACTTTCCGGTGCGGGCGATGGCTGGGTTCGGTGTTGGGATATCCGACAAGTTCGAGGGACCAGCGGCGTTGGCGCCCACAAAGGCGTGATTTCTGATTTACGGTGGTATAAAGGCACCCAAACGTCGTCTTCCCACCTATGCTCACTTCCGCCGGGGGAGTTGAACGGGGACCTGAACGGCAACACTGGCCTGGTAAATCATGATCAGATGACGTCGCAGACAATGCAGCCAAAAAAATCGGGGACGTTTTTTGTCACGGGGGGATTTGACAAAAACGTTAACATTTTCAGCGCAGATGACTGGTCATTGGTAAAATCACTAAGCGGGCATTCGGGGAACGTTCTGGGTGTCGATATCAGTAATGACTCGAAATGGATTGCAAGTTGTGGGCATGATCGGACAGTTAAATTATGGGGCATTGAAGGCTAGGTTAGGCTTCTATTATGAACCTGCAAAAGACAAGAGAGTCTTGCGGGCGTACAGGATATTCATAACAGAGTTTGGGCAAGTTTTACATGCCAGAGCTTTGATAAAAGCCGGGGGGTTACAGTCATCGAGAGCATCACGCCTTTGGTTGGATTATAACGATTTCTTTTTACATTTCATCTACTCATATATTCCCCCCCCACTCAAGCTCCCATTCATCTCCTCAATTCCTTACGGATTTGGATGTCAGTTGTCACGATTGCCATTTCATCGACGTGGAATATCACGTCTGGAAGAGCCTAACCCCAAAAAGGACGCTGAGATCTACGTTTTCTTCATAACCAATGTTCTACCTGGCCCCCATGACAACACCTTTTGGTCCCAATTTCCCATGAGCATAAGCTTGGTATTTACACACTTCGTACAAAGGAGAGATATGTTATGGAAACACAAGCTTTCTTGATTATAAACCTGGCAGTTATTCTTGATCTGAATACTCAGCGGATATGGTGACGGATCAGCCGTTTTCCTACAGCCCAGTCGCTGCAGGCCAGCCATCATCCATCCCTCTACAGTGCTGGCAGTCAAGGTATATTTTTGCACCTTCCCATACAATCACCCAGTCCTGCGAGCGGTGAGGAATGCAACCCCTATCACGTAACGTTTCCATTGCAGGGGCAATCCAGATATAGTCCAGAGGCATCGGGTGATGTTCAATGTCTCCGTATACTGCTTCTCTTTTCATAAAAGCGTCCCAGTCTCTCTGCATGTTTCTCATGAATGTTTTGCGAAGAGCACGCTGATTGTACCCCCCTCCCTTCTCAGCAGCAAAAAATTCAACTATTCTTTCAAGACCAATGGTAAGTAACATACTCGCAAAAGCTTCGCCGTTAGAATGGAAAGGGTAGTCAGTCGCGACAGCGTTCAATAGATAGCGCGCAAGGAGTGAGAATACATGGTGGGTTAAGAGCAACACGTTGGTGTCCTTGAAAATTGGGCCACGGAGTATATAGGCTTGGAAAGTATGCTCGTCCGCAATATGAAAAGTCCGCGGCTGACCTCTCCGTCCATGGGGTCGAATTAGCTCATTCGACCTCACTTTGGAGTAAGTTTCAAAGAAATAAAGAACGTAGAACCTATAAAATTTGATGCACAGCACCCATCATTAGGTATGGCTAAAGCCGCTGCGCTACTAGTATCAAGTGTACTCACATGATAGGCGTGAGCTTGAACTGGAGAAGCGTAACGCCTCGCTCGTGGCACGCTTGCCGATCGCGCTTAGAGGCGAAGGACGTCTTGATCTCAGGGTCACTTTGGATATAGCCATCCAATACCCGATCGGCGAGGTAATACGCTAGCTTGGAGCAGGTATCCTGGCGACGCTGCAAGCCAGCGAGGTACCTAAAAGTGTATGCATCCTTGGGGTTATAAGGACCCTCCGACGGTGGAAAAAGATCCGATAGTAGAATGACATCGTCCTGAGGAGCTCGAGTATGAACTGCCCGCGGGCCCTGCTGCGAGGGCAAGCTCCCATGTCGTCTTATGCGCAGGTAGTCACGGGAAATGGCATGTTCATTTCTGTCAATGAGATTGTGGAGAGAGCGGCAAACGAGCCGGAGGCCTTGGATATCCTGCAGGCGGCAGCGACAGAGAATGGAGAGCTGGATTTCGACAGGGAGGGTCTCCCAGCGCAACGATGCTTCTCTGCCGGGGGGTTCACGTCTGGAGTGGAATGGGGGCAATTAGAATCATCGGGTGCTCAACGGGACGCGGCCACAAGTGTCTTACAGGACGCCAGGCGGATGTTGTTTAGCGTATTTGGCTGCTTTTTCGATTGCCGCAAGGAATCTGGACCTGGCCTCAGCAAACGGTGGCATTGGGACCGTAGCTTCGCAACGGACATTGCTCAGGCGGTCACGCTATGCGGCCAGCGTGCCTAAAGCAAGACGAGCCCTGGACAGCTGGAGCGGGGAAGAATAAAGGAGAAGTAGAAAATGAGAGCAAGAGGGCGAATGAGACGGCCCGTGGCATAGAAGCCAGTCGGAGACAAACATCGCGGGCGGCGTGGCGGCGAGGAGGGGAGGGGTGGGAGGTGGCAGTGTGGCCAACTCCACCGCCAACATGAAACAGCACAGACGGCCTCGTCGGCAACAGAACAGCACAGGTTGGGCACCCAGGCATGCAGCCGGCAGCCATAGAATGGACCTGCGTGATGGGAGTGAAGTGCAACTCTACGGGTGGCCTGCAGCGGGAAGACACAACTCAAGGCAATCCAAACCTATACGTCGATTGCTATTTCAAGATGTCTGTAAATATGTATGTATGTAGTATGTATATTAATTTACCCGTAGATGACCCTCAGCATGCTCCGATGCCTGGACAACCGACTAGCTACTGGTTGTATTTGTCGTACACCACGTTTTCCTTCGCCGTGTCAGCCTCGAAATTCCGGATATTCTCCAGAGTTGTCTTCGCAATCGAGTCAACCGCATTCTGTGTTAGGAACGCCTGGTGGCCCGTCACAATCACGTTGGGAAGCGCCACTAGCTGCTTGAAGACGTCGTCTGTGCGGTCGGCAGCATCAGGTCCGCGGAAGAAATAGTGCTCTTCCCCTTCGATCACATCCAAGGCACAGCCTCGGATGCTACCGCCCTGCAGCGCTTGAAGAAGATCCGCTGAGTTGATCAAGGCTCCCCGACCAGTGTTCACGAGAACGGCAGTCTGCTTCATCCAGCCTAGGCTTTCCGTGTTGATGAGGTGTCGGGTGGCACTAGTCAGGGGGCAGTGTAGGCAGACAATGTCGGATTTTTCAAGGAGTTCTCTGAGCTCAACATAACGAACGCCACCTTCTTGCAAGCTCGCCTTCGGGTAAAGGTCGTGGGCGAGGACCTCGCATTGAAAGCCATGTTTGAATACCTGGGCCACACCGGCACCAATACGCCCGGTGCCGACGATTCCAACTGTCCTCCCGTGGATTCCGTGGCCTACGAAGCCGGTCAAGTCAAAATTGCCTGCGCGCACTCTTTCCCAGGCATGCGGGATTCGTCTGTCGAGGGAAATGAGCATCCCGATGGTATATTCGGAGATTGCATCGGGTGAATAGGCGGGCACCCGCATGACGGTAATACCGTTTGCTTTGGCAGCCTTGAGATCGACCCGGTCATAGCCAGCGCAGCGCAAGGCCAGCAGTTTGGTGCCGCCCTCAGCTAATGCTTTCAAAATCGTTGCGTCGACTTGGTCGTTGGCAAACGCTGACACCGCGGGAAACCCGACCACGAGAGAGACATTGTTTAGCGAGATGCCCTCCTTGAAGTACACAAGCTCATGCTTGTAGTCTTCGTTGAGCTTAAGCATGTTATCAGCCTCGTAGGGCTGCACGCTGAACAAAGCGACCCTCATCCTAGAAAACGGTGAAATAGTAGGGTATTCGATCCTTTAGAGTAGGAGTGTTTAAGGTACATACAATGCCATCAACAAACTTGGAAGTCTGGATGAGAAATCGGAGATTTTCTGGACCCCCCTGAGCCTTCATCCAAGGTAAGCAGAGACCCAGCTGCCGCCTCCCCGCACAACGGCCCGCGGCAAGGATGTCAGCCTCTGGGCTGTTTGCGTGGTATCACACGCTTGGCCGGGCGGCTGGGGGCCAGTGAACCACCCTCTAGTCAACAAGCCAAGCCAGGCTTTGCGCGTTCCCTCCGTCTTCTTCGGAACTTCTCTTGCTTTTTGTTTATTATTATTTGTGGCGGGATGACAATTTGGGTGCGGAGTATGAGTTATGTCAGCCAGTTGGTAGTTAGTTAATATCAGACGACACAGGATTACGTGATAATCATGTGACTGAGAGTCTATAATATTGCGTCTGGTCTGTTCCTAACGAACGAGACAGCGGTACTTATAGACGAACATGCTATAACCGAGGCTACGGGAAAAACATATGACAAACCCCTAGCAAACCTCCGCCAGCCCGATAGTCAAAGATAATGAAATCGGTACTCCGTACCATGGTCGAGAAGAGGAGGTGGCGAACCTACGGTTCTCCGGTTCCTCCTTCGGGGAGCTGATCACCTGACAGGTCACCTGACTCCTGCTCAACAGTTAATCTCATTTAATATGCTAATTAGCTTAACTAACTACTAGTTAGGTAGTCAGTTAGTTAGTTAACTAACTAAGCATCACATAAGCGAAAATCTTATCTGGTCAGATAAGACGAAGCGAAGAACCGAAGAAGCGCAGAGATGAGCTGAACACACCTGCGTTACTAGCAGGCGGGGGGCGTTTTGGCCTCAAGACTTGACTAGTCGAATATGCCTATGAAGCTACACTACTCCCTCACGGCAGCACGTCGTTTTACTCAGCCTGACCGTCTACTAAGCTTACCCAGTGCAGCAAACCGCGCCTGTCTTGCCTGTCAACGGCGGTGGGCCTTAAACAACAGGGGCCACCCGGTATCGACTTCGTCAAGTGCAGAATCGCCGTCACGAGAAGCATCGTCCAGTCTTACCCGCCAGGCACCCGATATTTCCAACCATTACACTATCTTCCCACGAACACTTCCCCAAGGTCTTCCGCCAGCAGGTCCCTTTAACATCCCCGTACCGGATCTCCGCCGTGAATTTCTGGCATTACAGGGCGTCGTGCATCCTGATAAGTATCCTACTGGACGTGATAAGCAGCGCGCTGAAGCGTTGTCTGCTCGAATAAACGATGCATATCGCACGCTGTCTGACCCTCTAGCTCGGGCGCAGTATCTACTCGCATACCAGCATGGCATAGATGTGACGTCGGAGGACGGGGCAAAGGAACATCCCCAGGATCCGGAGACTTTGATGCAGGTTCTGGAGGTACAGGAAGCGATTGAGGAGGCCGAGGATGAGACGACGGTTCTGGCGCTGAAAACTGAGAATGAAGGCCGGATCGACGACACGGTGCGAGTACTGGGGCGGGCGATTGATGAGGGGAGTATTGACGAGGCTGTGAAGGAGTGCGTACGGCTGCGGTTCTGGTACAGCATCCGCGACGTGCTACGGGAGTGGGCGCCGGGTAAGACAGATGTACGATTAATTCACTAAGCTGAAGAGCGGGTTGAAGCTCGGGTCAGAAGCGTCATCTCTAGTACTTGTTGTCACCGGCGAGGTTTTGGCAGATGGAGCGTGTACAATATGATATAGACGATGAACCGACTGTGTTGTCTGCCATGTCTCAAATGTCCAAGACGCCTCTCGGCATGCTCTCGTCGGGCACAGTCTAACTACGGGAATGCCAGATCGTATGAACGTCCCTTGCAGCACCCACCGCTTCTTCGCTGCCGAGACCCACGTATCGACGAACAGAAACAGACCCAACTTGTTCGTGCGCTGGGGGTTGCCAGCTGGGCGTCGTCGTGTCAGATACTACCTCCCGCAGTTCGATTCGGAAGCTCAACGGGCGCCAGAGTGCCCCGGGCGTGGCAGCGGGTTTTATATCGCCTAAATTGCAGCTTATTTTACAGCTCGCCCCATGGCCTCATTCGCGTTGGGCCGCAAGACCTACGATCGCCCGGCCTGCAGCGTTTCGTGGCTCCATAACAAACCCTCCAGCTGGCCGCCTGACACGCTGTCAGCCATCGAGGCGCCATTTCTGCGACGGTCAACATGGTGCTCAGATACCCCCCGGCGCTCGCTTGTGCTGCTCTACTCGCTGCCAGACAGCCTCTATCGGCGTAAGACCACTACTCACACGTTGCGGATGACTGCTGGCGACAACTGCGTATATATTCCTCTGGCAACGGCGTTTCCAGGAAGAAGCAAGACAACCGTACATTTTGCCTATTGCTGATCCCTTGCTTCGTCCTCCCTGATCATCTCGACCGTCGCTGACCACGGCCGTGCTTCCTCGAGAAAATGGCACGGCCTACCCCGAATTTTAACAGGTATGTTCAGACCTCCTCTACAGTCTAGGTGGTTCCGTTATTATTCTGTGAATAACCTCCGGCTATGCACTTCAGCCTTCTGTGTCCAAATCCTGCACTGAAGTATACATTTTCAGTTCAATTATACATACAGATGCCTGCGGATGGCGAGTTTCTTTCATGACAAGGTGCAGATTCGCTGACCGGCAACCATGTTTCGAAATCACACAGTATCATTCATTCGCCGCCTTTCACGTTCCTCGTCGGCCCCGCTCATACGAAACTGACCATCCAGTCTGGCCTGGCCAGACATGTCTCCCGGCCGCTCGATGAGCTGATGAACAACGGCCATACGCGCGAGTCTCGACATCATATCGCCGTTCTGGAAGAGGAGGACGTCGAAACCTTTGTTGGTTTCTGCGAATTTGCCTACACTGGAGACTATTCCGTACCAACTCGCCGTCTAGATTCCAACACGACAGCTCCCCGTGGCGTGGCCTTTACGGACTCCCCTATGGGCATGGGCATCCCTCCACCTGCTCCATCTCCCCCACGAAGCCCAGGCTTGGGAGATGTACCAGATGAATATCGCACAGAAATCAGCAATAACACTGGCATACAAGACGACGATCCTGAAGTGGCCCTGGATTCAGAAAAGAAAGGAAAGAAGTCCAAGAACAAGAAGAAACAGAAAGCTGGAAAGGCTTTCGAAGACGGCGGTGCATTGACTCCTCCCAGTACGCCGCCACCATCTATGGGCGACGATCAAGTCGGACAAGGCAACGAAACGAAAGCTACCCCCGAAGGTAATGAGGGGGAAGCCCAAGCGAGTGAGGATTGGTATGAACAAGATCCTACAAGCAAGGAATGTAACCAGGCCTCGCAACCAAAGGCCTTTCACCCAGTTCCTCAGAATCCTTTCTTCCTCTCTCGACGCTCCAGTGTGAATCTTTGGGACGAGTTCACCTCGCTGCAGTATACCCATCAGCCGCAAAACACAGCGATGGGCCTTCCTTCTCCCATACTACGCAGCGTTTCTATTTATGCTGGCGAGTCCTCTGGCCTGGACCCTTACGTTCTCTTTCATGCAAAGCTCTACGTGTTCGCATCCCGCTACCTTATCCCGACCCTCGCCCAGCTCTGTCTTATCAAGCTACACCGTGACTTGGTTCATTATCCCCTGACTACAGCTTCCCTCGACAGCTGCCGCCCTACCAATATACCGATGATCTTAGAGCTACTGCATTTCTCCTATATAAACACGAAACGCGATGATCCAGTTCTCCCCACCCCCAGTGTTCTTTCAAGTTCAGAAAACCAACTCCGCAAACTTGTCACACACTTTGCAGCTTGCAAAGTCCGCGAGCTTGCTGGCTACCAGTCATCCATTAGCTCTCCCACATCTTATGGCGATACGGGTAAGGACGGCGGTTTTCCTGGATTGACCATTCCCCCACATCTTGGATTCCGCGACCTACTAGACGGCATTAGCGAACTTGCTTCCGACCTCGTATATCGCATGATGTGATCCCAGTATTCGTCAGAAAATACCCCTCGTCTGTTCCTTTCCGCAACTAAGAGTCGTGTTAAGTGTTCCGGGTTACGAGGGGTGGTTCATTGCGAAAACTGTTATCTGGAGTTTCAGGGGAATTGGGTGATAAATATATAATAAATATGTAGCTCAGCTGCAGGGGGATTTTATCTCTTGTTTTATTTTACTCTTCTAGCTAACCTCCTCCGCTGTCTGTGATTTTGTAGCGTCTGCCTCTTTACTCTCGGACAATTTTCTTTCCTCTTACTCTTCTCCCTCTTTTCAATGTTACAATGTTATATTCTCATTCTTATGGTACTTGGTCTTTTTTTCCTACCTCAATAGTAATTAAAACCACCTGAGGATTATCTATACATCTTGATTCATACTATTGCTTTTTCATAGGACTAAAAAGTTTCCAGCGTGTTGCACTTTCCGCCCTCTATTTATTTTTGGGCCAAATGGATGACATCAACTCAAATTCAATCCCAAGGTAGCTGCACGATTTTTGATAATCTCCAGTACTACGTACTCCGAAACTACATACTCCATAAATTGCATTATACTTGGCATTGAGGGGCCATGTCTGTTGAATTTAATCAACCACAAGCGCCAATTGACTAGAAGAATGAATCCTACATAAGGCATTCTATCCTTTTGTTTATCCTCTATTATCGGGAGAATTTAGAGTCATCGTCAGAAGATCGAAAATCTCCAGGACTAAGGTGCAATGTAGACATAGGTAGAACTATGACTATATTTGCTAGTTGATTAAATAATATTCATATGAAGCTCTATTCTACGCCCCAAAGTTCTTTGTTCTCCCAGAGTTAATTAGTCTCCTACAGATGGTAGGGCCTAGAAGGGGTCACTAGCTATCTACCACAAAGTATACAAAGCAAAGAGATTCCTGGGGAATGAATAGGTTGTCTAGAATTGAGTGCGAATTAAGAGCAATTCTCAGAGCTGTCGCCACTTGCACATCGCGTAATCCTCCTCAAATTGTTTCATTAAGATCTTCATCTTCAGATTGTGTTCTGACATGCTCTTAGGGCTTGCTTTGGATAGAATCTTGTCCAGATTATTTTGAATAGAAACTATTATATTACCAGAAAGATTGACTATCCAAGCTGGTAAAAAGTAAAATGATGGGAAATGCGGTGTTTTGATTGAACGTCCATCTCATCTAGACGATGCTATTTTCTTTGCCTAGTAGCCAGGTACATCGGGGGTTTAAAAATATCTCTATTTTATTGATATTTATATTGAGCAAGACCAGCTACAGTTGCCGGGATCAAAGACAGAACTCCCAAGGGCAGTATTGCGTGCAGAAGCATAGCACGTTTTAAGCTGGTATTTGGGCATATATAAGGTCATATAATCTATTTTTGGTGAAGATTGGAAAGAGAAGTGATAAATATATAAGAAAAACCAATAGCTGACACTGATATTTAAGCTAAAAGGAGCTTAGGGGGACGCTTCAAAATTTTGCAAACGCTAGCTCGTACAGCCAGCCAACCACCAGCCTCCCATGTTTCACCATATGATTGAAGTTGAGCTTATCGATGGTATCTTCCGGAGTGTGAATCTTTTTGTTGTCGTGATCTCTGTCAGTTTCGTGCACGTAGGCGGATGGAAAACCGTTCTTGGTTGCCGAGGCATGATCAGAACAACCATATCCACATTTGCCCTCGACGAACGTAATACCAGTATACTGTGCACAGAACGTTAGGATCTACAGGAAAACAAACAAAATCGCAGAGACATAGAACTATTGGTGATTTGAGACCAAAGGGATAAATGAGATTCGGCTTACCCCTTTAATAACAAGTCTTGTAAATTCTGTCAAAGCAGCGTTGACGTTATCCGTGAGGAGGCCAAAGGATTCTGGTAAGCGGGCGTCTTCTAGACCCTTAGTGTACCCCGTCATGTCCTGATTTAGCATGGCCTTCACAGGCTTGTTCATTTCTTTATACGACCTGAAGATATCTTGCGAGCCAAGCAATCCTGCCTCTTCGCCGGCGTACCAATGGAACTCGACGGTGTTCTCGGCCTCTCCATTACGAATCTTGGGGGATGAAAGAAGAGCGCGAAGAGAATCGAGGATTGTGACCGAGCCACTACCATCGTCATCAGCACCTGGGGCAGGACCCTGGTGGTCTTTCGCGTTTACACTGTCCTGGTGGGCGCCAACCACAATGGTGTTTTTACTCTTCCCTGGAATAGTAGCAATGATGCTAGGCTGGCTCCAAGAATGTTCGAACTTTTTAACATTGAAATCGCGGATTCCGGAGTCTTTGATAGCACGTTGAACTTGCTCAAACAGCCATTGTGCAGACTCGGTACCAGTTTTTGACTTGTAGTACCGGTTGCGGAATGAGGAAAATTTTTGCAGATCTTTCCTCATGTTATCCATGGAGAGTTTATTGAAAAGGGGATTTACTTCATCCCGGCGTTTTAACTCTGTAGGAAATTTCACATCGATTTCCTCAGCAGTGACAGAAGAAGTGCCCGTCGGCTCGTTTGTGATATCAAAGAAACCAATTCCGTTCTTCAAATAGGAAACATTCGTCAGCCTACGTAAATATCTCGGGAGACATCCTTACTTCAATCAACTTTAGCTTTTGAGCCTCGGTTATCCATCGTGTTTCGCCAGGCGCTGTTTCAACGAGGAACTTTTCAACTGCAGTAGTTGGTCTGGCCCAGGCACCCGGGAAAATAGCTGCGCAGAGCACCAGGACGGCGAGTGCGTTCATGTTTGAAACGCGAGTCTAGGTTTGGCAAAGCTTAGAAACACAAGGGGGCGGAAGGGAATGCTGCTCAGAAGCGTTTCCCAGGACAGCAATCGTCCGCGATGGGGTCTTATATATGGGGGGCTATTCATCCCTCAACGGGTGCTGGAACATCGCTGTCACCGTTTACCCTACCATCCCGGGTGGATCAACTCCAACGACACCTGGTGATGACCTGCGCACCGTCCGGGATGGTGAGCCAGAGAAGTGCAGATCGCAATGGTCACTGAACATTCTGAGAATAATAAAAAAAGGTTGGGCAAGCAGTCTGAATGCTAAGCCAAGGCTCAGCTAGGAAGTATCCCTGCAGAAGCGAATAACTTCATCCATAAGACGAGGCTCACTCCTGAAATCTGGCTAAATGCTCATTTGGTTATATTTTCCAGGAGCTGAATGTTGAATGAAGTATTACGGACGAGAATACCTTGGATAAGAAGTGACCTGAGGGACAGTTTCTTGCCCAGGTCCCCGAGTTGAAGCTTTCATAGTATTGATATGAGGTTGCACTTCAACCATGCTCAAGACAGGGCAGTCCCAGTTGACGTGGATCAAGGCCGCAAACCTCGTTATTTCAGCACGTGACCGTCCCCTTGTAGTTTGACGTAGCCACTACCCGAGTAACAGATGGTTAGGTTAAGTGGCTGCTAAATGGAGTTTAAACCGCCACCAAATGAGGATAAATTACTCCGTACCTCCTACTCCGTACTCCCGATTCCTCCTACCTCTTCGGAGTACTCCGTACAGTTGTATTTCCTGCGCCACAGTGACTTGTCCCGTGGTGGGATGATGTCGACCAGGCGAATTGGGAGAACCAAATTGTCAGAGGTTCGAGATCATGCTGATAAATAAGGCCAAGATCACATTCCGCTGGCTTCAAAGAGTTGGCTTGCTCCTTATTGGTTACTACCTTTGTTATTATTGGGTTAACGGCTCCGTAGCTACCGAGTTAGCTTTAGCGGTGCAGTTTAGCTAGGCCCAGGATAGACTAGCGTTTAAAATATATTGGCGTTGCGCGCGCTGGAGCTTAGTAATCAGCCTGCGCTGTGTGTAGGCTCCTGGTCTTGGCATTACACTCACTGGAGCTTAGTAACCAGCCTGCGCTCTCTGTAATCAGCTGTCTAATTACTAAGCTGTGTAATTACTAAGCTACCAGCCTGCCTGCGCGTGTACTGTTTTGGCATAGTAATTCTACAGCCTGCCAATCACCGTACGGGGGCCCCATATAACATGAACTCTAACTCATGCCGCCAAGCTTGGCTGATAACTGAGTTATACTGAATGGGTTTGTTAGGGAGACGCCGTGATAACCGGGTTATCAGGGCTTGGCAAGTTATAACTTCGTAACGCGGAGGTGATAAATTAACTGCTTATCCAATGCTTACAAGACATTCCAAACACCGCCTGCTCGATTACAGATGCAAGTTTGTCCACACCATGTCTTACTAACAGGTAGCCTGCTTTATGATTGAATTAAGCAGTAATCAGTACCTCATCATTAGAAAGCTCTCTGGAACATTCCCTATTGATTCTGTTTGGTCATTCAACGTTATAAATGGGCCCACGTCTTGCTGCAAGAGTGACCTTTTCTATTATCATTTGCTTTATATCCTTTGCTATTTTTCACTATTCGCTCGAGATCAAATTACCAATATCCGAGTTTCCATTTCCCATTTTGTATACCAAAAAAAATTGCACACCCATAATAGAAGAAGCGAATATCATACCACCGCAGAGGCCAGCCGTTTCCAACATGTCAATCCCACGCGCAATTCGACAGGCTTTCCTTGCCATTGAACAGTCAGAGGGAGCCGGCGCACGAGTTCGCAGGTCGATTGGAACGGCAAGGCTTCGCAATTTCAGCCCATTTCTAATGCTTGATCATTTCACAATTGGGAAAGGGGCTGGGTTTCCGGATCATCCCCATCGCGGCCAAGAAACAATCACATATCTGCTTTCAGGAGGCGTCGACCACGAGGATTTCGCGGGGCACAAGGGTACTATTGGCCCAGGCGATCTGCAATTTATGACTGCAGGCCGAGGGATTATCCACGCAGAAATGCCACATGAGAATCCAGATGGAAGTCCTAATATTGGCATGCAGCTGTGGGTTGATTTACCAGAGAATCTCAAAATGTGCGAGCCCAGATATCGCGACCTTCGTGCCTCTGAAATTCCTAGTGTTACAGCAGATGAAGGCAAGGCAGTCATCAAGGTCATATCAGGTCAGTCGCATGGCGTAGATTCCATCCGTGATCTCGCTTATACGCCAGTCTGGATTTTCGACATAATACTCAGGCCAGGAGGGAAAGTTACGCAAGGGTTACCCAAAGGGTGGAATGCCTTCGCATATACACTTTCTGGAACAACAACATTTGGGGATAATTCTGCGGAATTGTCAACTTCACTGGAGCAATCCAAGACCGTCGCTCCGTTTCACAACGTCGTTTTTGAAAAGCAGGGGGAGGTGGTCAATGCCTTCAACTCTCCGGACGCCAAAGAGGACTCGCGTTTCATATTGATTGCTGGACAGCCACTGGATCAAAAGGTTGTCCAGTATGGGCCGTTTGTATTAAATTCTCAAGAAGCAGTACACCAAGCCATGATGGATTATCAGACCTCATCGAATGGATTTGAAAGAGCTAGAGGTTGGGAGAGTGAGATTGGGAAGAAAATGGGACAAAATATTTGAAAACAAACTATGATTGTTGATACATTGCTTATTTTCCTTCACTGTACTCCGTACGGAGAACTATATCATTTGGCACCCAACAAACTATACAGAGTATAACTCTTGGATATTCAGGTACTATGGAGCATTCCTATAAACTATCCATGTAGTAGTAACTTGATTTATCAACACACTTGACTGCATGGGTTAGACGTTGTAAAGGCACCCGCATGATGTTCTATAGCCTATGAATCTTCATTGAAACTTCTAAAATAAGATTATGTAAATACATGATAAGACAAAAGGACGCCAAGGGGAGAACGCCCAATTGCTATGGAACAACCGAGTCAACAAGGTGCAAGAGGTACAGGGCGAAAATGCCAAAAAAGGAAGTTAGCTATGTCTAATGACAAACGTCAAAGAGATATCTAGAGAAAAGGAGCAAAAAGGTGCTGGAATCTGCATCTATGAAAAAGGCCATAGTAATGCTAAATTCCTTAGAATAAAGATGGGGTTGTGGTGAACTTTAGAGGTAAGGTGGCATCATCACGGTTATGACAACGTGGCAATTCAAAGGACAACAATGATGAAGAAATAGACAGGGGATATAGGCAAGCAAATGTTTGTCGTACCGCAAATTATTCGATCAAGCGTCATTTCAATGGATAGAATTGCTATAGGTAGGTGTTATGACCCATGATTTGTGGCCTGAACGATTAAAAAGCGACTAAAAGCCAAAAGGGTTCGAGGGAGCTGCATTTTAGTCAGTAAATGTCGTTTGGTTAACAGTACGGAGTAAAAATGGACTTACTTGCTTGAGCGAGATTCGCCTTGAGACCCGTGGGTTGAGGTGTGAGTTTCCTCGTGTCTTTATGTACGCCAAAGCGGACAGGAGGGGCTGGGCCAGTCTTCTGTGGTTGTAATGGTGCAGACGAAAGTTCTGGAATTGGCGGCGGTGGGGGAGGTGTGAAAGTTGAAGTAGCCCCGAATCCGTTCGCATTTGTTGGCTGGGGCTGAAGAGCCGGTGGGAGGATGGAGTTGATAGATCCGGTCGTCAAAGGTTGTTGCGTGGGCGGTGAAGAAAATGTAGGATGAAAGCTGGTCGAGTTTTGAGTCAATGTCTGAAATCCGGGAGCCTGAGCTCTATTGGCGAAGGGGCCTTGTGTCATTGGGCCTGGATTACCATCGAACTGGGTTATTCCAAAGCCTGAAGGGGCATACCCCGTCGACTGAGGTTGCAAATGTGATTGCTGAAACCGTTGTTGATTAAGATCGGCCAAGCTACGGCCTGGCGGAGCAAGCTGAGGGCCACTTTGAGGAAACCCAGTAAGCTGTGGTTGCAAAGGACCTGGTCCAAGGTTGCTTGGATGATTTGGGGCAGACAAAGGCCGTTGAGGGGGTGGGGGCGGTGGGAGAAGTGATCCTTGACCCATTGCTAGAGGGGGCTGGGGGCGTTGCCTTGGAGGCATTGGCCCTTGAAGCATTGGGAACTGTTGCTGAGGTTGTGTAAACCCAGTTATCTGCGGGACGTTCGGAACTGTTGGTTGTCCCAATTGTGCAAAAAAGGTAGGGTTGGCACCAGTTACCTGGGGAATTTGAGTAGGTGCTGGCTGAGACGGCGGTTGAGATATATGTGGCAGGGTGGATGGCGGCGCTGAAGATTTAGCCGGTTGTAACGGTTCCTGCAAAAGAGAAAGATCTGCCACAGCGCCCACCAGAGCTGGTTGGGCAGTGGTTGAAATCGAAGGGTTCGCTGAGAGAACTTTGGGATGATTCACTTCCCAAGCACTATCTTCAAACCCTTGAGGTTCTTCCTTGCCATGTGGAGGAGAAGGGGCCTGGGAAGAATCTTTCACGTCTGGCGACGATGGTTTCGAGAGGTCTTTGAATATAAGAGCCGTTGGGTCGACCACGTCGTTAGCCTGCACCGGAGGAGCAGGCCGACCCTTGCGGGTATTGTTGCGGAGAGTGCCGCCAGGACCCGAAAATAAGCCTCCATTCCCTTCGTTGCTAATTACTTCTTCTCCGCCAAAACTGACGTTACGAGCCTTCGACTTCCTGTTAAACTTCTCGTCTAGATATCTCATAACCCGTAGAATATCACCCTCTTTAAGTCCCAAGGTCCGAAGTGTGTCGGATGTAATATCCGGAAGTACTGCTTCGTCCATGGAATCCTTTGAAAAGTTTTGGGCATATCGCTCGCAAAGATGAGGGCCAACTCCGGCTTTCAAAAAGAAGTCGAACCAATCGTAATCCGGCACCTTTTTGATAGACGCACCTATTTTCTGTTTCTCTTGTGGCATTTGGCTGCGACGTCGAATGTCGGACAGGGGTTTATCCTCATCTAACGATTCACCGGTAACACTTTCAACATACTCCAGGTCCTCAATCGACATTTTTGTAACAGGAACAGCAATTTTTACACCGTTTTGTTTGTGCAGATGTATTTTTCCGTCGGTAAGGCCGATAAATTCAGCAACAACATTGAATGTACCAGTTCGGTCTGTCCACTTTCTTGTTTTTGAAGGATCTGGCTCTGTTTTTTGCATATTATTAATTAAAGCCAATACTGCTGGAAAGATATTACTCACTTTGTTTTGAAGATCGGCTTTCATGTTTATGACGCTGTGAGTGTTTGTTATTATCATTTGCAAACAAGCTGCTGGCTCTGTTAGGAAGTTTTGTGGTAGATCCTACCTCTCCGGAACCAGAATCTTGTGTCCTACCTCGACGAGCAGATTCTCTAGCCAAGAGTGCTTCCTCACGTCGATTCTGTTCAACGGTTGAAAGACCAGCATTGATACCTGAGTGGCTTGATTCTGCAGGGGTAGCGACACCAATAATTTCAATATAGCTACTTGGAACAACTCCTTCTTGGCCATTCTTTATACGCCTCACCATCCACCATTCTTCCGACTTTGTGTCATCAATAATGATAACTTCATCGCCAATCGCGACCGTAACCTCATCGTCCCCTTGGGCCATAAAGTCATATAAAACTTGGCCCTTCTTTTTTCCACCCGTATTGCCCGCTGCGATGACTTCTTTTAGCCCTTCAGCTTTGTAACCCCCTGAGATCTCTCCTAAAGCAGATACAATTTCTTGAGCCGTATCTTTAGCACCAGCATGGAAATCAACACTTTTGCTTGGCCGCACAAGGTCCAGAAAGACGTGTTTGCCTTCAATAGAGTAATGTGAAAGCCGGTTTGCGGTCCACTCCTGGTGCGGACCGTCTTCTGAGTTTTCAGGCGAAATGAAAATTGTGCCCGCTGCAACATTGATACCAAGGGTTGTGGGCATTTTTTTCCGCTTTCCCATAACTGAAATCATTTCGCTGATGTTGTATATATGATACCCAGATGGAGAAACGGTCGATGAGCTATGGGCATCGCGGTCCCTGGCATTGATCCGATTATATGGAGGAGAAGGCCTAATACCTGGAGAAGTCTCCTCTTTTAGGGATGAATATTGAGGTCGAGGAAGTGGTACTTCTCTACGAGTAGCGGGGGAGCTTTCTTCGGGTGGAGAAAAAGTTCGCTGGGGAAGCGCCGGGGGGGGGTTGTTATCATCTTCATCTGACCCTTGCGGCGTTAACGTTGTGAGGGGGGACTGTTCTATAGAACGAGCTGGAGCTGCCTTTGTCCTTGTTGAGGAAGTAGACTCCTGTTGGTTGTGGATAATACCAGCCAACGCTGCCGCCGGGCTTTCAACAGGGCTGGAGGTGGAGCGAGGGGTTAGGATTCCTTCTGATTCAGTGTCCTGATTTTCCACTTTCCGTGATAGTAGCGGTGGAGGTCTTTCAACAGTAGGTTGACCAGCATCCGACAATTCAATATAATTTGACGGAACGAATCCATACTCTGATTTTATTTGAACTAAGGTCCAGTCTGGATCCGAGGTGTCGAACACTTGAACATCCACATCGTCCGAGAAAGAGACTTCCTCATCTGTCTGCCGCGTATAGTCATAGAGTGAACGCGCGGATGCAATAGGGCGTGCCTGTATCCCATCTACCATTAGCGCTGCCGAAATGCCTGGGGCGCTCAAATAGACATCACGCAGGGTTAGGGGGCCACGGAAATTAGTTTACCTGTTCAACATAATTACTAGGCACTAGCCCTACTGGCTCCTCATCCTCATCCTCGATAGCTTTCTTTTTTGCCTTCCACCAGCCATCGTCGGAATTTTTGTCGAGGATAAAGAGAATATCTCCTTCAGATATTTCAAGTTCATTGTCCGCTTGTGGCTTATAGTCGTATATGGCAGTGTATATCCCCGCAAATCCCATTTTCCGGCCACCTCCCTAGCAAAATCAAGAAGGAATTCAGGTGTTGTGTTGTTCTGATATGATGTTACTATGGCGATACAGCGAAGGAGCGGAACCGATGGCGATATATTCTGTGCACTCGATTCTAGAGGCCAAAGTAAAAAATTAACGAGCCGAGAAGGTCGAAAATTCTCCAGGGCAGTGGTCCAAGATCCTATCTATGAAGCGTGGTGACGGAAAACGCCGCGCTGCGATGGTGTTTGGCTGAGTCGAAGCAAGAGTACTATGCATGACAATGTTATAGAGTGTAGTACGGAGCTCCTGGAAACTGTCCTCCGCTTCCAGGCAACGGAAATCAGATGGCATTCAAAACGATATCGGTGGCGGCCAGGCGTGACTGTAGGCTGTTAAGTCGACGTGCGAGGCAAAGAGCCGTTCAATACAAGAGGTGGGCGGGCGGTCGGCCGCCGTTGTCGTGAACGTGGAAAGTTAGGTACTGATACCGTTCAATACCGAAGATTGTATGGATTCCTCACTGTTCTTCGTACGTATTGATGGTAACGGTACTGTAAGTCACATACTGCACTATCCAGGACCTCCTGACTAAGCGACGACCATGTGTGTGGGATACCCCTTTCCGCCGCAGATCGAGTCCATCAAGCGGAGAGCGAAACGCTGAAGCCAACTGCCACGCACGGAGTGTGTTCAGCTGAATTCACTTGCTAGCATTTATGGAGGTGCGTACTCCGTGTATAATATAGATACATTGAAGACTAAAACCAAAACTATCAGGCGGCGCCAGACTAGTTTTAAAGACATAAATTACATTGCAGGAGGGGAAATGTTGATTTCAACCGCATAATAAATAGTAGCAAATGGGAGAAGAGCTGCAGGTTAAAAGTATCATCACAGTAAAGCTGATGCTGGGCTCTCATAATAACCCCAATGATCACAACTCTTTCTTGTATGTTTCATCACTTCCTTCTTCCGCCTCGTCTTTCTTTGGCTCTTTGCGCCTTAAATCCTTCATTAGGCGTTTTTTTTCTCGCTTCTTCGGATCATTATTCTGTTCCTGGAGGTCCATTTCATCATTATCCTCGTCTGTCTGGATAATTCCGCGCAACCCCCGCTGGCCATTGGCATCGACTACTTCCATCTTCCAGTCCTTGCCATTTGCAAGCTCGTCTAGTTGCTTTTTAAGCACCTCCATTTTCTCCGGGTCTAGATTATATTTTTTTAAATCTTCTGGGGACAACCTATGAACTTCGCCGCCCTCACTTATGGCAATGATTTCCACCTTCTCTTCGCCAATAGACGCAACTCTGCCTTTTTCAATCTTCTTCCCGTCCCTTCCGACTAACTTCATCGCGCCAACTTCGATATCCCCAATACTAGGGAGTGCGTTGGACGTAGCCTTTTTCAGAGTTTGCTGTATCCGTGCTCGTCTCATACTCTCCCAATCAGGAATTCCACTAGGTGAAATCATTTGCCGGCATTTAATCACGTGGGGCTCGTCTGCCTGTGGTGGTTGAAAGGCAACATCGTTACAGAGACGTGGCGTATATATAACCATAAGATATGAACATGTTGTGATTTCTTTTATCCAACCAATATGGTCGGTGGACTGTGGATGGCAATGGAACTGCACTTCAATCTTTCGGTTTCGGCCAGTAAGATCACAAGGCGTTCCACCATCAAGATGCTGTACGAGATACCACGAGTCTGAATCTCCATCGGCTTGCCGGGTGGCAATTTCAGTCGTGGTTTTCCGAAACCTGCTACTACTCTTTTCCCCTTTGAAATCTTTGAGAAACCTTCCTAGTACAAATGACTGGGCTGCTGGGTCTTCTGTTGGTGGGTAGATCGGGGCGCCATTTCCAGGCACTAATGCATGAAACTGTCGCACCTGATTGTTGTAACAAAATGAATATGACCACCAGCCGGCAGCATAATACATGCACCGGCCTTCCATGTCTTTAAGTAGTTCCAGCCCCCTATGCGTCGCCCGTGATAGTTCCTTTGCCTGATCTGGGGGGGTTTGGTCGTTTCCAGTCAAGTTACCCGAATGAGGCGTGGGAATGCTACAGATGAATTTTTGGCTTCCGATAACCATTTCTTCATAAGCAACTATGGAATCATCTTCCTGGGAGGATTCCGAACTAGCTGCACCTTGCTTTTTGGCACTATCATTTGACACGTCTGGTTCCGATAACTCTGTACCATCTGTCTGAGAAACGAGAGGCAACGATGTAGACGACCGAGAAGGCAAAGCGGTTGTCGCACTACTGGTCTTGCGGTAGAATGATTTCGGGAGCCACGAAGATACGTCATCGACTAAGATATATTCATCAAGAAATTGTATTTCATACTAAGGGAAGTCCGTCCAAGTCAATATCTGCGCATAAGAAATAAAATCGTATCCACCTACTTGAGGAAATCCAAGAACGTCGTCCTGAACACGGAAGGGCTTTTCGTCGAAAGCTCCGACAGTTGTAATAGTCACAAAGGCGGCCAAATGCACGCATACTTGCCGTCTCATTGCTTATGCCGGGCTTTCCCTACTAAGTAAGGAAGGACAAGAAGGCCAGAGTCTCACAACTGCACTGCTGTCTCGGATGTAGGTATTCGATGTCGTCGAAGTTGGCTCACATGCTTCCTTGCAATATTAACCTAACTTGTGGTGCTTATGAACCATGAGTTGGGTTAAATTTGCCTCATAACCTCACCTTCTATCTTGAATGTGTAGGAGTAGAAGGTTGTTGGCTGGATAGTTAACTATGTACTCCGTAGTTGTAGTTAGTTAGTTAGTTAGTTATGTAATACCCGCGCCATACGCCCTTACATGTTGTTAAACAAGAATAACGTGCACTTCAATATAGAGTGGCAGTTGGGCATTTTAGACTGTTATGTAGTTAGGTAGTTGGCTTGCAACTGTACAATCTCATATCATCTCTACATGGCCCATGAAATACATAACTAGCCTCGGGTGGGCATACACAGATGTTAAGCAGTCGTATCGGTATGACTACATAACCCACATAGTCGCTGGTTATGATTTAGCGGAAAATGCTGGCATCTAGAGGTTAGAATCTTCACTGCAGCATTAGTATATATGTAAATAGAAGGGCAGATGAAGATTCCAGGTAGTCACTAATAGGAGACTGGATTGCTGTTTCTCAACTATCTGGTTGTTCGGCGAGACACCACAATTCCCCGCACTCCCAGGAGTAGTTAACTAGATAGTTAGTTACATACCTATGTGTAATGTTCTTGATTCTGTCTGGGAAGCATCAGAAAAGCCCTATTTCACCCTGTGATGCCGACACAGGGCCTACTCAAATAAATAGCCACCTGTGCTTGCAGCAGCGAAGTAACTACCACCACCTGCTTGACTAGCTACCTTGTCAGCCTGCCCTTCTGATCCAGCCAAAGCATTCTGTCAGTCTCTCTAGCCACTGCGCACATCCCCAAACTTACAAGCACCTTATCTTCACACCAGACATCTTTACACTGCTGGTAGATTCACAGACAGCCATCCCAAGGCCTAGGATTCTGAATCTGTGCTGTTAGTTTTTCACACCACCCACCAGCTCTCTTACTCCCTTCTTTTGCTACATGATCTCGCTTGGCCTATTGTTGCTGCAGATACCCATCTTTGCTATTCCCAAGTTTGATACCCTGAGGATCCAAAGCCTACAATCACACACGCATCCTTAGAATTGTTTTCGGTAATCTGACCGCTGGATTCTACCCACAGCCAGGGGCTTTTGAGACGATCGCGACAGATAGGGTCAAAGAGGCTGTCCTTTGACTATCCTCGTCTCCCACACTAGGTACTACGCTCTTAAGCATCGCTACACTTTGCTACGAGACTCCTTCCTCGCAGGCCCGGGATTTGCCACTGAACAGTGTCTGGAAGCCGACGCGTTCGGTCGCAGTCAAAGCAGAGGCGTGCACCTAAACCCTACACAGGCAGCCCTGGTCTCCTTTGCTCTCCAAAATCCCCTAGGGCCTCTGTGTGCAAGTGGTGTTGGGGGTTGTTTAGGCCTGTGAGCACTCCTTGTGGATTTTGCACGCGTTTCTTGTCTCACGCCACGGTCCTTTCGCGCACCAAAAGCCAATCCACAACAGAACTCAACCACCAAAACCAACAACCACTCCATCCACCCATCCACCATCAACACCACCCCATCGCCACTGCTGTTTACGATATTTAGTATTTATTCACTTGCTGTGTCTTAGGCCTACATCCTTGCAAATCACTTGCAGACCATGGCTGAGGAGGGCATTCCGACCATCCCAAAGGCCACGGACTCGACTGACAATGCTACCAAGGCGCCAGAGCCCACCACCAAACAGCCAGAACCAACACAAGCTGCCCAAGGGACCCATGAGCCATCGAATGCGGGTGAAAATATTCCTGGTATGTCGTTGCCCCCTCAATTGGACCACTTTTCTCTGTTTTGAGCCTAAGCTGACTATCTTTTTTGTAGGTTGCGACAACAATGATACCCCCGCTGATACCCTGCCTGAGAAGACAGCTTCTACGTCTTTAACCCCTGCCAAAGAATCGAAGCTAGGAGCGCCAGAGGGAGAAGGGAATAACAGTGATGCGGCTGAGGGTGGTGAGACCGGCGCTGCAGACGAGTATGCAGCTGCCAATGGGACTGCCTCATCCACCCGGAAGTCATCAATTTCAAAACGCAGATCATCGGGGATTCCTGAGCATCGATCCAAGAAGCTAAATAAAAAGAAATCGGTGGCTCGCATTACCCATCTCGATGCCCAGCCTGGACAGTACTATTTCGCCCACTTGCGAAGCTACGCGCCGTGGCCCTCAATTGTTTGTGATGAAGAAATGCTCCCTCAGAGCTTACTTGTCACGCGCCCTCATTCAGCCAAGCAGAAGGATGGCACATACACCGAACCCTTCCAAGATGGGGGGAAGAAAGTTAATGAGCGGACGTTCCCGGTCATGTTCCTACATACTAATGAATTGTAAGGTTTCAAGGGTTTTACACTCTGGCCTCTTATTTCGATTATCAGCTAACGGTTTCCAGTGCATGGATCCCAAACACCGACCTTACTCCGCTTAGGCCAGAGGAGTGCAAAGAACCCCCAGAAAAAGGTAAAGCCAAAAAGCTTCTTGCCGCCTATCAAGTAGCGGCTGAGGGCCACGATCTTGCTTATTTCAAGGAGATTTTGGCAGACCACCAACGTGCCTTGCAACAGGATGCAGAAATTCGCAGTGCTGCAAAGGCAAAGCCAGGCAGGAAAAAGCGGAAGAGCGTGGAAGTTTTGGATGAACCCGAGGATGACGACCAGGAAATGATGGATGTCGACATCGAGAAGTCTAAGAGCACCAAAAAACGCAAGAAGGACATCGAAAGCGAAATTGAGAGTGATAAGGTATGGTCTTCGTTTCCACTTATATTCCCCTCTGTGGTTCTTGGCGCCACAATTATAGTCGTTTTCGTTATGAGAATGGCAAGCTGACAGGGATTAATACTATTAGCCTGCCAAAACCCCAAAGAAAGCGACCAAGCTCAAGTTATCCACTCCAAAGGCGCCCGGTACTGGTGACACAGGAAAGAAAGACCCAGCTTCTGCCAGATCTGCCAAAGGGAAGGGTGTTGGTGCACAGGGAGGAAAGCCAACCGTTGCGCCTGTTAGTGACCAGGACGAGCCCGCTGGGGTCGAAAAAACTCCGGAACCCAAGATGAACCCAGCAGAGAGCAAAGCAAAACGAGAAAAAGAAGGCAAGTACCCCCCTAATTTACTTCAATATCAATAGTTAGAGCTCTTTCTTCTTGACTGACGTTTTCTCAATAGTATTTTATCTTCGCCATCGACTCCAAAGAGGCTTCCTATCACGCGATCAAGCCCCCAAAGAGGAGGAAATGTCAGCCATGTCGGGATACCTGGAGAGGTTGGATTCCCATAAGGATCTTGAGATAAGCATCATCCGCAATACCAAAATTAGCAAGGTTCTCAAGGGTATCATTAAGCTAGCGGACATTCCAAAGGAGTCCGAATATAATTTCCGTGGCCGCTCGATTCAGATCTTGAAAAGGTGGAAGCATTGGGATGCATCTGCTGACCGGGAAACCGAACGGCTTTCGACTGAAAAGGCTCCGAAAACAACCACAAACGGCTTGTCTACCGAAGCTGACAGCAAGACTGTTGAAGCTGCTCCCGACACCGATGAACATATGCCGGATGCCGACGCCGGGGAATCTGAAAAGGAGAGCGAGAAAGAGTCCACTCCACCGGCTCAAGTGGGAAAGGAAGCCGAAAAGGAAGCTGGCCCTGTTGCCGCCTGAGTACGCTATCTATTTTAGATCGCTTTTTGAGAGTCTACCTCAGTCGATCTGCGGAACGCCGAATAAAAGTGGACTTGGCTACACGTAGCTTTATGCCTTTCTTTAGCCCATTATTGTATTCATGTATTACTTGCATTTCCTTCATGGTTTTGCTGCGTTGGATGGTTCACTTCCATTGTAGTTTGTTTAATTATTATCGAATGCAGATAGGCGTGGCAACCCAGAATTAAAGGAATTCATTTCTCCATTCAGTTTCCATGTTAATTAAAGAGTATGTTGATATATGGAGTACTCAAAAGGGTTGGCACCCCCCTACTCCGTACTTGTTCACCAAACACCCACACTGTCCACAATCAAGTTGCCCAACAAAATTGTATTGTACCATATCAATTAATATACGTAAATAATATAGAATTGATATCAGAATATTTTAATAATAATTTCATTAATATCTACTTTAAATCATATTAAATATATCTAAAAATTATCATCACATAACTCTTCTACTCTCCATAAAAATAAGTAAGAATTAACTTCTCACAGTAAATAGTTGAAGGATTTATCTACACATTGATTATATTATTCAGTATACTGGTATATGTACAATTTTGTGGAGTAATTGAGGTTTGAAAAGTCACTCGAAAAAAAGGTGCCGACACTTTTGACAAGGCACTGTAAGAGGTTCACTTGCCTCTTCCTTTTGCTTCTGTACTGGTTAGTTTTTTAATACTTATTTATGCTTGATATACTATAATTTTATGGTTCATTTAGGTTAGAGAGGAGATTAAAGAAGAGAGTTTAAGACTCTCTTGAGAAGCCTCTAAAAATACTGCCTATTCTTGAAGGATGGCACTCCACTTACTAGTAATTATAAACTATAGAATAGTTTGTCTAACAGAAGAGGATTTTATTCCAATTCTCATGGTAGACGGCTAATAAATGCATGAATTCATGGCTCCAATGTGCTGAACAAACAACACTCATATAGATAAGGAAAATAGGGTCGTTGTAATTCAATGGAATGAAACCTTTAAAAAATAGTATATATGTACATAAGTATGCATGTATGATATACAAGAAGATTGCCGGTATCCATGGTCATTTCCTAAGTCGAAGAAAATCCTTGCTTCCCTAAAGGTGAAAATGATGGCAAGGTAGCGCGAGGGAAATCGACCGTCGGCCGTGGATATATATGTTATACAGTAGGTTGAATTTGATCCTCTCAAAAATTTGTCGGTAATTTAAGTAGTCTATAGAGTTAGATTCGGGAAGTAAAGAGAAGGGCTAGAAACGACATACTACATTTTTTCGGGTGATACAGTCGATCTGCAACTGGAAAGTATCGCAGGAGTTGAAATTTGGTCTGACAGGTTGGTCAACTAACTGCTCAGAGTAATATGGAAAAAACAACACGGTTTACCTTATGTATACCATGTAAAATAAGAGCGGCGAACTGGCAGGGGTAAAATATGAAACGGCGTTCTAGTTGAGGTCGAACGAGTCGAAAACGAAAAATTCATCTATTATAAGGTGTTGGCAAAAGAAGACGAGAAGTAGAGATAGAATACTAACCCGAAAACGTCTAATTAATTACTTATAACAATCCTTGACGGCTCGGCGCAGGTTTGCAATCCATGCAGCAATTTTCTCCCGTCGGCGGCTAACGCCAGACTCGTGGCTACCAAGACGGTTGCTTGGCTTTTCTTTTTCTTGCTCTGCTTCCAGAATTTCCAGTTGTTTTTCGACGTAGCTTTGATACGTTGCTTCGCCAAACATAGCACGTAGCGACTTGGCTTCGGGAGTTGAACCGATTATATGGAGGGCGCCCCGATCTTTGGCATCTGTGAAATTTCTGGCAACGGAGCCGATCAAAGGGAGTTCTCCAGAATGCGGCACAGACGCCAGCATGCATAATTCGGTATAAGACATCGTCGAGCAGATGTGATATTAAAATTAATATAATGAGCTTAGAGATAGCCAACAGTTCACGGTTGGATGTAGACAGTGGAGCAACACGTTGTGACAACAGGACAGGGAGTGGATAAGGGAAAAAGAGGAATCGGCAACCGTTTTATATTTTGATTGAGTCATCGATATGGACATATATCTTGTTCTGTTGAGTTTGGCGTGCCAGGGCAGCTGGCTAAACGTACCAAGGAGTGTCTCCCCAAAGAAACTGGCTTTTACAACCCATGACATAAACCAAACAAAGAGCATGACACATAGAGAATTCACGTTCCAGGTTTCAAAAATAGGTTTGGGGTGCTTGATCAAGTCATGGTTTTTTTAAGGGGCGATATTGGATATCCGGTTGGAAGTCACGGGTCCGCCGGATGGGCAGCGGTGCGTTGCCCGTCAAAAGAAGGCGCGGCCGATGCGTCGCACTTGAAATTCCAGTCTTGAATTTGAATCGAGTAAAAGAGAAGAAACTTGCTTGGAGAGACTCTTGAAAATGAGCTGGTAGGTAAACCTTTGCAAGAGGAAATGACGACAGGCTCTTCTTTAGAAAGGAAGCCATGGTAACAGCTTCGACACAGCGGCCTCTAGAGTGGTATTGGATGGGTTCGCGAAAATTGGCTGCCATCAGACAATCTTTCTGCCCACGTTTCCTATGCCTCGTCCTACCACGCTAATAACGACATCATTCGGGTGTGTTGATTCCACTTCGTTCCGAACTCCCCATCCAGGAGCACCAAAAGCCCTTAAGTCCCGAGCCAACTGTACAATACCTTCGTGAGAAACAATGTCCCGGCCTACTTGAAGTCTTCCAACGTCCTCCGAGCCCATAGCCATAAGAGTTAGAATAGTAGGGGCGCCAGCTAGAGAAACACAGCCCCCAACTGAAACTGTTTCTAATAGCTGATACGCGCACTGCTTTCCGACATCCTCAGGCGGTTGACCACCTGACGGAGGAGACGCCAAATCGGCCGAAAAAAGACATCCGGTAGACGATTCTGCGACCAGAGAAAGACCAAATCCTATTCCAACTTTCCTTTTCGCATTTATAATTTTCTTCTCAGGTGCAGGTACTAAAGGGGCGGGGGATACGTCGGAAAATATGTAAACATCCGACACCAGAGGATTGAGAATCCCCCGAGCAACTTCAATCATTCTTGCATTATTTGATCCTGAAACGCCAGTGGAGTATGCAACTCCTCGGATGGACTTAATTCTTCCCGGGTTTAGAAGGTGTAGAGTTTTTGGTAGCCTGACTTGGTGGCCGAAAATCAGCTGTACCTCACCCCCACCGCCTCTTCCGTTGCGATCGGGATTTGATCTCCGTAGAACACGCAATTCAATATTATTAAATATGCCAAATTGCGAGTACAAAGGAAGGACTGCAGTTCTCACACTGTCCACAGACATGTCGCCCGTTGGAGTCGATGAAGTAATGACACCAGGTCCAGTAAAAAGTACACTGAAGGTGGCTTTCGAAAAAGGTGCCAGAAGGCATAGGGGGATCAGAAAGTAACTCACCCCACGCGGACAGCCTGCGGGGAGCTCATGCTTAATCACCCCACCGCTGGTACCGCTGCTGGAAGCGTTGCCAGTTATAAGGCCCGGTTTATAGACCAGTATTGTTCCCGTGTAAGAGATTTCCATGTACGAGCCATTGGTGACGGCTTCAAGAAGGCGAAGGAAAGAGATTTCATAGGAAGCCAAACCCGGGTTTGTGGGGGAGGAGGATCGAATTTGAGAAATGTGCACAGGACGGCCGGTAAGTGTGGATAAGACGAGGCGGTGGACGAGCTGCTTATGGGTTGTGAAGCGAAGGGGCGGCTGAGAAATGGCCATTGCATTGAGGGGTGGGATGCAAGCCTCTCTCCTTGCTGCAGAGGTGTGTTCAAGTTGCTCGAAAAATCCGTTGACTTTTGACGATCAACAGCAGGCTTGGCATATCTTAGTTAGCTAGTTAACCAGTTAGTTGGTTAAACTAACTAACTACAGAGGACGGAGTACGGAGTAGTTAGTTACTCCATAGTACTCCAAACATAGTTAGTTAACTAACTACATAACTAATTAGTTAGTTACCTGTTAGTCAGCTCGGATGATTGATAAGATAACAAGGGGGCTTGCCGACAACATCCTTTGATAACTAGCCTTTGCAGCGCAACGTCCCTACACTGGAGAGGCAGTTTTGTGTGATGACCAGAGGCTGAACTGTACTTAGACTCTTTTGGTGCTGTGCTGGACTGTGTAATGTTACCTCCGGCACTTAACTTGCCTAGGTGGTCAGTAGTCTCCCTGAAACCCCGCGAAATAGTTATACCAGGAAGCACTTTTAGGTGATCATGTCTGACTGTACTGTGCTAGGCTTGAGCAAAATTCCCACCTGCTTCAGCCTCCTATTAATAACTACTGCGTGTACCATCCATCCTCCCCGGCAACCCAGGGCTATACCGTCATGATTGTAGGAGGCCCAAACGCCAGGACAGACTTCCACATCAACCCAACGCCGGAATTTTTCTACCAGTATCGTGGCTCCATGCTCCTGAAGACTGTTGACCAGTCTACCACTCCACCGACGTTCCAGGATATTCCTATCCACGAGGGCTCTCTTTTTCTACTGCCAGCTAACACTCCACACTGCCCAGTACGATTTGCTGATACTGTGGGCGTGGTTCTGGAAATTCCTCGATCTAAAGACGCTAAAGACTGCATGCGCTGGTACTGTAACAGTTGTCAGAGCATCGTTTGGGAGAAGCAGTTCCTTTGTACAGATCTGGGAACTCAAGTTAAAGAAGTGGTTGAGGAATTTACGGCTGACAATGAGAAACGAAAATGCAAGACCTGCGGATCCCTGAGGACAGTCAAGTATGAAATAGGTGAAGTTGTTCAGCCCCCTAGAGTGCCAGAGTAGGGAAGTTTTGGACATGGGGCGGTGTTTCCAAGCATACGGGTGTTTATCATCTCTTTATTATCGGGGGTAGTAGAGCTGAATACAAAGAATAAATAACGAAAGTGTTGAGGTGGATGTCCTATGGACAGAATATTAGAAGAAATTTATGTCACAAAAAGGGAGAATGTTGGGGACGATTCGCTCAATAAACAATGATGATCAAGGAACAGGCCGTACAAGAATGCTGAAGCGGAATGATTAGAAAGGAGGACCGGGGATAAGAAGATAATAAAGGATGACGCCAGGAACAGGCCAAGGCATGATAATTTTGCCAGTGACAGATCCAGCTATCAAGTATGGACAAACTCAGGTTCAGGATGTGAAATTATTCATCAAATGGGCAATCAATGCTTTCATGACCATCTCGTTCACACAGTGCACACCATTTCGTTTCATCAATGACTCCTGAGGATTTTCCCGCAATAGGAGCCATGGATGAGGATAAATTTCCTATGGCTTTTAGGCCTTCAAGAACAACGTCCCTCCCTGCTCGCTGGGAACTTGGGCTGCTGCTATCCTTGTGCGGATTACTAGTACTAAGGCTTCCTATTTGGGATCTTGGACAGGCGCCAGTACTGCTGCCGGGTCGATTGTCAGCAGAATGGTTTGGCAGATTCATTGTACGCCTGCTTTTTATCACTGGGTCTCCTGAACTGAACATATTGGTACATGTAAGTATATCATGACCACTAGTTTCGCATATCTCGCACCAGCCTGCACCTTCCTCGTCTGTGCTGGAAGAGAGATTATCGGACTCCTGCATGGCGTGTAGTTGACGGGAATCTTGCACATGTCTCGGTGAAAAAAACGAGTTCCCGTTGTTGGCCGGAGGGTCGCGCCAATCGTTGGGGACAACGGTTCTATCGGAGAGCGTATGAGTATGATTTACTGGAATTGGACCGCCGTTTCCGCCGCTACCCGGGCTCTTCTGGATTTTCAGTGGGCTAGTTGTAATGGTTCCGCTTCGATTGCGGTTTGTTTGCCCGTTGGTCAGCTGAAGGTTTTCCAGCTCATGTTCCAGCTCTTCGATACGATATGACTTGCGTTCGGAGTTCGCCTCAAGCTCCTGGATGCGTCGTTCAAGCTTCACAGTACGTTCCACGTCGTAGCCGTGTGGCATACCATTTTGCTGTGGTAAACTGTGACCAGGAGGATCGCCCCGGCTCAAAGAGTGGATTATTGCTTTTAAGCCGCGGATCTCATCATCCTTTTGGTCGATCTCCCTTGATAGCGGTCGATGGGATGCGTCCGGGGATGTATTTGTTTCTTTCAAGGTGGCTGTAGATCGTTCTTTTTCCTGCTTTAACTCAAGCCTAGTTCTTTCGACTTCACCCCGGAGAAATTCTACCTCACCTCTGGCCTCCGCCTCGCCTCTATGAGCATCTCCTAGACCTTCTTCCAGTTCAGAAACGAGTTCTTCCAGTTGCTTGAGCTGTGTGGCCACGGCTTCAACCTCCTCTTCGCGAGATTGTAGTTCACGATTAGCCTGCATTAATTCCTCAATCCTTTTTTCGTACACTCTCTCGGTTTCTGAAGCAGCGACCTCGAGAGTGTCTAGCGTGCTTCTAAAATCAGCGCGATGGTTATCAAATTCGGCAGTGAGCGCCGCAATCTTATCATTCTTCTCCCGGAGCTGCGCCCGAACTTGTAACGCATCCAGCCCTTCTAATTCAGTAATGCTCTTCTGAAACTCTGCTAGGGTCGTAGCTTGATCTTCCAGTTGCCTATCACGATCTCGTAGTTGCTGCTCTAGGTGTTTTACCCTATCTGTCGTCTCTAGGTCCTCAAATGCTGGGGTTCGCGCAAAATCACTTCTTCTCGCTATTGAAGGGGTATTGCTTTCAACACTAATTCTTGAGGGAGGTCGGCTACAGGACCTTCCCGCTCTATGGGGAGTTCGCGGTGCTCCATTTCCCGAACCAACTTTCGAAAAGCCTGAGGGTGTACGTAATCCACTGAGGCTGACTTTTGGCGGCGAGGCAGCTACTGCGCCCCTAGGGGACTCAGAACGGGGAAAGGAAGGCCGCCTAAACTTTTGCCTGTTTAACGGTGCTGTAGGGTTCGCGACTCCCGGGCCGACGGACCTGCTGAAATTGGTGGCAGAGGGCTTCGCCGGCGTTTGGGGGCTTCCAGGCATTCGTCTCGTCACGAATTTTCCATTCACAGGCACAAAAATGCCGGAGCCGGGGACGGAGGTATTGAAATAAGATCGGCCTTCGACATCGCCGTTGTTTTTGCCCCGACCCGCATGTTCGTGGGCTAGTTCCACTCCGGCAAACCGCCCAGGCTTCCCGTCCACAGGCCCAAGAAATTTGACAGTTCCATACATGCCGCCAGGCACGTTCACAAGATCACCGACCTGGATATCGTCAATGGCTGCCATGTTTCCGGGGTTTCGCGGCCGGTGCCACGAGCGAACGACGGGCTCCGCAGGCGGATACTAGGCCAAGCGGTCAGTATTGGGCAGCACCCAAGTATATTCTATACGAGCCAACGGCTGCTCTTACCTGGCCTCGTATGCAAATTTCAGTCAGCGTGGTGTGGGAATCTGGAGGGCTGCAGCGACGGCAGTCATCAGTACGAGGACGGAGAGGAATGACCCTTAGACAAGTAAGATAATTTCGTAGTTAAATGACAGTGTGACTATGGAGTAGTTAGTTAGTTCATTTAACTGACTAGTCTACTCCGTACTGCCCAGGGGTTGGAAGAGTCACCAAGAAAGCCATGAAGATCAGCAGCTTGTGGTTTGATTTGGTGTACTCCGTGGGAGTACGGAGTACAGAGGAACAAAATATCTTACATAGTTTAGAGTTAGTTAACTAACTAGTTAGTTGACTGTTACCAGTACGCCATATCAACCAGCTTAACTGTCCAGCACCGCTTGCTGCTACTCCCCATGCCCCGTCCTCGCCGCGTTGTCTCCGCACGGCTCACTGCTTAGGAAGAATCGTTTCTTTGTCGCCTTAGATGTCATTCGACCGGCTTGCCACCTTCGCGTTTACATTGGCTTCGGGCATAGACGGCGGCGAACCACTTGTTACATCCTACCCACTCCATCGCCGAAGATGGCGCAATCTATCTTCGACTTCCTCTATACATTTACTGACTGTTTGTGTTGCTTTCAAAGCTCTTCCCAATTGAAGATCAACAGCAGGAGCTTTAAGCTGCTACGCCTGCTCGGCGAGGTATGCCAGTGATATATTTAGACCGCGCATCTCCTCAGTATGTCCTGCTAATTTGCGCCAGGGGGGTTTTTCTTATGTTTATCTTGTCCAAGATAAAACCACCTCCGAACTCTTTGCGCTAAAAAAGATCAGGTGTCCATTTGGCCAGGAATCGGTGTCGCATGCGCTGAAGGAGGTTGAGGCATACTCTCTATTTACTGAAAACAGGAATATAATTCATTCAATTGACCACTCCGTTGCAACCGAGTCAGGGTCTAAATTCCGCTCTGATGGAGGCGATGCCGGTTCAAAAACAGTATACATTCTATTACCCTACTACCAACATGGCAATCTCCAAGATGCAATTAATGCGAATCTTGTCAACCATACAAGTTTCCCGGAGAAAAGATTGATGACACTGATGTTGGGTGTCGCAAACGCCCTTAGAAGTATGCACCGTTATCGCGTCAACACTGGCACGATCTCCAAATCGAGAACTACAAGGGAAAGAGGAGGAGCCGCAGATTTATCGCCAAGGAAAATGTCAAGAAGAGTAGGTGAAGATGAAGATACGGAACAAGAACCTCTGATGGATGGAGAGGTTGTTCAAAGTCAAGAAGGAATGGAAGAGGGTGACTATCGACCTTATGCACATCGTGACATAAAACCTGGTAAGCTCTGTAACCAACCTCGCTATTCGGTCATTGTTTTATTAACTTTTCCCACCCCATTAAAGGAAATATTATGATCGATGACGATGGAAAATCCCCTATTCTCATGGATTTAGGCTCCATGGCCCCTAGCCCAATCGCAATCACATCTCGATCTCTCGCCATTGCTGTGCAAGACACCGCTGCTGAACACAGCACGATGCCGTATCGGGCGCCTGAGTTATTTGACGTTAAAACTGGCTCTATCATCGATACAAAAGTGGATATATGGTCGCTAGGATGCACCCTGTACGCTTGCCTTGTGGGCAAAAGCCCTTTCGAAGCTCGTAGCGAGGAGACAGGGGGTAGCCTTAGCATGTGTGTGTTGGGTGGAGACTGGCGGTTTCCAGGCGAAAAGGCAGGCCCTGCCGTTGGTAAGGGGAAAGCTTCAACAAACGGAGAATCAAATATACCTCCAAGTGGCATTAGCCCTGAAGTTAAAGAGGTAGTCCGACGTTGTCTATCCGTCGAACCATCTGAGCGGCCAGATATCGACGAATTGATTGAGCTCATACAGCATGCCGTCAAGGCTCTACCCGACGTCGGCGATAGCCCGCTGCCGTATGGTGTGTAATCAATCTCAGTTGTTCAAGATATTGCAAAGAAAACGTCTCTGGAGTAGGATACTTGTGGGGAGAAACGAAGGAGGTAGCTTGACCTTCTCTGTTGGTGGTATTTCTTTGTGCTGCTACTGCATTGTTTGCAGATTCTATATATCTTATCAATGTTCAGTAATATATACATATATATCTTGACTTTTTTCCCCTTGTCGTAGCTTATTCGGCTTCTAGATGCTTTCGGTATTGTAGATTCCTCAGTAACATATAATAATACGGGCAGAGCTCGCTTACTTCGTTCGCTGCTCCAATCTTTCGCTGCCAAGTTCTCTTACAATCCATGATTCTATAAATAAAATAGTGTAGAACTACTCCGTACGAAGTACTCAGTACACCCTAATCAAGAATGAGCTGATCAGGCAGAATTTGTCTTATATCATCACAGACCAGTAAAGCTTAAATATCTCTTTAAGCCAATCACAGTGATAGGATTTTGGTGTAGGAAATTAGGGCAGGGTTTTGGAAACATGTTACTTCCATTTCTAAAAGTGCCTATACAACATGCGCCAGTAGCTATGTATATACATACATTGGACCTTGTAAATGTTTCTCTATAAGGAAATTAACTCGAAAGAAAGATATTAAATCTGAAATGTGAAGCTTACTAATAACAACCCATAGTCATGATATGATTTCATCACAGTCAGTAGGTAGACCATGACTCTGTAGTGAGTGCAAGCTCTTCCATTTTTTTGTCTGGTGGAAGGTCATGCTTACCATACCTATCAATCCATGGCGGCAACCCCGCCCTAGTATACTTGTTAATCCAGTCAATGACAGTTCGCTGCCAAGCGAGTGAGTTTTCTGGCTCCAGCACCAAATTATTCTCGTCAGGGAAAGTAAGGGATGCCCTAGCAGGGCGTTGAAAGTTGCCAGCCCTTCAGCTATAGATAGGCGGTAGTCTAAGGAAATGTGAACGACAAGATGAAAAGGTTGCCGTTTGAGAACGATCCCATCAATTCCAAATATCACGAGATTGCCAGTGCGTTTCCTCCAAGTCACGGATTGAAAAGTATAGTTCCTCTGTTGCTAAAGCAAAGTTGGTGGTACTGAAAATTCCATCATGGGTGACGAGAGCCTTGAACTTGCGGCCCAGTTCGTGGCCTTGGATCCAATTCATCTTGAAGTCACCGTACGACACCCCTAGAGCAACCGCTCTACTCGTATCCACAAAATCAAAATTGCTTTTGACAAACTTGAAGGCGTTCACAAGATCTTCATATGGGCGGCCATCCATGATTCTTGAATATCGTAGGTGAAGGCCTGACCACAACCAGTACTTCCAGTCGGGTTGGGGGCAAAAGCAATATGCCCCTGTCCTGCAAACACCATTGGATTCCGACGTGTGCTCCACTGGTCCTCGGCTATGCAGATTGTGGTTGCCTCATAACCTCAGACCTTCTCCGTATGTTGAAGAGTCGGGAGAAAGGGGTTCAGCCAAATTAACTACCTAAGAGCACCTACCCAAGCACGTTGGGGTGATGAGGTAAAGTTTGTTCACCCTATGCCAGGGAATTGAGAAAATATTTGTCCCCTTGCTTGAAACTAGATAGTTTTACAATCCAGCCACGAACACGGCCATGCGCACCTTTCCACCAAGCCTCTTATACTCCATACTCTGTAAAGTAACAAGCCACTCCCAGAGAGATACAAGGGTTTCCTTACACAAGCAACGTACACGGTTGCAGGGTCAGTGGGAATATGGGTCACCGGGTGAACAGGTAACCTTTCTGGTACAAGTGGCCACTAGAATCTGTATGGTAGCCCATAGTAGCCTAGCTCCCCGGAAAGTAGATGTGAGCTCACTGGGTATGCGAATTGTATTATTGGGGTTTTTAACCATTGGGCCCTGGGAGTTTCTAGATGAAGATGGACGTACACTATAACTGGCTTGTTAGCATTGAATTCTGTATCAATAAGCAATAACACTCTTTTTCCATACAAAGTACAAATACCATATTTCAGAAGGAAGTAGATATGGTAAGCACAAATCCAATCAATCTGTTTATTGAAAACGCCATGTCATATTATACACATTCCCAGCTCCATACCAGCAATACAGGCCAAATGCACCAGCACATATTGGAATCACTCATCATCCTCGTCCTCGTCCATTCCTTCAGCGGCGATGATAGTGAATGTCGGGTCCTGATCGACTCCAACATAGCTGTCACTCATCAAGTAGAGAGTGAGCGTATGTTCCCCCGGGCTAGGAACAATGTATTCCAGTTTGACATCCAACTTCTTACCAACGGTTACCCGCTTTATGGCTAATAGGCTCTGGCTCTTTTCTTCTCCGATAACAAGCCACCAACTCTCCAATTTTCTGGCAGGGTAAAATGGAGTGGAAACCGTTGAGTCAAACTCTCCTTCTTCCTCTCCTTCGCGTTCTAATTTAATTTTGACGTAAGCCGGTTCACCAGCAGTAATGTTCTCTTTATCAAGGAGTTCAAAATCTATCTCAATGCTTGGATATTTGTGGTTTGTGAAGGCGGCTGCCTGCACAAGTTGATTATTGGTAAGACCAAGACGCTTCACCAGAGTGGCATAGTCTTTATTTTCGGATGGGTCCATTGCTTCCATGAACTCAAAAATGTCTCGGATTCTGGAGATTATCGTCAGCAACTCTAAAAACTGCCATACAAGAAACATACTTACTTGAACTCATTAGCCACTTTTATCGTCTCTGTGGAGAAGTGAGGTATCTGCTTTAGAGGACTGTCTCTATCCCACATGGCCTGCACCACCATTTGCGACATTTCCATTGCGTTCATAGCGTTGAGATGCCCCTCAGAAGAAAGTACATCGACGCACGCACTAAGAAGATTGAGAATTTTGCCTAAAATCACTTCTTGGTCTTTTCCCAGGTCGATAGGGAGTTGCATCCGCGAGAAATGAGCCTGCAAAAGAACAAAAGCCTTAAAATGAGGTGAGTCATAGGAAGGTTGAGACATCTTCACAGGAACACGATCATAGATACGGCGCAGAAGACGTTCTTCGTGGCGTCGAACCTGAATATTTTCAAATTCTAACGCTGAGGTAATAATCTCCAGTATACCCTTCAGCTTTGTTCGAGCAGTCAATGATAGTAAGAATGTTTGCATCGTAATAAAGGAAATGTTGTAATATGCAGCAATCATGGCAGCATTAAGCGGCGATACAGTATTTTCTTCTTCATCGAGATCAATGAGCCTTCCTTCTGCAAGTTCCTTTAAAGTATTTTCGACAAGCTCCGACAAAAATGTGCTAAGACCTTCATGGCTCACATCTACTAGACCGTAATAACTAGGGTTAGCAAGGAGGCGTCGATAAAAGTAGGTATATGTCATCCAGTCCACAGCATCTTGAGTAGAGCCTATGGTCTTTGTACTAATCTCAGTGACAAAGGAATCGTGTAGGTATGTCTGTAAATGGCTTTCTATTGGTAGAGCTTCATTAAGAAACTTCTTATAATAATCTCTTTTCACTGCAGGAACCATAAGTACACCTTTGCCGGTCTGGTCCTCTAATGGCCGAGTTGCTTTCCCGAACATTTGAAGAATTTCACTGATCGGATAGTCAATATATCGATGCTCTCGGCCGTCAAAAAACTGAGTATTCATTATAATGACAAGATGGGCTGCAAAGTCGACCTCCCAGCATACATCTCGCGAGGCAAGCATGATCTGAATAGCACCGATGCCGAATAAGTGGGAGACTATGCGCTTGTCATTTTTACCAAGGGCCTCATGGTAATAGCCGATACCATGGGATATTGATTCTGCTAGGGCCCGTTCATCTAGTCGCTCTAGCAAAGGAGCAATCTGGTCGATTTCAGTATGAAGAAATCGATCTTCAGCGTCATTTGCAATGCATGAAGCGACTAGGTCCAGTGCTGTGGAGCGTGTTTGCTTCCGCGTAGGAACAAATATCAATACTGGTTTGTCGGGGGACAGTTGAAGAATAGATAAGTAGGCGGGTTTTGCCATTGCAAGCATCAGTGATGGAAAGTGAGGGATGGTGAAGGATTGGATATGAAGCTCAAGGGGTACAGGTCTGGCATGGGGGCTAAAGTTGTAAGTTGTGTGCTTTTTTGCTCCCAACCATTCTCCAAGATCACGGGCATTGGAAAGTGGAACACTTAGGCCAACGATACGCAGCTCTTTCTCGGTCTGAAGGGCAATATAATGCATTCGAGATACTACCACTTCGTATACGTAGCCACCCTGGCCGCCTAGCATATGAAGCTCATCCGCAATAAACAATTCAACAGCTTGCACACTTTTCCGGCGCTGCCATTGTCTCGACATAACATCCCATTGGGCCGGGGTTGCTAATAATAAATCTGATCCTTCCAAAATTTTCAAGTCAGCGGTGGTTTCGCCAGTTAGTTTTGAAATAACTTTTCCCCCATGAATATGCTGGAGACGGTTCTGCCAATCAACAAGACGTTGCTCAATTATTTCTTGGAAAGGGGCGATATATACTGCTTTGCCCTTGCCATCCATTGACCAGTGTCGTAGCAGAGCGAATTCAGCGCAGATAGTTTTGCCACTCCCAACGGGTGCCCCAACAAACACATTGTCATCAGAATCAAATAATGACTTGAATACCTGTGTCTGAACTTTATTAAAATTCTCCAACCGAGGATATAGGGTCACATAGTCCGGATCTTTCAAAGCTTTGATCGGAACTCGCTGCATATCCAGCAATTGAGTATGGGGGGAAAATTTCTCAGGGAGTATCAACCTTTGAAAGGCAACCGCAGCTTTTGTTTCCGACAGCATCCAGCGATCGGATATGAGAGAAATGAAATAGTTGGGAGGCATCGGTTCTGTAATGGCAACCGTGAACTCAACCAGATGCTCATTCATCTCAGCGGTTGCAAACTCCTTGCGAAGAACAAATTGATCATGAAATAGTATATCTTCACCATCGCAATCCTCGACTAGAATCCAGAAGCTTTCTGCATTTCCATGTAAAGCGTCATCCCAAGTAAAGTTTGGTGTGATCGTGAGCTCAACCCGAAGTATAGAGCGGGTAATTGGCTGTACTTGCGCCTGAATTTCTAATCGAGGAAATTTTGATACTAAATCACACACTGCCCGCCCCGCCTTTGGCATGCCAAGAAGCTCTCCCATCCGGGGAGGGTCGAGATCAAAATAGCTAGGCCAGGGAGCGTCAATCCGCTCCGCCTTCTGGATAATCTCACGAGAACAGGTTGGAAATTGGCGCAAAGGAGACATTGTCGGCCACATGCGTTTTTCCGCCATTTTGCACATGTGAAGAGCATTTTTTGCAACATAAGACCAACCTTTCCGAAGGGTAATCTCAAAAATTGCACGAAGAATACGACCTGCAGACTGTGTGACGTAAACCATATCAGCCATGAGTGCAAGACCCTCAAGCTTCAAACGAGAAATGAAAGCTTGCAGAAGAACGTTGATCTTTGCATGTGGCTCCTCGATACCCTCCTTCACAGGAATTGGAACACGACCAAGTAACTTGGCGAGCTCCATTTTTTCGTCCTGCCGAACTGGAATATACTTGAATTCCTCACTTAAAGAGAATATACGAAAAAGGTCAATTGTCGAGATCATTGGTTGGAGGTGGTGGTTGTAGGTAACCATTGAGCTGTGAGTAATGTAATAATGTGAGGCAATCCGACCTAGCTCTGTCGACTGCAGCTTCCCACTTTTTTTATCGTATTTGATGAGGCCAGCATTCCCAAGAATTGTTGCTGCAGAGTGTATCAAATCCACCCTCCGTTGCTCTAAGAGTTCGTCATGTTCGTAGTCGGTACCAACACTATAAAGACCCGGGGAGCGCAGCATTCTGACAAATAAATAGGTGTATCCAAGCCATTCTACGCCATCATCACGACTGCGGATATTCCCTAAAACAACTTCCGCATTCAGATTGTCGGCAAGTTTGCTCATCAGCTGACTTTCGATTGGTAACTGCTGGTTAAGTAATGAGAGATAATATTGCAACTCCCCTTGCGTGGTGATAATAATACCTTCGCCATAGGAATCATACTGGGGGCGTCCCGCTCGCCCAAGCATCTGTAACACGTCCTGAGGGCTTAGTTCAACCCAGCTACCCTTCTCGGGGGAATAAACTTGGGTGCCTTTAATGATCACTGTATGCGCCGGAAGGTTGACGCCCCAAGCCAACGTTGCAGTGCATACAAGAACCTGCAAACTGCCATCTGCAAAGAGGTCTTCAACGGAAGTACGATCCGCTTTGCTCATACCAGCATGGTGAATACCAAATCCATACGGCATCAAATCTTTGAGGGACGGATCATTAACGCTTTCAGCTTCCTCTGCTAAAATAGCCCGGCTAGCTGCATCACTGCGCAGCATCTGACCGATTGTCTCCATTTCGACTGCTTTATCTCGTATATACCTGGCAGTCTTGGACGTATCCTTGCGCGAATGAACAAATATTAGCATTTGATTTTTGTTGGTTCCAACCTGTTCCAGAACTTTTGTGTAGCAAACATCATTCATTGTTTTCAGCTGCTTAATAGCCTTCTTTTCTGTAACTCCAATGAATTCCTGTTTTAAGGGGCATGGCCTATATGAACCATCAAAATGGAACAGGCTTCGTACAGGATCAACCCGAAGAAAGCTGCCAACATCACGATAATTTGGCAGTGTGGCGCTAAGTCCGATCAGGCGCACGGGGTCTCCAGTCTGTTCAGTTCGTCGAATCGTCCTACTGACAATACTCTCTAAAACAGGACCTCTTTCATCGTGGAGTAGATGAATTTCGTCGATAATGATTAGGCGAACGAGTCGAGTATAACTTGTATCAGTAGCCTTTCGGGTTATGATGTCCCACTTTTCTGGTGTTGTAACAATAACTTGAGTATCTGCAATTTGTTGCTTTGTTAATTGACGGTCCCCTGTAAGCTCTGAGACTCGTATGCCGTAAGGTTCTAGCCGTTTTCCAAAATTGCCAACCTGCTCTTGCACCAAAGCCTTAAGGGGCGCAATGTAGACAATTTTAAAATCATCCAGCATAATTTCACCAGTTTCAGGATTCCTATTTTTGCCAATTTCACGTAGAATTGTAAGCATTGCGACATTTGTCTTTCCAGAACCTGTTGGAGCACAGACAAGCATGTTACCATCTTCATGGAAAGCAATAGGGAAACATTTGGTTTGTATACGGTTCAATTGTTTCGCACTTCCAAAGCCAATTTGAGCCCAGTCAGGGAGTTGAGATGTGGGGATATTCGGTTCATCTGCTGTTTCTCTTCTAGACTTTGGGGCTGGAACGTGAATCTCTTCATAGCCTTTCAAAGCTCTCTTTGTGGAGCCTTGAGGAAGCCTTACGTTAGGATTTGTCATGAGATGATTTCCTTGGTTGAAAGCAAGATCATGAAGGTTAATAAGGCGTTTCGGCTGCAACCCGCCTATCAACGAGCCATCCTCTTGTTTAGACCTAACTTCCTGTAGGTCAACGTCCATTAAATCCATCTTAATCTCATTGGTAGCAGTTTTCTTATTTTCTTCATCTTCTAGCCCTCGAAGTTGGTTAAGGATAGAAAGATAGCCTGCCTCAGCCATTTCCTTTTCAATAAGGCTTCTGGAACTAGAGTCTTCGGCGACCCTTCTCCATCTCGTTGCCCATACTATCTTGTCTCGGTTTATGACTAACTTTCCCACCAGGTCGGGGTGGTCGTAATCAAAAAGGTCCATCAAATCATTCTCCACTTCCCGTAGTGAGTGTTTTGACCCATCTTCGCATATCTCACTCATGATTCTAAACGCATCTTGGGCCTTTTCGTGCTGTATATGGGCGTCAGGGTAAACAGATCCTATCTCCCTCTGTAGCCAGTATGCGTCGATCTCGCGGGCGGGCACCAAAGATGCCGCACCACTGGTTTTTGAATCCTCTCGCAGCTGGGCTCCTCCATCCAAAATAATTGATTCATCGGGGGTACTCATTTTGTCATCCTTAGTCACAGCTGTTGATTCATCCTCATTAGAAATGTCTTCGTCTGACGTATCGGATTCGTCTTTTAATTCGACATTTGCCCTTAAATCACTATTTTCTTCATCGGACTCGTCAAATACAACCGCTACTCCTTGTCGCTCGTCGAGTTCATCACCGTCCTCAGCGCCTGCGAGATTTACCCCATTTTCCTCCTCATCTTGAGCGTCATAATCGGTAATCTTTTTGCCGAGATTCATTAACTCGTTGAATTCCCTGGGCGATAGAGATGAGCCCAAAAGGTCATCAATCTCCTTCTTTTTGTCAAAATCCTTCAAATTATCGTCCTTCAATAGTTCCAAGGCAGCATCAGCCGCACTGCGGACGACTTCATGAGGAACGTCACCAAGGCTATTGGCGGTCATCGTAAGAATTAGGTTGTAAGTTTCCCTAGTACCCAGAGTCCTCGGTCTGTATTTGAGACCCTCTACAAGGGCATCCGCAGCAGAGAGAATACCAACTCCGCGAGATTGGACCAGATCGCCTCGTTTCCTTTTTCTCTGCTCTCTCTGTAAAACCTCTTCGCCCTCGTGAATCGAGCCACGTTCAACACCTTTTAGTCCCACCGGTTTCTTTTGTTTTGAAGTATCAGAGGCGACAGCTCGGGACCCCATGTCTTTAATGCTGATCCGTCCGGCAAGCGACTCGGGATCCCCTGTTACCTCATCTGTCCGACGAGTGACAAAGCGCCTGTCAGCCTGGAGAACCAGGTTGGACATCGCCGAGTACTTGTATTGCGACACATTGTTCGGATCCGACATAGCTGCGATTTTTCTTCAGAGGATACAAATAATAAGGACATAAAAGGATCGGACTTAGAATCCCTCAAGAGCTAAACATAACAATCAATCCATCCGCCGTATATATTTTCCGTGTGGCATTAGAACCGCTCAGGCAACACAGCCGGTTAATCGACGTAGTTGACGGAGTCTGTTAAGGTTGTTTCTTGAACGCTGAGAAGCGGCGTGGGATGGCAGTAACTAACTAACCTAGTTACGGAGTACCTAGTTAGTTAACTAACAGGTAGTTACCTAAGCTAGGGATGGTAGGTACCTAATTAACCTGTTCACTACGGAAGATAGATGCCCCGAAGAAACTCAAAACGAACCTTGGCCTTTTCGGGAATTGGCAACTGAGGATATCGATCGATCAACCTGAATACAGAGACACTCTATCGACAATGATGCTGAGAGAGGTGTATGTATCTCGTATTTTTCAAAATATCTGTATAATGGAAGTGCTAACTAGGTACAGCAAACCTCGGAATCCGCGCACTGCGCGGATTCTTAAAGCTCGAGAACCACAGCTTCTCGAACATCCAAAGCGTATTCTTCTTCTCCATGGCCCCAAGTGCCCTTTTCCTCTTCGCACTATTCTTAAGACATTCCATTCTCTTACACATCCACACTCGATACTGTTCCACAAGAAAAACGAAAATATCCATCCATTTGAAAACACCGAAAGCTTAGAGTTCCTAGCTGCTAAAAACGATTGCGGTCTCGTCGTTTGGGGCAGCAGCAATAAAAAACGCCCAAATTGCATCACTATGGTTCGAATTTTCGACTCAAAAGTTTTGGAGATGTGTGAATTGTTATTATTAGGAACCCAAGAGCAAATGGAAAAAGAGATAGCTGACAGGGGAAATGGATGCCACACTAAATTAAATATCGGCTTGGGAATGAAACCAATGATGCTGTTTTTAGGCAGTCTTTGGGACGACCCTGCGTCCCCAGTGTTTGGAATGCTGAAGCACATGTTTTTGGACATTTTCAAAATTGAAGAGACAGCCAGGATTGACGTCGAAGGGCTGCAATATTTACTCCTAGTTGCTTTGGATGAGCCAAGGGAAGGCACAACGCCCACACTTCATTTACGTTGGTATCGAATCCTCACTAAGAAAAGCGGCCAAAAATTACCACGAGTCGAACTAGATGAAATTGGTACGAAATTTGACTTCCGGGTGGGACGTGTACGAGAACCCGATCAGACTTCCATGAAAGAGGCCATGAAGCAGGGCAAAAAACCTCAAGATCTCGAAAAGACAAAGAAAAACATTAGTATGGACTCCATCGGTGATAAGATTGGTCGTGTTCACCTTGGCCGCCAGGACTTGGGTGGCTTACAGACGAGGAAAATGAAGGGTCTGAAACGAATGAATGGGGTTGAAGATGAAGGGGATGATGTAGATATGATGGAACTTGACGAAACAGCTAAAGGTGATGTCAATAAAAGACCCAGGATGGGTTAAATGGTAAATTTTCATGGTGATATATATTGTTTTGTTGAGCTCGGCGTTGAATGGACTGCTTTTTGGGTGTTGGCTCTGTTGATATCAAAGGAACAAAAAGTAGAATAACTGGCTGCAAATTTGCGCTGTATAGAGACTGTATTTATTATGACTATTACGGTAGGACTCTAATTTCATGTGAGGTAATAAGAAATTCTGCCAAAGAAATTGTTTTAACTTCTGAAAACTGAATTTGCCAGCGATTCGTGTACTTAACGCATTTGGACATTAGGGCTAGGGTTTTAATAGAGGTTTGAAAGTTGAGTACGGCGAGTGAACCTCTTGAACACAAGATCACGATAGTTAAGTACTCCGTACTACGTACTGTACGGAGTACCATAGGATAATTAACTAGTTAACTATATCATGCCGAGTTTGGGACCATCCATTGCCCAGCCATTCACATGCCGAGGGACTCCTGGAGAGTTGCCCGCCAAACTTACAACACAGCGCCTTGAATTTCCGCAAATTTCCTTAATCCATAACGAGGCAGGAAACTGTACTGCTTGTATCATTGTTGAGTTTCTAACTTCATAGCATTTACATACGCTCTAAACTGTGAGTTTAGCGCGATCAGCCTTGACCGCAAAACCCGGCTTATCCTCCCTCTAGTACTTCAAAAAGAGAAGAAAATATGGAATCTCTGAAAGTGCGTCCTAGTTCAGTGTGATCCTACACAATCAATAGGCTAATTTAGATATTGTCAGGGTGCCCTAAACACTATTGTTTTAAAGCCGGAGCTCGCACCTTTGCTTGCAATTCTCAAAAGTGCCCGCAATGGTGCTGTTTATGGAAGCAAAGTGCGCTTCCCTCATGCCCTAGTGTGCGATACCTTAAACCCCTTGGGTCATGATAGGCGGCTAAAGAGTCTGCATTAGGATGATTTTTCTTTTTCGGCCTGGGAGGTGTGTTCGGTATTACATCTTAATGCGTTCAGAATCAAGTACTCAATACGTTCTCTCCATATAGTCTCCGCGAGAAAGCCCGGTTGGTTTTAAAAGCAACTAAACAACATGCTCGAAACCTTGCAACCTTTGCTGTCATATACAAATCCACCATGCTGGCTTTACGATATGCCGGACCTGGAGGACAGAGCAAGGAAGGCCCGTTTGATACCTTTTTTGCGGGTTTGCTGGGAGGATATGTTGTTTTTGGACGCTCACACTCCAGTGTCACGCAACAGGTTTGAGAAATCTATTACAATGAAAGAATTTGCAGTGCTACCTTATTCTATGTTAACTGACATGTATCTCCTAGATTGTTATATATGTTTTTGCCCGGGTAGTACTTGCTCTAGCACGACTTTCGATAGATCCGGCCCCGAATCCTATGGCGTCTTTGATATCGCCAAGTATACGGGAAAACATTAAAGCAAATGCCTGGCCGGCCTTTGCAAGCCTTAGCTGGGCTTTTGTTATGTATCTTTTCCGTTGGCACCCTGACGCCATCCAATCCAGCTTGAGAAGCAGCATGACCTATATGTATAGCCATCCCTCCGGCTCTCATCTATTTTCTGCTTCTCTAATAGATTTTGCGAACTGACTCTTGTTTTTTCTCATCGTAGTTATTCAGACTGCGACAAGTGGGATTCGATAGAAACGCTGTTGCTGCGCAACAAATGACACTCTTATCCTATTTATTTTGTTTAGCAACGTATCCAATGGCCACTACCTTCCAAGAGGGTCGCACTTGCAAACTTCTGCCTGCATTTGCACTTACAAATAACCGGCTCAGTTTTGGACGCCTACGAAGGCATATTGATGAAGAAGCAAATGTATATTATCATAAAACATGAGCATGAGGCTGCTATTTATAGTGCCGATAAACTGCTGACTACTATGTGTTACAATGTCAGACACAGAGGCAGCCAAAAGCAGTAGGATCGTAATGCCATATGATTGGCTGACTTGGAATTGTTATGATTTATACTTATACGAAGAGAGGGAATCTAGTTGTGGGAGAGTACGGAGTACAGAGTCTATACGTACAAAAATAACTTAGTTGACACACCTAATATGTGGTTAAGTGTGACTTAAAAACATCGTAAGATGTCTGTAAGGGCTTCGACTGGATAGTAAAATACTTTTAGAAGACATGAGTTCGTACACAGCAGCTCAAACTGTAGTTCGTGGTAGGGCCCTCCACGAGCACATGCCATTGATATGTTTCCCACATCGAACTTCTGCCATACCTGAACGGTATCTCGTCCATCTCGCCCTGTTGAAGTAGAAAGGTTGGATTGTCGGTCACTACACTACAACAATCTTGCTTTCGAATCCGTCCGAAGTATGTATATATTTCTGAATTTTCGAAAATAAGAAAGGATCCTATGTTGGCCCCATCGTTGCGAATCTCGAACAATTGGCTAATTAACTAGTTAAATCAATGGCGCAATATGAGTGTAAACTGCTGCAACTATAAAGTAGGTTATGAGGTGGTAGCTACTGGAGTTAGTCGACTAGTTAGTTAACTGGTTAGTTAGCTAGTTGTTAGCCAGTTAACTAGATAGTTAACTAGTTAACTAACTAACTAACTAGTTACTCCGTACTCCGTACTCCAATCCCATCATCCGCAAAACTACAAACCCTGAGCTGACAATCTATGTACTATTCAATCTAGACTAAGAGCGGCTATCATAATGACATACCCTATTCTGAATTTCACTCTCAAGCCAATTACTGTGAAGGCGCAGCCAATCACTTTACAGACTTTCTTGCCATATGGCACATTAGTGGAGTCGCCTCTTCCAAATAAACTTGTTGCAGCGCCTGTCAATCCTCCCCACTTGCAGCCAATATCGGCGGAACCGACATTGGTAAATCAAGGATACGCCATAAAGTACAGCCCCATCTCTCCTGTTCAGAATTCTTATGAGAGTCGTCGCTCGGATAGACAAGCTGCATCACCCTGCATGAGTCTCTTCTGCTGTTTTCCTCGGAAATTACGCATTTCCAACCTCTCTCCGGCGACGTTCTTCTTTGATGTGGGTATTTTGGAAAGACATCCTTTCTCCTCGCAGACTTTCATCCCACTTTCTGCCGGGTTTGGCCGCAGTGGCAAGGAGTGTGCAAACGATCATCTTTCCTCGGGAACTCCGCAAAACATTAGTACTTTATACCTAGTCATTGTGGCTCCTAGCCTAGGTGGCCAAACAGCTGCAGCTACGCTTAAAGTTGATGGGCATGTAAAATCAGTTGTGGTACAGGAGCCGCCGGATATGTCTAACCTATGTGCTTTCATTGTGCACCCAGACCAAGCAGTGACCTATAGTGCGGGGACATGGCATTCTCCAATGGTGGTCTTGGGAGACAGCAAAATTGATTTCGTTGTGTTCCAATTTCTCAACGGAGTTGCAGAGGAGGACTGCCAGACTGTTGCGTTTGATGAAGCTGTAACTGTTCGTGTGGAAAGTCGCCAATTGGGCCAGGGAACACTGGCAAAACTTTGAACCCGCGATACCCAAGCCCCCACTGTATTAACTACTTATTTAACTAAACGTGCCAATCCAAGAATCACTAACTGGGTTCTCTCGGAGTAGGGCTATACTCAAGGTTAAGACAAAGTGTCAACTACGGACACCTAACATGCCATAGTTTAGAAAGGATGTGAGATATACATGTACCTTACTTAAGGAATGGTTAAGAGGGTAACCTGGCTACTTTGCTTTTGGTAGAGGTATAACGATTCCCGGCGTCCCGCAATCCGTGTCACTTAACCAGCAAGATAACAAAGCCTTCCACATTGCTGCAACATTACAATCTGGCGAGAGCAACATGGTTACTTTGCGGCCCTTTCTGTTCGAGTTTTGAAGGTGTCAAAGATATTTCATCCAAAACAGATCTTGCTACATCGACTACACTCTGTGGGACACCCGCAAGACTGGCAACCCTCAGAGCATGTGAATTCCGATTCACACCTGCTCCTACCTTGTGTATGAATGAGAACGACCCATCTGAATATTCTAACACGCTTGTGCAATAACGTGCCAGGTGCGGAAAATCAATCGTCATATCTGCTAATGAGTGAAAATGCGTAGCAAAGAGGGTGCGGCACTTGATGACGTCGTGTAAGTGATGCAAGCATGCGAATCCTATGGCAATGCCGTCTTCAGGTGCAGTGCCTCGACCGACTTCGTCCATTATCACGAATGATTGTGGTGACGCATGTTTTAAAATTGCCGCCGTCTCAAGCATTTCCACCATGAAAGTTGACTGGTCCCGAAAAAGATCGTCAGCAGCGCCGATGCGGCTGAAAATTTTGTCCACTATCCCAAATTCTGCATACTCAGCTGGTACAAAAGAGCCAACCTGAGCAAGAATGGCGATCAATGCGTTCTGCCGTAAAAACGTACTTTTACCGGCCATATTTGGCCCGGTAATGAGCCATATTCTCTCTTTCTCACTAAGGAAACAATCATTATTCACAAAGGGTCGTCCTTGTTGGTCAAGGCCAAGTTCCACAGTCGGATGTCTTCCCCCTACAATTTTGTGGGAGATATTTGTATGTACGATCGGTCTAACCATGTTTTGTTCGCGAGCTAGCAATGAAAACGAGCATGCCACATCTAGTTCATCCAAGACAGCTGCATTTCGGCGCAATGCAATTAAGTTGAGAATGACGTCTTGTCGTAATCCCTTAAAAATTAACTGTTCTTCAATACGAATTTTCAACTTAGTCTCGTCAATTTTAGCGCCTAGGTCGGACCACGAGGGCAGATAAAACGATCGAGTTGATTTCGATGAGGAGACGGTCCTCGATATTCCCAGAACTCCCAATGACTGCTCCATGGTCTTTGCTCCTTTAACGTGTACGATATGCCCCAAGCCAGGGGTCCATTTTAGCGATAAACCAGCAGCTTTTGCGTCCTTCCGTAATTTTTGTGTCAGTGCTGCCTTTTCCGCATACAATAGTTCTAGTGATTTATGCAAGTTCCCAAGTGAAGGGCTTGCATTCCGTCGCATAATCCATGTATTTTGTTCATTGTTATCCGGCTCTTTAAGATCTGGGGCTTTGTCGAATTTTTGCGACCGAACTTTCTTTGGCATGGCTGCAAGGTCATCTGGCGAGCCCTGTTTTGAAATTACCTCATTGGCGAGGGCCGCCATATTTGCCGCGTCCTCTTCCTCGATACGTTGCTTCTGTATGAGAGCTTCCTCATCAATAGCTTGTAGGATGCGCCTCGACAGCTCTTCGGGGCCTCGCATATTAAATCGTTCAACCATTGCGTGAAAAGTCCCTTCTGCGTGAGAGGGGTTCAATTTGGTTGTGCCGCCAGGTTCTGTTTTTTTTAGCAGTATATGTCTTATATTGTTTGATGCGTCGATGGCCCTTGACAAACAGAGAAGGTCGTCTGCATCTCCACGACCCAAAGAAAATTTTTGTACTAGCCTTTGCGCATCGTAGCTCCGTTTAAGAAAAGTAACTATACTGTCCGCCAAGTTTGTATCATTAATAAGTTCAGATACCAGATCTAAGCGCTCGTTAATAATAGGCAAGGATGCCGAAGGTGAAGCTTCATAACATATTAGCGTATCCATATATCAATTAACAATAGATAAAACTTACTCAATCTTTCTTTCAGAAGTCGGGCTCCGCTTTTAGTTGACGTTCGATTAACTGCATGTAATAAACTTCCCTTTCCTAAGCTGTCCCTGGAAGTTTCTAGAATTTCGAGCCCTTTTAGGCTGTTTCGATCAATAACCATGGACTTCTCCAAATGCTTGCGGCGGGGTCCTTGAAGCTTTACCTCGACGCCCTGCATTTGAACCTTCACATATTCCAATAACATATGGCAGGCCACCGTCTCCTCCACTGAAAATTGCGCTGCTGTATCGCTTGAAATGGGCGATAAAAAGCATTCGGCCCACTCTGAAATAGGCTTGATGGCAGATAGGCAAGAAAAGTACGTAAGTAAACGATGGTTTTGTCCAATCAATGTTTGGATTTCCTGCTTGAGGGGAGTATCGAGTGTTTTGTCGATGATTATCTCCTTAGCCTCGATTCTTGCAAGCACTGATGCTAGCATCGAGTAGGTGGTATGTTGGGTGAAAAATTCTCCTGTTGATAGATCTAGCCAGGATAGCCCAACAGCTTCCATGCCCCTTAGGCGGAGAGTTCCATTTTCTGGTACAAACTCTGCTTTTGTTGCTCTGTCATGAGTATTTATGTGTAAGGCAAGTAAAAAATTATTTTCAGAAGGATCCATGAATCTTTCATCAATCAGAGTTCCAGGTGTAACAATCCTAGCTACTCTTCGGTCAAACATCAACCCAGGCTTTGTTGTTACTGCTGTAATATTTGCAAATTCTTCGCTGATTGCAACATACTTTTGCAAGTCTTGGACTAGTACTTTGAGAAAGCGGTCAAGCTGGTAGAAAGGAAAACCCGCCATTGGTACAGCCCCGGCACTTGTTTTCTTGGATGCAAGCTTTAAGTTGAGGAGAGGTGCAAATTCCTCTGCTTGCTTAAAATATAACTATGGGATGTGTTAGCAACCCCCGTTAGAAAAAAACTAATATATATTTATACAAGGGAAAATCTCGGCTTGCCTCGTAAAAACTTCCCACACGAGTTAGGAGAACGCAATTTTTGAACTTCAGCATGTTGTTTTTGGCCCCCTGAATGACAGAAGGGTATTGTGGAGAGTCATTCTCTAGGGAAACGAGGTGCTCGGTTGATTGCAGGTGGCCCTGAGCAAGGTCTTTGAGCTTCACTGACGACTGCGTTTTCGCACCTCGCCATGATAATTGAGGGAAAGGGGGGCGTTTTTGATGTCTTGAGACAAAGCGGAGGGTATTTGTAAAACCACGTCTCAAAAGTAGCACTAATATTGAAGATCGAGCATGAAATAGTGTAATGCTCATGATCTAGTGTTGGTTAAACGAGATCGAAGGAGACAGTCAAGTGGCTGTTCTAGTCAAATACATACTGAGTAAGCCTTTCTGATATGGAGTACTCCGTACTCCGTACATCAATACCAAATAACCTAGTGGTTGGTTAACTGGAAGTTAATGAAGTTAATATGTAGTTAGGTACCTTACCTTAGGTACGGAGTACGGAGTACTCCGTGGGTAGGTAACTAACCTACAAATGTCTTGGAGTACTCCGTACAGAGTACGAGTTAACTAACAGGTAGGTAATTACATAACTACCTCAGTACGGCGTAGTAAACTAATGCAAATAGTGCAAACACTCATCCAGAGAATGAGTTCATTCTTCACTGTGTAGGGAGTACGCAAGCAGTGTATCCAAATTTTTCTTCGAAGCAATCTAGCAATAATGTTTGGATTTAAACACTCATGGTGTATCTACCTCGATACCAACCAAATCATGGGCAGATTGAGATGCGGGTTGACTCCTCTTGAATTGACTCAAGAGTCCTGGTCAGACATGTCACACCACGACTAGCAGTGCAATGGAAAACACTTTGACTTCCCAAGGCTAAGCAATACGACCGTATGTCTCCCATCCTCTCGCTACAAAATCCAATGCATTTTAAGATCTGGAGGGGTGTTGGGAACTATGCTTCGGGAACTCCACCTTGAGACAGCCCCTGTTTGATACACTCCCTATTCCAGCATTCAACACCCAGTGTAAAAAGTATTAAACTTTGGCTGCAACTTTGAGTGTATGAACTTGAAGGAATTTTGCTCAAGCCTTTCCGTAAATGATCTTCCTACCTCCGATTTGTCAGACCTTGGTGGCAGCTCCCTGCCGCTCTTTGCTAGATCTCGCTTTGTTTGACCATTTCGAAATGACAAGGAGCTTTGGACATCAAATTTACCTCCAACAGTACCCTCCCACTTCAATTTTTCCTTCAGGAATTGAACTCTTCTCGACCAAACCTACCTCCTTTTATTCGTCCATAGAAAAGGTCTACAATAATATCAAACACATTTCGCATGCCATAGGTGCAGGTGTTCTCTGTTCTCAAATGAACTTCTGCCGGTAGCCGGATCTAATATACGAGCCGCGAATGCCCATCTAAAGGTCAACTGAAGCTCGTCGCTCCAGAGGGGGAGATTGTGGTAAAGAAATGCTGTTTCTTTTTTTCGCGGTTATTTGGCTTGGAATATTTGCCGTAAAGCTCGAGTCCGTACTGGCCTCTGTACTTTACTGATCATATTGGACAGGATACGAGAAAGGCGGAGTGTAAGACCATTCGTGAAGGGAGGAGAGGAATATTGAATACGGTGCGGGTGACTGCCTACTCTTGTTGCTGAACAATTCAACTGACGGGATTTTTAGATAGGGGGAAATCCGAATTATGTCCCTCTAACTAACCCGGATACATCAACGGTACGAAGCAAGGTTTCTTGAAGCCGTGTGCTAGAATCATAACGCTGACTACCAAAGACACATTTTGTTCCAGGGGAGTCATCCCTCGGAGCCGACAGCAATATCCAAGGAGATAGCGACATTACTGTTATTGTATCTTTTGATCCAGGAATTGGAGGCCGGCCTCCAACAAATAGCCAAGGACATGGGGGGTTGAAAATCATTGGAAGCCAACCAGGAGGGCAAGGACAGCAGGGCACCAACGGTCAACAGGGCCCACCAAACAACCAAGGACAGCAGGGAACTGGACAGGTTGATGGATTTTGCCCCTGTACCTGTTCGTGTCCTTCCGACGCATTCAACCTGGCTCCTGGACCGACGGAAAATACGAGCTCCGCAACACCTGGCATTGCAGTCAATTCCTCCATTCCCGATATAGGAACATCAACATCCGACCTTCCATTGCAATCCTCTAGCGGGATATTTCCATCTAACTCAGATGACGCGGAGTTAGTTCTACCTTTACGAACAGCTTCGCCCTCAAGCTCCCTTAGCAATTCCGGTCCACTTTCGCCACCACCTCCGTCTATTCCTACCCCATCAAACGCCTCGTCGTCAGTTGAGCTTGTGGGGTCCTCAGCAGTAGGCCCCAGTCCGCCAATGAGCTCTTCATTATCAAGTGTTACCGCTCCTGTGGAAATCTCCTCATCATCCGTGGATCTAACAACCACATCTTCGAGTGGTTCCGGGCTATCAATTTCAGCCCCAGAAACTGCTTCTATTACTAATACTCCAGCCCCAGCATTGTCAGGGGACGATATTGATGCCAACTCTCTAGAGCTTCACAGTACTTTGGTTTTCGGCCTTGGATAAAACTCGCTATGGTGAAACGAACACTCCAACCATGTTCTATGTCTTCATTAACGCCATGAGAAAGTGCAGAACCCAGGAGGCTTGGTTCCGATTTTTGTATGTATGTACATACCTATTGTTTCTTGGTTGAGATTTCTGCAAATTGCCGTATTTTATTTGTTTACTGTGCCCCTAAGGCTCGGTTGCCATATTGTGTAGCTCATGGCTTTCCAACCTAGCTTTCTTTGCCCTGCGCTTCAATTCTCGCTTGGATAACAGAGCGTCAGAATCCTGCGTTCCTCCTAACTCAGATGCCCTTCTTTTGCTTCTTCCCCCAAGTCTTCGCGGTTTCGTACAGTCCTCGTTTTGGATTGATTCGTCACCAGGAGCGCCGGGGACATCTCCACCAAAGATAACATCCACCGTTCCTCTCCAACTAGTCCTCTTTAACCGTGCTAAGGTAACTACTTTCCTTGCCTCATCACACAATGCATCCTTGCCAGTTTCCTGAGTCATCCCCCAGAGGCATCCTAAATTGACCACATCCCATGGCGATCGTACGCAAAGAGCTTCCTTCGCCTCACTAGATATAACAATGCCCCTACCCCTCGTCGCACGCACAAGAGATATCGCATTACTGATCAAATTTCTTCGTGCTTCAAGCCCACTTCCTGTAATAGACGGGCCATAACAGATTTCGAAACGCAGGCCTCTTGAAATAGCTGCAGAAAGTGTTTTAAACTTGAAGTGAAATGGTAGGCGAGCAGAAAGGTCAAGTGATATGATATCACAATCAAGACTGTTGCAGGCTTGTGCCAGAGCCTTTTCATTCGTTGGCCGTATAGCTAGCAAGGAATAAGAACGCGCAAACGTGGTGAGGCGGGGGGTTTGTGATGGATCGGAAACAGTGATATTGAGTCTGGTGAGAAGGTTCAAAGACTTTGGCAGTTTCGTTGGCAAGGGCGGCGGACACAAATCTGGTGTAAGCTTAGTTGGCGTATGTGCTAACGCCACCGATGTATAGCCCACTGGATAAAGTGTTAGATGCCTGAATACAGAAAAAACGTAGTGACGGAGGCATACACTCGGCAAGAAAGTGAAGTGTGTTGAGAACGTCTGTGCTATTCGAAACGTAGGGGACATTCAAATCGTAGAACATAATGGTTAATGCCAATCAAAAGTAAGCCGGGATTCAAAGGCAATTCAAAGCAACATGTTGAGTGTATGCGAGCCAGGAAAGCTTTGAACTAGTTCAAGTGGCTAATCAAGCCACTGCATGTGTAGCAATATCCGATGGTCAATAAAGACCTACCAAGCACGGAGTACTCCGCAAAGCAGCAAGAATTTGAAGGTGTCGGAAAGCAGCTGACGGTCACCAAGCAACCAACCAATATTGCCAGAATTTTCGCTTAAGTAGTTAACTAACTATAGGTACCCCGTAGTAACCGATAGTTACACTCCGTACACGGAGGATAATTAACTTAAATACCTATCATTACCCGTCATGTGCTGTATTATGTAATGCATTCACATCCATGATGTTAGGCTGGGGCCTCTCCTAAGAACACAACTTTACTCACACTTGATTCTTTTTGAGGCCAGCCGCCTCGTGGCTTATTTATTTGGCCCTTGGTTATTTAATCCTTTGTGTATTCTCTCATTTCATTGTTTTGATTGCTTTGAGCGCCGGTGCATTTTCCTGGTGGAATTTGACCCTAAACCTTACCCCAGTCCTTGGGAAGCAGTTCTGAAGAGTGTTTAGCTCAAACATTCGTCACTATGGCGCGCGTATACGCAGATGTGAACCAGCATATGCCAAAATCATATTGGGACTATGACAGTGTTAATATATCCTGGGGCGTTCTGGAGAATTATGAAGTGGTTCGAAAAATTGGTACCGCCCCGCAGCATCAATACCCCTCTCCTCTTACATTCTAGCCAATTCTCTAATTACCATATTTTCCTTAAGGTCGTGGAAAGTACTCGGAAGTATTTGAGGGAATCAATGTCGTGAACTACCAAAAATGTGTTATTAAAGTATTAAAGCCAGTAAAAAAAAAGAAGATCAAGCGAGAGATAAAAATTTTACAGAATTTAGCTGGAGGACCCAATGTCGTCGCACTCCTGGACGTCGTCCGTGATAGCCAGAGCAAAACGCCCAGCTTGGTTTTCGAATATGTCAATAACACAGATTTCCGAACACTATACCCTCGCTTTGTGGATTTTGATGTTCGCTACTACATCTACGAGCTGTTAAAGGCATTGGATTTCTGCCATAGTAAAGGGATAATGCATCGGGACGTCAAACCCCACAACGTCATGATTGATCATGAACGCCGAAAAGTGAGCATCGTTGAACTATAACCTCGTTTTCTGTTTCTCAGCCTCACAACACTAACATGCTGCTTAGCTACGGCTAATAGACTGGGGGCTGGCCGAATTTTATCACCAAGGGACTGAATATAACGTTCGGGTTGCATCCCGGTATTTCAAAGGCCCAGAGCTTTTAGTGGACTTTCAGGAATATGACTATTCCCTCGACATGTGGTCGCTTGGGGCAATGTTTGCCTCCATGATATTCAGGAAAGAGCCATTCTTTCACGGTAGCAGCAATGCCGATCAGCTTGTCAAAATCGCAAAGGTGTTAGGCACCGATGGCTTGTTTGAATATCTCGACAAGTACGACTTGGAACTAGATCCTCAGTATGATGACATACTTCAACGATACTCAAGAAAACCCTGGCAAACCTTTGTCAATCAAGAGAACCAACGATTTGTTAGTAATGAAGCTATCGACTTCCTAGATAAATTGTTAAGATACGACCATGCGGTTGGTTTTTTTGAAAGAAAATACGATTGTCAGTGGCTAATTTTATGTTCAGGAACGACTTACAGCGCAAGAGGCCATGGCCCATCCTTATTTTGCACCCGTCCGCGCCGCTGCAGCCCAAGCTGCCCAGAACTCGACCCCTCCCCCTTGAAAGATCTTAAGATCTTCATAACTGTTCCCGTCAAAGAACTTGAACGCCCATCTTAACTTAAGAAGGCTCAGGATTAAATTTGTTTATCCCCGTACTCGGTACTATGGGAAGGTACATCAGGCCCTAACCCTAATTTCCCAATGTGTTACCACATCACAGTCCTATTATTTTGATTGGTCCAAAAACATATTAAACCTCCTACTAGCCTTTGAGATGACATAACATAAATCCTACCAAAATCAAATTAAATTCTTGATTAAGTACCTACTCATCCAGAGATTGAGAATAGGCACAGGCCGCAGCTCTACACCTTTTTTGCTTGTATAGAATTGCGGTAGGACCATGTAGCAGCTCCTAGAAAGAGTAGAGCCGCGAATGAAGTGAGCGAGCTTCCTCGTACCATATGTGCGATCAGTATGGCTCAGTTCAACATTGATCCCGCCAAAATGTAATGCTCTATTATTTCAGAGTCCTTCCTACCTTCAGCTACTCAGATTAGTCAACCTACGATTTATTCATTTTTTTTGATATTACTAGCAACTCGAAAAAACGCAGTCCGTTGTGTTAACTAAGTGAAATATCCAGGATTCTGGTACATATGGCAAACGCACTACTCCGTATTCCGGAACTAACAGGCACCCACTCTGAGGCAGTTAGTCAAAAAGGTGTGCGGATGAGTCACCCAAAGATTCCTCACATGAACTGCCCACGTTCGGAGTACTCCGTACAACTTCATACTCCCCACATTCTCGACATATTTTGCTTCTGCTCTAAGATCCACGATCACTTCCTGCCCTGCTGAGTATTTTTATGTGCGGACCCTATCCAGAATTTTTAATTCCTTCAATAAGATCAAGATACTGATCAAACGGTATTTTGCGCGCGCAGCGCGTTGTAGCCGCGCCCTACAACCTCGATCGACCATGGCCTCAGTTCCTACGAGTCAAGCACTAAGTGAGCTCTAGGCAAACTAGATATCCAATACTTACCAGACCTAATGTGTGGGGTGATAGGTGCTGTTGATAGTCCCTCGAACAATACACCCGAGTCACAGCTCGAGAATAAACCAAAAACGGAGAAAGAGCGTAGGTTATACAATGTAATTTTATTTTTTGTTTTTTTTTTCTTCTCTAGTGCATTGTACTATCGTTCAAACGATATTCTAATATTCTGGACTAGTTGAGAGAGAGCGAAAGAAGGCAGAAAAATTAAAGAAATTCGAAGAAAAGAAAGCTAAAAAGGCGGCCACCACTTCACTACCAGCTAAAAGCCCTGAAAAGAAAGCTAAGGCTGCAAAGGACAAGACGGCCGATGCTTACGAACCCGAGAAGATCGAATCTGGAAAATATAAGTGGTGGGAAGAGAACGGCCTCTTTCGGCCTAATTTCGGACCAGATGGGAAGGTCAACTCAAAAGGGGCGTTTGTCATGACGCTCCCTCCACCCAACGTAACCGGTGCTCTTCATATGGGACACGCGTTGACCAATGCGCTCCAGGATACTATGGTCCGATGGCAACGTATGAAGGGGAAAACAGTGCTCTGGCTTCCAGGATATGATCATGCCGGTATCTCTACCCAAAGTGTTGTGGAAAAGATTCTATGGAAGACCGAGAAAAAGACTCGTCATGATGTTGGACGAGTGGCTTTGACTGACATGATCTGGGCCTGGACGCACAAGTACCATAATAGTATCACAACTTCTATGAGGAGTATGGGTGGTTCTCTCGATTGGACTAGAGAAGCATTCACGATGGATGAAAATTTCTCTGCTGCCGTCACAGATACATTTGTTCAGCTACATGAAGAGGGTATCATTTACCGGGCCAACAGACTTGTGAATTGGTGTGTTGCTTTGAACACATCTCTATCCAATCTTGAGGTGGAAAATAGGGACCTTGACGGTCGGACGCTTCTAGATGTTCCAGGGTACGACAAGAAAATCGAATTTGGCGTGTTGACCCACTTCCTTTATGAAATTGACGGCTCCAATGAAAAGATTCAAGTAGCAACGACCCGGCCCGAAACAATGCTTGGAGATACTGGTATTGCCGTGCACCCTGACGATACACGCTACCAGAAATACATTGGCAAATATGCAAGGCACCCATTTGTGGACCGTCTACTGCGAATCGTTCCTGACGATAAAGTGGATCCTGAATTTGGAACCGGGGCCGTCAAGATCACCCCCGCTCATGATTTCAACGATTTTGTCAGAGGCAAGGAACATAATTTAGAATTTATCTCGATTATGAACGATGATGGGACCTTTAATGCTAATGCGGGCCCTTTTGCGGGTACAAAGCGTTTTGATGCTCGTTACCAGGTCATCGAAGCCTTGAAAGAAAAGAGGCTCTATGTTAAATGGGAAAACAACCCCATGAAAGTTCCTCTATGCGCCAAATCAAATGATGTGATTGAACCAATCTTGAAGCCCCAATGGTGGATGAAAATGAAGGAGCTCTGTGACCCTGCTATTAAAGCTGTTGAACATGGCGATATTATCATTCGTCCAGAAAGCGCAGAAAAGAGCTATTACCGGTGGATGAACAATATCACAGACTGGTGCCTCTCTAGGCAACTTTGGTGGGGCCATCAAGCCCCAGCTTATTTCGTTCAATTTGAAGGTGAACAAGGAGATAACAGCGATGGAGAACTATGGGTTACTGGCCGTACAGAAGAAGCTGCCCGGCAAAAAGCGGAAGCGAAGTTCCCATCGAAGAAGTTCTCCCTTGTACGGGACCCTGATGTACTGGATACCTGGTTTTCTTCGGGCTTGTGGCCGTTTGCCACTCTTGGTTGGCCTAAAACAAGTCACGATTTCGAACACCTCTACCCTACGTCCGTTTTGGAGACTGGCTGGGACATCCTATTCTTCTGGGTTGCTCGCATGATTATGCTTGGAATGAAAATGACAGGCCAAATCCCTTTTCGCGAAGTGTATTGTCACTCATTAATTAGAGATTCCGAGGGAAGGAAGATGTCGAAATCATTGGGCAATGTGGTTGACCCTCTTGACATTATGAAAGGCATTACATTAGATGCGCTACATCAAAAGCTGCTAGAGGGAAACCTTGCTCCAAAAGAGGTTGCCACTGCTACTAGGTACCAGAAGAAAGCGTTTCCAAAAGGAATCCCAGAATGTGGAGCCGATGCGCTGCGATTTTCCTTAGTATCGTATACCACAGGTGGTGAGTATTAGCTAGCTCTATTTTCCACGCCAATGAGACATATTCTAACTCGCATTAGGGGGCGATATCAACTTTGATATCCAGGTCATTTATGGCTACAGAAGATTTTGTAACAAAATTTATCAGGCTACCAAATACGTTCTTGGCAAATTAGGTGATGATTTCCAACCGCTCGCGACCCCTTCGAAAATTGGAGTAGAATCACTCTCTGAGAGATGGATTCTCCACAAGTTCAATATCGCAGCAAAGCTTACCAATGAAAAACTAGAGCAACGCGAGTTTTCTGATGCTGCTATCATACTCTATCAATATTGGTATAGCCAACTCTGTGACGTTTTTATTGAAAATTCAAAATCCCTGCTGCAGCAAGATACTTCCGCTGATGTCCAAGAATCGGCTAAGCAAACACTCTACACAGTCCTCGAAGGCGCCTTAGCCTTAATTCACCCGATCATGCCTTTCATATCTGAGGAACTGTGGCAACGCCTACCTCGCCGTCCCGGTGACACTTCAGTCTCCATTATGACAGCCTCTTATCCGGAATATAACCCAGCCTTTGATGATCCTGCCGCAGAAATTGCTTACGATTTGATATTGGCCACTTCAAAGGTCATCCGCAGTATTTTAGCCGAGTATGACGTCAAAACAAAAGGAGATGTCAAAATTCAAACATACGACGCTACAAGTTACAAGACCATCAGCGACGAGGTCCCCAGTATTAAATCTTTAAGTGGGAAAAATATTGGCGAGATTTTGGTTCTCGGCTCTGAAAATACTACACCCCCTCCAGGCTGCGTCGTTTCTTCAGTTGGAGCCAATGCCGCCGTGTACCTAGAGGTGTCGAATGAAATACGTCTGGAGCAAGAAGAAAAGGCCAGGGAAAATCTCGCCAAGGCTCTTGAGACCATCAACCGACAATTGGCGATCACAAATGCTGCGGGTTGGAAAGAAAAGGCCAAGCCGGAGGCGAGGGAAATGGAACAGAAGAAACTCCGGGATGCTCGAAGTGAAGCCGCACGTATTGAAGAGCAGATCAGAGATTTGGAAAAGTTGAAAATTTAGAGTTTGACGATGATAACTCCTATGTTTCCTCTTCAATAGACGACTTTTTAACCCCAGTTTTAATGGTGTACTGTAAAATTGTACTCTGTGCTCAATACGGAGTACGGAGTACCCAGAACAGAATAGTCCGCACAGAATACGAAGCATTCCATAGTCGTGCTCTGTACTCCGTACGGAGTAGAGTCCTTTTACCTCATCACCTCAGACGCATGCTGTTAAGGTTCTTTAGCGCGAATTTAGTATTTTGAGCTAACCCATTCGGGTAATTCAGCCAAACCTGACCCGTAAGGGTCTAGCCTAAAGCTTAGAATTGCGCTACGCTACATTAATCCTAGCCTATTTCTGCCTCATCCAAAGTGAGAAAATCGAGCACCATAGCGGGCTTCCAAATATGTGGGCTACCGTAACATACGTCGTAACTCAACAAAATGTCGAAACTACAATTGCGTATGTGTGGTTGACTCAACTTAAGTCAGTATTTTCAGTTTTGACTTGCATACGGAGTACTCCGTAGAGTGCATAGAGTTCGTAGGAGTTAACTTGGTTAAGTAGTTAACATGTGATCATCGTGTCACGTGAAATAAACTAACTAACTAGGTAACTGTACTCCGCAACTCAAGAAGTTTGACAAACACAACTCGGCACCATCAACCTAGCACCAAACACAGCAAACCGGGCAAACAACAGCTTTCCATCAATTCAAGCCGGGGAGCTCAAGCAGACTGCGTCTACAAAACAGGAATTTCGTTGAACAAGCTCCTGCCTCCAAATACTCTAGATTGGAGGGGATTCCCGTACGTCAAATACAGATAGAACCGTGTACTAAAGCGGCTGGCAGCTTGACCACGGTTATACTATACATAACATACCTCCAAACAGCACCCTCAAGAGCATTGGATAAAAATACAAGATTACCTCTGGATTTACGTTGCGCGGCACCGGTTTCAATGACTTCTACAGCACAGTCACAACCAAACAACACCCCGGCTCATCATTCGCAACACCAGAATCCGCTTACCCAGAAGCCTTTTCCTGCAAATACTGTTCACAGTCTTCCGGCCAGCACGGCGTCATATACAGCAGACAACCACTTAGCAGGTCTCGTTGAAGCCGCAACTGCTGCTGCTGGCCAGAACGTCGGATGGACACATTCCGACGACGACGACACGGCAATGGCTGGAGAGACTCGGGCATTGCAAAACTCCCTTGACGGGTACACAGTTGGCATGCAGCTAGAAGATTCATATGCAAATCAGGGAAATGCCCCCAACCCACATTTTATTCTTCCCCCACGTACAGGTCCTCGACCAATTGCTCCGGCGGGCGGTCCGATTCCGCTGTCCGAGGCGAACGCCGCTGCCCGTAAGCGAAAAAGGGGAGATCCAAATGTTGATCCTTCAATCACGGGGAATCCAAACTTTACAACAAATAGTAGTGAAACCGGGCTCTCGAATCCTAATGAATACGCTGCTAGAGAACTTTCTCATCGGCATTCCACTTCAAATACTCGAGTAACCGGGGTTTATTCAGCAGTCGCACTCTTTCGACAGCCCTCAGCAACAAGCAAAAAGTACACTCGCCCTCCAATGTCAAAGCTCTTCACATCGTTAGAGTTGTCCCCCGAGAATTTTCTTCACTTGCAAGCCGCTGCTAAGGCTTACATGCTTGATGAAGATCATCCAGAACGTCGGGATTGCGTTGGGCAACGCGGCAAAGGTGACACGGAAATGGTGAGGCTAAGGCTTTGGAATTGTGTTAGTGATTTTCTTGATAAGGAAGGGAACGGCCCTCGTTTCTTTGGAGAGAATGATGTCAATGAAGGGATGGAACCACGCCAGATGGTCTGGCCTCGAGATGATCAGAAAATAATATCTCTGATGATGCCTCTGCTTCGGCGCATGGTAACAAATGAGCGGCAGCGGCAATATGCTATTGAAACTAGGAAAGGTGGGAGTTCGGAAGAAAAGAAACGGAAGCAGACGGAGATCAGAAGCTCCGATTCAGCTGCTGGTGATAGTGTAGTTCCCTTTCAGCAACCCTCCGAGACAGATGTCGAAATCCTCCGCCTTCTCCCCGCTGGATACCCTTCCGAGTGGCAATCAATCACACAGTGTTACGAGTCCTATAACCAAAATTTTCGCCTCGATCAACTTGGCGCTATATGCGGACTTCCCCGTCCGGATTGGCTGGGATTGATCGCAGCTATTGATTGCCATTACCAAACAGACCACCATGGGCATGCTGCAGAATGCGATCAGCCTTGTCTGGATTGCATGGTCAATAACATTGTTTCCTCGGAATGCGTCGCAAATGCGAATTGGAGGGTTGGCGGGTCGACTGACGATTCTTCGGTACGGACATATTTGTAAGTCTTGATGGTATTCCAAGCAAGATGCCACTTCTAACTTCTCAGTGCTTCCAACATCATACGGGATGCATCCCATATAATTAGAGAAATGCTTGTTGGCCGCACCGATGATCAACATGATCCAAATATTGCCCAGCCTACAATCTTTTCTGGGCCATCTAATTCTGAGCGAATTTCCCCACCACCATTACCCTCTGGCCTACTACCAACTGTATCCACTACTCAATCAATACAGCACTCACAGAAGCAATCAACGAACTCCGCAAGGGTTATTGTCAATGTGGTTCAAAATGGAGATGACAAGCGTCTGTTACCACGGGTGGAATTTCAAGGCGAACAAACAGCCAGCCTTTCATTACTTCTCACTAATGCCCGCCAATATCATCAGCAGCGCCATCAGCAACCACAGCGATTCCAAAACGATATATTGTCTAACAATATCCGAGTAAGGGCATGGCTTAAAGATGGATTAACGTTGATTAGAAATGATGAGGAATGGATGGCTGCTCTAATGGCGTCGCACATGGTTGACTGGATGGATGGAGAACTTCGTGTTGTTCTCGATGCCGATGGGACGCTGTAGCTAGTATAATATAAAGCAATTACTTTTTGCGTCGCTTATTCCCCTTATTACATTTTCCCACAAGCTCTTATTTCATTTCAATATTCACCACAGGGCGCAATACCTCCTATATAGCAGAACCGATTCCCTTGGGTATTGCTTGTGCAAAACATGAGTCTATGAAAGAAGAAGCAGTCCGCCCCTCCATCAAACTAGTCGCTTCCCCTGGAAGTCTGTACTGCGTGGTGTACGGAACCGTTCGCCGATCTACCTAACTGGTAACAACAGTGTCTGGCACCAGTATTCACTAGTTAGAACGCTTGTGGAGCCCCCGCCTGGGGACCTGGATGTACGGAGTACCCATCTTTAAATGAAATGTCCAACGACCCTGGGAAGGCCTCACAGCGTTCAAAGGCTTCGGGATATCACAATACGTATAAGTGGCTATGTCTCTGGTTAATTATCTGCTATTCGATATTTACATACGTAAAATAGCCACAACCCGGTCTTGAATGCTAGAAAGGGTATTTTGTTTGAAATAACACTTCTGCGCAGGCAACGCAAGCCAGTCTCCACAAGAAAAATTTGACTCACACATTGTTACCATGTGCAAACTTCATACATAAAAGAGCTATTCCTCCCCGTCTTCTACAGTAGCGGCTCTTGATTTCCCTTTGATAGCGAGACTGCTAGGGGATTGATGTATGCTGGCATTCGCATCAGGACGACTCTCAAAAGTACTAGTCTGGGTATCGCCGCCATTGTCACTCTCATCAGAAGTAACTTGGAGCCAAGGAGAGGTAGATTTCATAGCGTTGGTTGAAGAATCGTGACTTGCTGACTGCGATCTACCATCAACGCAGTCGTCTCTCAAAGACAGGCCACCTTCCGGTTGGGAAGACAAGGCGTGCGGCGTCGGGTTAGGCACTGCAAAGCCTGTTTGCGGTGAGCTCACAGCTTGCTGAAAGCCACTATCTTGAGCCGACAAAATTGGATGTGAGAAATTTGATGAAATATAAAGTGGGGGGCGGGGTGATATCTCTGGTTGCTGCGCATTTTGTAAAGGAACAAGTGTCCAGCCGGCGGGAAGTGTCAATCCCTGAGGTAAAGGGTTATCCGTTAGGGTTAAATGTCGTGAGTTAGAAGTAAAGTGAGGCTGGAGTACGGGGGAAGATACATCCGATGAGCTCAAGGGGCTTAAATTAGTCATGGCTCTATTTGAGTTCATTTCTCTAAGACGAGCCAACTCATTTTGCAAGAGCCGAATGACTTGGATTTGGTGGGATGCGGTTATGACAGTGTTAAGCTCTTGGTTAATTTGCTGCTCAAGGTGAAGGATTTGATTTTGTATGCTGAGATTCGAAGATGCCGGATTGAGTGATGATGAAACAAGTGGATCCAGGCGTCTCAACGTAGAATCAACATTTCCCGGCTGTTGGCTTGCATTCGCCGTATCTGCAGCTGGTGCCGGATTGGGCTGACCGACATCGGCATTTAAGTGCTGGGCAAAATCTTGAAACTGTTCCGGTCTACCAGCACCCAATCCAATACGGAGTGGACCAAGGTTAAGCATCCACGCTCTAGGTCTCACGGGAGCGGGTTGTCCGTTTCCAATAGGCTGTTGATTTTCCCCGGCAGCGGGATTTCCCTGGTTCAATCCTGTCCGCCCCTGCCCGGCCATCGTAACTGGACGTCTACAAGTTGGGCAGTTTTGCTGACGTTCTAGCCAGCTCCGAAGACAAGCAAAGTGAAGTAAATGCCCGCAAGGTAATCTTTTGGGGCGAAGTCGTTCTGGCATTCGTCCAGGAGTCCGGCCATTAAGGGAGCGATTATCCGGGGTTTCAGGTGGTGGCTGCCAGGGCCGCATTTCCTCCCTACATATAATGCAAACATCTTCCCTAGCAATTTCCTCTGCGGTAGCATCAGGATACCGTTGGTTCATATCACGCGTCGCATTTCGATACCGGATGAAATCCAGGATTCGTTTCGCAAAGGATCTCATGGTAAGGACAACATCTCTTAAAATGTGTATTGGTAGGCCGTAGAAGGTAAAAAGGATTGCGAAGAAAGAAAGGTACACGATCAGTTTCAAGAAGTCTTGATAAACCTTAGCAGATACTCTCCTTAGCGCTGAATATTAGGATGAGTCTTACCAGTAACCAAGTCCAGATAGAAGACAAAACGGCCCTTCTCTTCCCACCCAGGCACATCTAGCTCCATTTCATCAATATCCTCTTCACTGGGTAGTCTGCCAGGGCTTTCGGAGCCAGAGGCCTGACGTTCGCGGGCTATATCTGCCCTTAATGCTTCAATCTCAGCTCTTCTCTCTGCAAGCCTCGAGTGTTTCTGTTGCCGAACAATATACATTTCGGTGAGCGATAACGCATATCTCGCAGTTGTGGAGGTTGATAATATTGTGAGTACCGCGAACTCGAAGCCAAACATAACCATCATATCAGGTCTAGCTTGGCGAAGAACTGTTCTAATTGCATATTTGAGCATGAACGAGTTGAAGGAGACCGCAATAAGAAGCGATATTGCTAAGCGGGTATGAAACAGAGGAGGATTATTTGGGAGGTGCTGTTCGAGCACCTCAACGCGGCCTTCCCCGATCCAACCCCAAACCCTGCCGATTAATAGGCAAACGAACATGACGACGAACCAGCCACCCAGCTCTCCGCGAAATATTGTCATGGCTAGACAAGTCTCTGTGACTGCGAACCATCCTTTTTCGTAGAGTTGCTCTATTTCTATAGGTCGTAAGCGGCCGTAGAGGAGTCTTTGGAGGCCAAACAGGAGGTATCCGACTACTAAAAGGCAGATATTCGTGAGAATCTGGAAAGTGTTAGTGAAACGTACTGGGGATGGAGCGTTAGTTAATTGCCTTTCTTACCATGAGGTTCGCATTGCTTTGTGATAAGTAGACGCAAGCAGAATAAAAATTCGCTCTCTGATGCAATGCCTTCAATACGACACTTGCGGCGAGGGTAAGGGATACCTGGGACGTTGATTCAGTGGCCCATACTTCTCTCAATAGTCTGTATAGCTAGAACTCACCCCTGTGTAGGCCGCCAATCTCATCATAGCGGCCGGCGATGACAATCGCCACGATTACGAGCTCACATGCGCTGAGAATACAGGTAGAAACGAATGCCGGAGGGTGTAAATGAATAGGCCCCCGGCGTCGCGACACGATGCTTGATGCCACCTTTGAGTTTGATTCACTGCTTCGTCATAAAATACGCAGAATCAGAGAGAAACAAAATAATACAGTACCATACACAATCCGGTATGGAACTCGAATGTACGGAGTTAGCAATAACTAAATTCCGGTATTGTCGGTACCTAAATCAACTCTCCGCAACTTCAAGCTCGCTGTGTTATTTATGATTATGGAGTGCACAGCACGAAAGTAGCAGTTGCAGGTCAACGAGCCCTGGTGATCATTTCTACTACTGCCACGAAACAAAAGATGGCGACGGAAGACGTAAAGAACCAGGGTTCCTTGTATCATCTCGGACAAAGAAAGCATTGTTTGCTGTTTTGTTCGGATGGTTGCTTGGAAAAACACCGCCAGTCCAGACCGAAGACGCCTGAAGAGTTTGCCAGTACCATCTCGCGCCTCCTATTGTGGAGTATATACCTATACGACTGAAAAAAGCTCTTCTCGCTATTGACCCTCTCTGTATGTATAACTATGTATGTATGTACGGGGTTGGGAGCATGTTTGCTATGGAGCCTCCGGTGGCGGTTTGTGCAGCAGGAACCACATTGGACTAGTGAGCGAACCACGGATCTACCCTCATTTCTGCGATAGTTCAATGCGCCAGACATGCAAGAGAAGTTTCGACAGCTTCTAGAAGCAAGATTTACGAGAGGGCTTAGTCTTGATTGGCTAAGAATTCGCCGTCTCGACGGGAGGTTGCATCTTCTCCCATGTGTGCATGCACTTCCCCCTATCCTTATGGATGTCCACGTTTTTTTTTCCCTCCGATAGGGCAAATACAGCGTGGAGGCTGATGGTTATCCTCCGTCGCCATCGACGACAAAAAAGGGTTTCTTCTAAGTAGATCCGGTACTGTTGGTCTTATAACTACCACCACAACTCTGGCTAATCCCCGACAAATATCCCGCTGGCAGATTATGGCTGAGTGCCACAAATATACCTCCTCCTTGGCTCTATTTCTTTAGACCAAGGTAGATGGCCTGACTGGAAAATGCCAAACTCATCTGCAGGTATCCTTGAGGACCCGCAGGACACGAGGTGATGTTTCAAGTGATGACACGGCTATACCAAAGTATCTATCTGGTCGTTTCGGATTATAGGCAGGCGCAGATCCGAGAGCTGGTATATGGATTCGATTCCGGGGCATTAAAAAACCTGTATATACTTCTTTGGGATAGTGTGATTGGGTGAGTCTAGCAAGCCTAGGAGAAGCTGCCTTCTCAGAGAAAAATAAATATAACGGTGGCTGCTTTGACATGTTGGATCTCAAAGGCTAACATTTTCAGTTCATAGAACCATTTGAATAATACGACCGGCTTATGAGAAATTAAATCAACCAGGTGTGGGTAGAACGAGTCCTATAATTTGTTGTAAGACTCGAAAGGGATATTCATAACCAGAGCAAAACTGACTCTATGCAAAAGAGGTCCGGGTAAAATCCAGCAATATTCGCCGCGACGGTCCTGGCGTCGTGTTTTCCGTCAATCAGCTCGACTTGCGATAGTCACGATAGTGACCTAGACTTGTCAAGATGCGCGAGTCAAGTGGGATGCGGCCAAGGACGGTTGAGACTCGGGGTATTCTGTCTCCGAACGGATACCATGACTGGAACATGTTGTCGTTCGATGCGCAGCATCAAGTTCTCAGCAGTAAACCAAACTGTCCCACGACTCTCGAAATTTCAACGCAATACCAAACATATGTGCACCCAGGGTTTGACAAGCATAACCAACACTTTCCGGTTGCTGCATGGGGTCTTTCTGCCGGGGGTCAGTCGAGAGATGCGCTCGTTGAGGACGATGTATGGCATCCATTGCCCGATGGCTGTTCACCGGTGGTGGTGAATAGACCAGAAACGGCATCGCTTTCGCATGTCGATATGTGCTTTTTGAATGAGCGACCATTGTATACCGAGAATGCCTTTTTGGCCCCTGAGCCCTTTTGTCTACCAGATTCGGATAAGGGGGTGTGGGCAGAGAGCGAGCGATACGTGGCTAAGCGCTTGAAAAGTGGCGGGTGGCTTTCGGAGAAATCCCGGCCAGACCACGCGGTCTGTATGGGATATGACCCATTATTGTTAGAGAAGACGTCGTCTGCTATACTCCAAACAGAAGCGGGACAGGAATGGCTTCAGTCAGTGGGGTCGCATAGCCGAGTAGATTACCAACCAGAGCACTTCGCCGCAGAAAGGAGTGACGATGGGACTCAGGATTACGAACAATACTCCGCTCAGTGTAGATACTATCCATCCATGCCCTGGACTACGGACGAGTGGAGATGCAATACCAGCGAACATTTCAACAGCGGTTCATTCTTGTCGGCATCATGTCCGGACTCCATCCAACGGTGGCTGCTGACGGGGCCTGTTCAATGGAGCCCAGACAACGTTCGTCTCACCGGGGCACTGTTACCAATGGGAAGCAACCAAGGGACTCCCTACGCCAGCACAATACAGGATGGATCCCTGGCCTGTCGAAAGTCAAAAAGCATCTCTAGCGAGGATAATGCTCGAAAGGGGGCTAAAAAGCACAAAGCCTCTCAACGTGGCAGAGCCAGGGATGAATTTTTAGTGAGATGCAAGCAATCCGGGATGTCGTACAAGGAGATAAAAACCAAGGGCCAATTTCCCGAGGCCGAGTCTACTTTGCGCGGCCGCTATCGGACACTGACGAAGCAGAAGGAGCACCGCGTTAGAAAGCCAGAGTGGGAGAGAAATGATGTAAGTATTGTGCCACTTTCGGTGTTCTACGAAGGCGACTAACCTGGTCTGTTGTTGGCTGCAGCTACGGCTACTTTGTGAAGCGGTCACAAAACATATGGATTCACCAAAGACTAGCGGGCCTCAAAGTCCGAAAATCTCATGGAAGCAGGTGGCCGAATACATCTGGAATAACGGCGGATCATATCATTTCGGAAACGCAACCTGCAAAAAGAAATGGGTTGAGCTTCGTGAACAAAGGCCACGACGTTCGCCAAAGCCCGTTTCCCGTGCCGTGTCCATCCTCCCCAACAGGACTGGGATCGACAGTAGGTAGGCTCTAGAGAATATATATATATATATATCTAGATGCAGCTTGGGACGATACAGGGTTTGATGTCGGAGATAGTCTATAAATCGTAATCTTAGGCGTAGGGTTTAGTTTGCGCATCCATGTTACTTAAGAGAAAGTATGCGACAGTCCAATGGGGATCATAAACAAGTTGCGATAGTCATAGGGAGATCTCGGCCACGTTGTGCAGAATTCCAACGGTGGCCAGTACGTGATCCAGGAGCGCAGGCTGGTGTTTCAGAGCAATCCATTAACATTCCGGCTCCGCGTGGACCATCAGTGATCCTACCAGATGGGCGGCTCCTGATTAGGTAGCAACCAAGAGAATCAGTGTCAGAGAGTTCCGTTCAATTGCACGAAGCCGTCCTGCGGGCAGGGCGTGTTGGAGTCCCTATCAGTAGTAGTAATAAAATATTTCCGCGGCGTCGCGGGCAGATCGTCATGGCGGTTGTCGTAATGACCAGGTTGTAGCTCAATGGCATCATTGGGTCGTGGTGGTGCATTAAGCGTGGGGCAGGGATTCCATTAGTAAAGTCGTGCAGGGCAGAGACGGCCTTGGCATATAAGGCTAGGTAGATCTGATGCAGTTGATCGGCGGATGGGGCAGGGGGAATCGGCGCCGCATAGCAGACAAACGGCACGCTACTCAAGCGCACTGGAGGATGGGGGACTCCACAGGCCCATTCTTGGGGGGGGGAAACAGAGTTAGGCAGGACGTCGAGCAACGGCGCCCAGGAACCGGCATTTTATTCTGATCCTTATCGGCCCGCATGCTCTCGATGGGCGGAAACGGCAAAATGCCTGTGGGGCAGACTGACGCCGCTGTGCTGGCCAGAGTTGAAGAACGCAAACAAGGGGCGCGCGGGTGGGCATCCTGCTACGCTGCTAGAGAGGTCCAAAAGATGGGTCCGGGTCTGCGGGCGAAACGCGGCGGTCACCAAGATGCGATAATAATGGTTTGGGATGACAGGGGACTTGTTGAGGAAGGGTTGGGCGCGCAAAAAAGCGTTGCAACGAGGAGGTCGGCGGACGGGGCCAGGAAGAGGTGCTAGGGCAGCGCCGGGTCCCTGGCGGGCGGCGGGCAATACGGAGTACCGAGTAACTACAAGCACACGAACCGTGCCAACGGAGCCAACAGGCGCGGGAGACCTGCAGGGCGGTGGTGGTGGAGACGGTTGAGGGCAGGACGAGGGCGCGGGCGTCTCAGGCGGCATCGAACTGGCGGGCCACCAGGCCGGGCAGCGAGGCGGGGAGGTCCATGGCGGAGCGCGGAGCCGGAGAGAGGGCGGTTCCAGCAGTGTACTCCGTAGGAGTGACGGGTTTGGTGGTGGTGGTGGTGGTGGAGGAGGTGTGCTTCGTAGCTAAGTGGTCGCAGTTTGGCGGGCAGCGCGGACGGAGCCGCCACGCCGCGAAGGATCGGGGGGGCTGACGTCGCCCGGCGTTCGCCACGAAACGAAACGGAACGAAACGAAACAAGACGAGGCGATACGGGGCGGCTCCACGCTCGCCGGCCAATGGGGCCGCGCCGGGCGAAGCTTGCGGGGCGCCCGGCGCTAGGCCACATCGAGACGCCGCCCACCCCCGGCGGCGCCGGTTCGAGCACGAAAACAAGAGGAGCAAGACGACGACGAGCAGCACCGGCGTTCCTTCGCCGCGACCGCGCGCCCACGACTTATTGGGTGCCCTGTAGGGCTGGCGTGCCCGGCTCCGCTGCGACGCGCGCGTGCCGGGTTGTGGCTGGTGGTGGTGGTGGTGCTGCTGCTGCTGCTGCGCCCCGGGTCGCGCTGCCCGCCAGCCCAGTGACTGGCACGCAGGGCCGTGGGCAGACGCACGAGAGGCCCTCGCCGGGGACGGCGGCAGATCGCATCGCAACGACGTTCGGACGGTCCGAGGAACGGGTGGGCCGAGAGTGTGCAGCAGCAGCAGCAGCAGCAGCAGAGTCGGTCAGGGCGGGCGGCGCGGCGGGCAGCGCAGGGAAGCCGCTCAGGCTTGACCGACTCGCAGACCGCACGTAGGGCTGACGGCCGCCAATCACCGCGCCGCCCGCACGCCCCAAAGGACGGTGAGCGTGAGAGCGTGCGCGCCCGCCGCTGTCCGGCCCGCGACCCTCGCGCTGCCGCCGATCGCCTGCCCGCCCGTCTTCTCGGACAATAGCATTATTATTGTTATTATTATCATCATTACTCATGATGAGGAAGTCCACCACCATCACCACCACTACCACACCCACAACCCAGGACACCGCCCCGGAGTACGCCGCCCGCCTGCAGCGCCCGCAAGGTTGGCGCCAGCGAGCCCTATCGTCGCCCACGCCTCGTCGTCGTCCGCGCCCCCCACTCCCAATCCTGAAGCCAATAATGCGCCTTGCGGCTTGTGCGCCGACGCAGCAGGTCGACGGTGCTGCCGCTAGTGAACCATGTATTATGTACTCCGTACGGAGTATGTACGACTCCTCCGTGTTGTTCGACTGCTGCCACTGCTGCGCAGGCGGGCCTTTGGGGCTCAACCCTCGCACCCGCTGATCTCTCCCCCCCCCCCGTTGCGCGCTCCTTTTTTTTTTTTATAAACTTCCGTCGGACTGCGTCTCTCCGGGCAGGGTTGCTGCAAAAAAGGAAAAAGGGCCCGGCTCACGTCGTAATTCGCCTGGCCTTATCTTGATCTTCGTGTTTTCCCTGGGGATCGATTGGGCCGCCCGTATTCTCGATCTTGTTATAACACCGCGCGCCGGCCCCAATCTCCTCCCGTCCAATTTTTTTTTTTTTCTTCTGGACCGAGAGAGCGAGCCTGCAACGCCGCAAAACAGCAAGAATCCTTCTCCACGCCCATTCCAGAGGAACTCATCCCGGCCTGGTCCCCTACCAATTCCCCTTGGTCAGCCTCCCACGCTCGCGGCCCACGCCGTTTGCGCTGCAGCCCGCCCATCACAGCCAGTGGGTTCGCGAGATTGCCTGCGCCGCCGCCTGAGCAGTCAGATTCGCGTTTGCCCGCCCCCATTGGCCCCAACGCCGCCGGCTCTTCCCGCCTCCTAGACGATCCGCCGCCTGGCGCGTTTCCCTCGTTCGCAGTGCGCGCGCTGCTAAGCTGCTGCCGTACCGGCCTTACCGTGGAGCGATCCTCCGCGCTCACGCCTGTGTCGGGCCAGCCTCCCGTCTCTCTAACTACACCCCAGATTGGAGTGCACCGTACGTGTTTCTGATATTGTGGCTTCCCAGCCTCTGTGGCCGGCTTAAACAGGCTGATGGAACACCACTTTTGCCGCTATTTATAGAACCCATTTCCTAACCATCAGAATTCCACCAGGCTTGAGTTATCAACCCTGGAAAGAAGAAATTTGGCCGTCGGAAATTAACACCTCTGATCGCCCGCATAACTCGGCTGCTCTGTGCACCTGGACAATGCTAGCTCCCGACTTCCACCTTCAGGATCACCCCTATTCTTCCGATCTCTTGATGGAGTCCACACTATACCACCCTGCAAGCTCGTTGAAGGTCGATGAGCAAATGCCTTTTGGAGCCTACACCCCGTTTCCATCCGACTCTCACCCGTTTCTTATTCCATCCCTCTTTCCACCCGACTTCTCCAGCCTCAACCTCAAACGCCAGCAGCCCTATCCAGACCCCTCAGCCTCGCCTTCTGTCGCAGCCTCCCATCCGGAGTCCTTGTCTTCTTCCAGCTCAGTGACCACTCATTCTGCTGTCAGTGCTGCATCGTCCTGTATTGGCTCCCCGCATCAAGACCCCTGGCCGGATATGAATTCAGGATCCATCCTCGACCAAAGTGCCACCCTCAGCGATCAGCTATACCCCCAGGGCTACCTGTCCAGCGGAGTTGACGCGGAAGGCTTTCTTTCTCAGGAGAAGCTTTCACACTGTTTTGTTGGTATGTTATTCTAATTCCTCAGATTCTGTCAAATTCCCCGTCTTTTTGCCTCGCGTGGACTATCCCCGCCCGACCTGATGATCACCACGCGAGAATAGGCCTACATCGCTAACATCGTCTCTGGTGCTTTGAAATAGATCCATCGTTAATCCAGCCAGCTCAACCGCCAGAGAACTACCATTTCCCAGTTGTATCGTATGCGGAGGACCCACAATTTTGCTTCACGGCTTCACCTGCTTTTCCGGGCGTGTCGCCAATTCCTTCTCCAACACTTACCACTCAGCAATCTCACCAATTCCAACCTACGGTTCCCATATTACCTCAACACCACCAACACCAGTACCAGCAACAACCGCAGCCACAACAGTACCCGCATAAGAGAAAAGCAGAATCTTCTCCAGTTACTAGTAGATACACGTTGCGCCCCGATGTGCAGCCACTCACAAGGCGATCCTCCATCTCTTCTGTGCGCTCTCGATCTTCGATACATAGCCCTCGGTCGACCAATATCGAGGTTGACGCTGAGAGTAGGGAAAAAGGCAGATGCCCCCACCCGACCTGCGGCAAAGTATTCAAGGATCTCAAAGCCCACATGCTTACCCATCAATCTGAACGTCCAGAAAAATGCCCCATTGTAAATTGCGAGTATCATTTAAAGGGCTTTGCTCGAAAGTATGATAAAAACAGACATACTTTGACCCACTACAAAGGAACAATGGTCTGCGGCTTCTGCCCCGGTTCCGGCTCGGCCGCAGAAAAGAGTTTCAATAGAGCAGATGTCTTTAAGCGTCATTTAACTTCTGTGCACGGTGTTGATCAGTCCGCTCCCAATGGTCGAAAGAAAAGCCCACCTGATGGCCCCGCTGGAAAGTTATCGAATTACTGCCAAGATGCAACAGGAAAATGTTCAACTTGTACAGCTACTTTTGCCAGTGCGCAAGAGTTCTATGAACATTTGGATGATTGTGTGCTGCGTGTTGTACAGCAAGAAGAACCGAGCGAGGCCATCAACATGCGACGCCTGACTGAGATAGCTGATGATGAGTCTGTTCAACAGACAATGAGAAGGCACATGCTTACCGATGCGAGCAATGATGGGAATGGCACGGTTGGCGATATTATTACTACCGATGTGCTGCCAGGAACTGAGCATTTTAAGATCACTTCCGAACAGGGATTGGGGAAGCCAAATATTATGAGTCGATTCTTGCCACCAAATTCGAGCGGAGTTTCCAAACCCCGGCACGCAGCATCACGAAGGAGGAATAACAGAAACAATTATCCACCCTCATGGGGCTGCCCAACAAACAAGATGAAAATGAAGCGCCGGCTTCTTTGTTTATACGACGGTCCACGCCGACTGTGGAAAGATGAGATGATGTTGGACAATGAGTTCGAAGTTCGCATGAAATTGCCCGGTGGCGATGGATTGGGGCGGGACTCTTACGTGACTGACCTAGATGTTGAAACCATAAAGCGTGCTAGGGGAATTCTTAACGCAACTGACGAAGAGAAAGGGCCGTGGGATCCAGCTTCTGCTAATACTGGGCTGCTCGGGCCAGCGGCTGTTCCTATCCTCGGGAATTCTAATGATATCGTTGACGAGATTAATATAGACGAGCTCATGTCATAAGATTGAAATATGCCCTTGGGCACTGCGTTTGGACTTTTTGTCTAATAGTCTGGACAACTTTCTTCGGTATTTCTCTTTCTCACTACTTTGTTCCCCTCTCTGTGTCGGGTCTTCTCTTTGCGATTCCATTCGCAAGCGGTCCTTCATCCGTTGTTGCGAAACTGTATTAAAAGCACGGACTGGCAGATGCTATGGGTGTGCATTGGTATATCATTTAATACTTAAATTCCTGTTGCAAGAATAAAGGCAGCGCTTTAGGCGCTTTAGTATGGACATATACCCTTTATGTAATAGCAAAAGTGTGTCATCTTTGAACTTGACGAATCTGTCAATGTTTGTTGATATCATAGTCCGTTGTCCTCTCATCGGTTTCCCCTAGAATCCATGTGAAATTTACTAGTAAATGCCTTCCACGCAAAGTCTCCAGGCGCTTCTTCACGCTCAAGCCCACTGACCCCCAAGGTTTCGGCCCTAGGCCCACATACCTGACTTTCAGGAACTTCTAGACCGGAATGTAACAAATTTAGACGCAGCAGCTGAACATGAGCATTATCCAGGTAGTCTGTAACCATCAGAAGGGCAGTACTGTGCTTTTCTAGGTGAATGTTGGGTCGTTTGGTAACAAGAACACGCTTCTCCAAATCCACTCTAGCATCAAGAACACCATCCTGTATGAGAGTAAGAAGCTCCGTCACAAATGGTGACTCGGTTTCTTTCACGTCATCCGTACTCGTCATGATTTCGTCGGAGGAAAAGGTAGTTGCCATAGCGGGCAAAGTAATTCGGCTGAACGGTATGACATACTGTTGTATTGCTTTGTTTCGAATATGTTCATACAGCCGATATACATGTTTTTGTAGATAAATATCGAGGAGATAGTCAGTACGATAACTCTCTAGGATATCTAGGCATGGGCGGAATTTCGAGCCACAAAAAAAAGATATTGCTCGTCGAATGTGCGGTTCCAATTCGAGAAAACTCCGAAATGACTTGTTTTCAAGTACGTGGTTGATAAGATCAGTCCTGTCCATTGAAGCTAGTGCACAGAGGCCACCGTAGATAGTAACATCATTTGCAGATATCACTTGTTTATAAGTATCGCCCAGGATTGGGTCGACTGACACAAAACTGATAGCGGCAGAAAAATAAGCGCCTGTCGCTAGTTGGGACAAGCCAAGTGATGCCCACATTTTTGCCTTGCTTTTTGCCTCGTCGTCGGCTTTGAATTGAATATTACGAAGGCGATAAACATTAGACTGCACTGACAACCAGTCTCTGCGGTCAATAGCGACGTTGATATTGTTGAAAAGCATAGAAACGATGTGAGACGTCGTAGTGCAGTATTCTCGCATCCTGGAATAAGCCTTGGACGCTGCTCCCAGGTCACCAATCTCGTGGTAATGCTGCCCTAGGTCCTCATTTCCCATCTGCAAAGTGCATCAGCGGTATAACAGAAGCAAGCTCAATATATTATACATACTCGAATGCTTTCCTTTATGAGGTTATTCTTATACCCTTTTAGTTCATGTTCCAATCGGTCGGTATCGGCTTTGACGTTCTTTAATGTTTGCTCGACCCACACCATGTCCAAAATAGCTTCAGCCTCCAATGGTGCCACCGCGGCAAGCACTCCTACAGCTTTCTGGTAGTTCGTTATATCCTTTCCGCTCCGGGCTTCCAAGATGGCCATATTCAGTGCTTCCACTGCCAGTGGGCTGCAACAATTGCCAATGAAATAGAGCCTGGAGAATCTAGTCCTTCCTATACGAAGCCAGTAAACGTAAATTCAAGTCCGGTGGGAAATAGCCAGCATGATACATACCACTATAGTTTGCAATGTAGGATTCCAGGTCAAATTTGGGGACATCTTCAAGCATATCAGTTTCTCTGAATTCAATAAAAACCGGACCGTCTCCATACCATTAACCCTTAGGATAGTGAAATCACTGCATTCTGACTCTTTACGTCCGGAAATGGCATCACCAGCACAAGAACCCTGGAAAGTCGAATGATGATTCTGAGCAGGAGTTGGTTCCATGCCTGGCGATCAGATATAAGGGAAGGATTTTAAAAATAAGTATTTAATCTGTTAAAAATATACCTTATACTCCTATCAATGAATGAATAATGGTGCTGGCCCTGACGTTTTCTGGCAATCATTTGTGTTGACTGTTGGTAAGGCTAGCTCATTTTGTGTTGTGTTGTATTCTTATTGTTCTTACTATGCAGTTGAGTACATAAGTTAACAAAATGTAAATTTAGTAGTTGGGTAAATCATGATAGAGTACATGACGCCTACCAATCATAGAACCCTTTGTCTATCCAGCTTGTTTGAATGGAAGTCAAGCAGCTAATTACACAGTTATAGGCTCCGTACCCAAGAGGCATGAGACCGGTCACCTGACTTGCCATGTCACCTCCCAAAGGATTGGCATCATCAAATGATCTGGAATCTGCTTTCTCCAGGAAGATCTTACATTTATTTTTCTGTAGAAACAAAAGTCAGAACTATTTGCAATATGTTTTTCATTACAGTTTGCTGCTTGCATATGTAATCTCAGTATGTTTACAACTTCTATCAACAACTTTACACACAACACATATAATTCATCACCAAACAACTAAATTCACAAAGCAATCAATTTTTCTACATAGATCTCTACTTTCAAAATTCAATAAAATGATGAATGAAGCTTCTATTAAATCAGTATTTAAAGATCTGCACTTACAGATGATTTTTAATTATGTAATATGTCAAAACTATTAAAAAGTATAAAATCAATACAACTACAAAGATCACTGTGGTCCCCCTATAAAATACAGAGCTGTAAATAAATTACAATAGATTACCACTATGTAATAAATTACACCCCATCAAATCAATTAATCAACTAAGTCAACAAGCTTCTGTATGAAGTACACACTCCATCTCTCTCCATTTTAAAATCATCATATTAAATTGAAAATTTTATGGCTCTTCAATCTCTACTGTTTTCATGAAATTAACTTCATTAAACTGAGATAGATTCTCACTTAAATTATGTTCAAAATCATCATCTATACTTAAATCAGAATTACTTACTTCATCATTAAAATTAATATGATAGAATAGTTAATCTTTATGAACTTTTCTTATAGTTTAATTGAAATTTCTGTCAGTACAGTCTTCTCTATACTCATTTTTTCTGTCTAGAGCTAGTATGCACTGAATATAATGAGATATACACTCAATTATTATTATTATTATTATTATTATTTATTATAGTCTTGTGTAGTCTGGGACTATGAAGACTACCTGCAAGCTGTCTTGCAGAATTTAACTAAAATACAAAAACAATGATCAAGAACATGATCATAGACAAATTAACAAATAGAAAACATACAAGAGTGTCAAGACAGTGATTTATATTTTTTCTTCACAGAAATTTAAAAATAAGTAATGAAATTATATGATGGATTTTTGAAAATACTTAATTAATTTCATTCAGAAGTCATCTTCTGATAATCATTTTAGTTTATTTGAGAAACTTTCTCATTTATTTCAAACTTAATTTGATATTAAATAGAAACTTAAGTGATAGTTGTGGAATTTTAAACTCTTTTAAATACTATTGTCTATCATCTTTTAGAATTGAACAATTCAAGAGCAGATGTTTTGATGTTTCTCTGCAGTTACAGTGTCTGCAGATTTCTCTGTCATGATTTAATAGTCTTATGAAGTAAAAATCAAAGTAATCATAACTCAATTTCAACTGAATAATTATTGACCAAATCTGTTTGGAAAATAAAAGTGAATAAGCTTTTCACTTTGATTTTGAATTAAATTAAGAGTAGTGATTTACATCACTTTCATTTTTAAATACATAGTTCAGTCATTTAAGCATTATCATTTCTTTAATTTATCTTTTGATGTAAGCAAAGAAAACATACTTTTCAGCACAATCTTATCTTAATTCAGTTGCTTTCTTTGCAGTAATATTAGCTTCTTCATTGCCAAAAATGCTCATGTGAGCTGAAATTCAGTGAAGATGACACTTAATGTTTTTAGACTTAATTATTATTATTATTATTATTATTATTATTATTAATTATAGTCTTGTGTAGTCTGAAACTATGAAGACTACCTGCAAGCTGTCTTGCAGAATTTAACTAAGTTACAAAATCAATGATCAGAGACATGATCATAGACAAATTAAGAAATGAAAAACATACAAGAATGTCAGAGCAGTGATTTATGTCTTTTCTTCACAGAAATTTGAAAATAAATAATGAGATTGTAAGTGAGATTTTTAAAGATACTTAGTCTGTTTTATTCAGAAGTCATTTTCTGATGACTATTTCAGTTTATTTGAGAAACTTTCCCATTCATTTTAAACTTAATTCAGTGTTAAATAGAAACTCAAGTGACAGTTGTGAAATTTTAAACTCTTTCAAACACTGTTGTCTGTCATCTTTCAGACTTAAACAATTCATAAGGAAATGTTTTGATATTTCTTTACAGTCACAGTGTCTGCAGATTTCTCTATCATGATTCAGTAGTCTTATTAAGTAAGAATCAAAGTAGTCATGATTCAATTTCAACTGAATAATTGTTGACCAAATCTGTTTGGAGAATGAAAGTGAACAAGCTTTTCACTTTGATTTTGAATTAAATTGAGAGTAGTGATTTACATCACTTTCATTTTTAAATACATATTTCAATCATTCAAGCATTGTCATTTCTTTGATTTGTCTCTTAATGTAAGCAAAGAAGACATACTTTTCAGCACAATTTTGTCTCAATTTAGTTGCTTTCTTTGCAGCAATATCAGCTTCTTCATTGCCAAAAATGTTTATGTGAGCTGAAACTTAGTGAAGATAACACTTAATGTCTTTAGACTCAAATTGTTTAGCAATTTTTCTAATTAATTTAATGTGGAACAGTTCAGCTTTCATATTCTGTGCATTAAGTCTCTGAATGACAGCTTGACTGTCAGAAAACATTCATAGTTCTGAAAAGATTCTTGAATTTGAAAGAGTCAAAGCATTGAAAAAAGTCTTTTCAATTGCAAAGAGTTCAGCATCAAACACTTTTATATATTTACTCAATTTTCAAGAAAATCTTTGATTTATTTCTGAAATATAAAGATCTGCATCAGTAGTCAGATTTTCTGACTGTGAACCATCAGAATACATGATCAAGAAGTCTTTTAAATTGAGAAGAAGTTGTTGATGATTTTTCTTTGCAAGTATCTTTTCTACTGAATCAATTTAAATGTCAATGATTTCATTCAAACTTAAACTTCAAGATTTATTTCATTCTGAATTTACTGTTTCAATCTTCAGAGCAGAGATCTGATCTGAGGTTATAGAACAAAGTTTGAACAAGTGACTTGAATATTTTTTAATTCTTTTTGTTCTTTTTCTCTTTCTTTTTTTAGATGTTTGTTCAACATGATTCAGAGACAGTTAGTTCATTTTGATTTCAGTCCAGAAACTTTCTCCAATCTAACTCAATTCCATTTGAATGTGGAGAAAAACTTGAAGAAACTCTTTTTCTAATTGAATGTTTTTCTGGCAATTTCAACAATCTGAAAGCATAGTTTCTGCACAGCTTATTGAATCTCACTTTGGGTGAAGGAATAGCAGCTTCAATTTTCATAGTATAGATTGGAGAAGTTCTGAAAGCCCCTAGAATCTTTCTTAAAGCTGAATTCTGAAGTCTTTTAAACTTATGAAGTAGACTCTTTTGACCATTCCACTAAACTGAAACTCCAAAATCAGCAACAGAAGTGATGCAAGTCATGTACAGTTGTCTCATTGCTTGAAAAGTAAGATCTTTTTCTGTGTTTGAAAGTCTTATTATCTGATTCAAGACTCTTTCAGCTGATGCAATTTTGATTTCCACATGTCTTTTGAAAGTGAGTTGATTGTCAAATCAGATTCCCAACCATCTAACTAGATCTTTTGATTTGAAAGTCAGATCATTCAATGAAACTGAATCTGATTCAGAATAATCTTTGGTGAAGTGAATCAGTTCAGTTTTGTTCATATTAAATTGAATAACATGAGAAGTCTGTCTTTCATACATCACACTGATTACTTTATTTAACAGATCACAGTTCTTCTTAACTGATTCAGAAGAAACAATCAAATCAGTGTCATCAATGTAACTTGAAATTCTCATATCTTTCAGTTCTTTTAAATTTTCAAAAAGATATCTTGTGTAAATTGAAAAAAGAACTGGTGAGAGTGGTGAGCCTTGAGACACACCAATATTAATTGAAACTGATGTTGACTGTTTTTCTTCATCAAAAATCAATTGAATCTTTCTGATTCTCATGAAAGATTCAATCCATCTGGCAAGATTCTTGGACAACTTCAAATCCAAACAAATCTTCATCAATCTATTCACTGACACAAAATCAAATGCTTCTTTAATGTCAATAAAAAGAGCTGAAGTCACCAATTTCTTAGCTTTGGCAAGTTGAATGTCATGAGTGAGACTTAAAGCAGCATCAATTGCAGAACACTGTTTCTTTTCACCAAACTGATCAAAGTACAAGAGATCAGTAGTAGTTGCTTAGAAACTGAGTCTAGTGGCTATCACTCTTTCCATCACTTTGCTCAAACAATTCAGAAGTGAAATGATTCTGTAAGACTTGGGAATAGAATCATTTCTGTTTGATTTCTTCAAAATGACTTCAGTAGCTTGTCTTTAAATGTCAGAATGATAGTTCTTCTCAAACAGACTCTTGTAGAGTTGAAACAATCTATCTTTAAGAACTGAATAGATTTTCTGTAAGATCAGAAAGAAAATTCCATCTGGATCAGATGCATTGACTTTTGAACCACTGAAAACTGATCTTTTGATTTCAATCTCAGTGATTTGATGCCATTTCCACTTCTCACACTCATGATATTCAGACCAATTGATTGATGGATATTCAGATGATTTTCTGAAAAGAGTACTGATGAAAGCATTGCATTTCTCATCAAATGTGACTGCAGATTTAGATTCATTATCTGAATCAACATAGTTGAGAATTGGAGTTTTTT